GAAGATTGTGATGGTTTTCCGCGGCTTCAACATGAGAATTCTCAGTTGCTTCTCCCATGTACACAATGTAAGGCTATAACGACAGAGAAACAGAACAAAAAGGATGAGAGATTCTTAGTAATCTAAAACCATGGATTGTCTCATCACAACACATAAAAACACTCATCACTCTTACGTTATTACCTTTCTCTCGTTGTTTTCATCTTCCGTGGCTGCTATAAATGCGGTGTTAACAAGGCAAAAACAGAGTATAAACAACCGTAAACGCTGATTCGAAACCATATTTTGGATATTGAGATCCGTTAAATTGAGATTTGCTTTTGTCCGAGAAGAAAATCTACACTCTAATGTTAATAAAACAAAGAGGACAGTACTTAAAATAACCACTAATGTTTTTAACTGTTTTGTTAAGGCTAAGTATTAGTATACGACTGAGAGTCCTTTGGCTTGTTATTAGGATCTTGTTTCACCTAATTTTCCGGTTTATTAGTTACACGTAATTTATTTTATATTTTTGTTTTTATTTATTTGTTTTTTGTTTCTCTTAATGAAACTAAATAAGGGGTTAATGAGTAATGGTTATTTGAGATTTTATTAGTCACACAATCTTTTTTAACACACAAACACATAGAAACACAAATGAATGAAGAGATACTGAAAACAGAAATAGAGAGCTCAAACATTGAACTTCAGAAAAAGAAACCTAAGAGAAATGTGTGTGTGTGTTTTTTTGTTTCTCACGCTTTGATCAAAGACGCGGTAAGACTTTCGCGTAAAACAGAGTAAACCGATCTCCATCCTTCTTCTGTAGGGTGAAGTCCATCCCAAAAGAAAGCAGATTTAGGATTATCACATACAATATACTTCTTCACTCCCTTCTCATCCACACTTCCACAGTTATACTTGCGGCTCACGCCTATGCAACACGGCTTTAATGGACTCTCAAACCTTGTACTCCCTACATTTCCGAAAAACCGATCAGCATAAGAAAAAAAAGAGGCAAACAAAATGCAAAAAAATTTAAACTATTTTTTTTTTTTACCTGGATTAGCTCCTTTGTTCTTGAACACAGTCAAGAAAGCATTGTAGAGATCAAGGATGATGAAAGTCGACTGCTTGGTCTCGTTATTGAGCTTTGCCACAACTTGCTGCAATAAGTTGTTGTGGAGGTTAACTAGAGCGTTTTGTGTCTCGTTGCAACGCTGGAACGATGATACAAAGGTGAAGGGAGGGAGACAACCGAGCGGTTGCAGCGATGGTACTGCTATCTTTTTCACTCCCAAAGCGTGGATCCGCCTCAAATTCACCTCTGTTTGATCCACAACTTGCTTTATGAATGCTGGAAATTCCTGTAAGATGCAATGAATCGCTATACCTTTTAGCATCACTATCTAAGTCGGACCAAAGATGTATAAAGATAAAAATAAAAATAGTGTAAGAAATGTTTTTATCTTACAGAGGCAGGGCGGTTTAGGGCGATGAAATTGGAGTAGTCGTTGCCAGCGACGCTGACGAGAGCAACGGAGGAAGTAAGCTCGGAAGGATAGTAGATATCGCCGGCGGTGAGAAGGTTCTGGAAGATGTCTATTTGAGTGGTCATGTTGGGCAATGGAGTTTGAGTGTTGAACACTCCTGTTCCTCCGTATGCAAAATTCATTCCGTACTGCAACCGTTTCTTTCCCGCGTAATCTTTCCAGAAGTATGGGATTGGTGATTTTATCCCCACGAATTTTGCTACAAAAATATATTTTATCAATTTGAGATTTTTGTTACTAAATTTTGTAGATTTTAGTGAATTTGATACTGTATGCCTTCTTAACTTCAGTTACATTCATATGCAGTGGTCAGACTCGGTTGTCAGTTGTTAGTTTATAAATTGACCTAAAATTGAGTCTTTTAAAAAACATTTTTTCAAGTAAATAGAATACCAAAAATTAATGCATTTCATCGTTGACAAATTAATGCAAATTTAATACATTATCATCAATCCTAAGAGATTTATAGAGAAAGGCTATTGAGTATTGACAATAGACTTTTCAGAATTAGTGTTCATTAAACTATAATGTACGTACTTTAACAGCGCATATGTTGGTGGTTAGCTTTATATTCTTTTTGTATATTAAATAATAAAGAAGATGAAAAAAAGCTTGGAGTATGTTGCTTTGTTGATGCTAAGTGGTAGTGGCTATGATGAGTGAGTATTAAAAAGAAATAAGAATAATAAATAAAAATTTAACCTTTAAATAAATAAAAAAGATAGACAAGAAGGAAAAAATAAATCAGCACCGAATACAAGGAATCCAAAATATATAAATTAATTATATTGGTACATGTTAATTAATGTTATAGCATTCCAGGTAAATTACATGTTATTTGTCATATTATGTGTGACCATATTAACGTGTTAAAATTCAAAAACCAAAAAAACTTACTCACTCTTTTTCCTTAAGTTTGATGTTTTGGGTTTTACACATAAATTAAGAAAAACTAATTTTTGTATTATTTAATTATTTGTGTGTTTGTTTAATAATTTTAGTTTCACTTCTCTCCTTTTCTTATTGGTTAAAATTAAAAGTAATAATGATATTATTACTAAACATTTGTGAAACAAGAAAAATTTTCAAAACATTAAACTTTTAAGAAAAGAGGGAGTATTATAGAACAGCTAAATGACGAAAAGAAAAAAAAACAGCTAAATGACGACAACGTAAGAAAAAAGACACTGGTCAATAGAGGACAAGAAGGATTTGACGCAACACTGACAACTGGTAAAATAATCGAACTAATTTCCCTTACCAACCAAACCAATTTCAAAAACCAAATTAGTAGTAATATATTTCCTAGAGAGATTGAATTAAAAAAAAAAAAAAGAAACTGAAATGATTCCTAATTTTCTCATAATATGTTCATCGAGACAGAAACACAGTTTATAGGAATATAAATGGTTATATGTTATAGTATAAATTTTGCTACACGGAAAAGGTTTATAGGATAATAAAAAGGAGAATATAAATAGTTTTTAAGACTGATAAATAGCAGAAAAGAAAGTAAAAAATTCACTTTAACAAAAGCAAAGTACAATAATAAGAAGATGGCAAGAAGAAAGAAAAGCAAAAGTGAGTCGCGCACTGGATTGACACTAGATCACTCTTCCATCAATTGGCAACAAAAAAAAATGATCACTCTTCCATCATTGTTTTTTGAACCCTATTTAAATATTTATGATTTACGCGTCATCATTTCCACATATCTACATATATATGTTAAATATACGTATATAACAATACTATCTTATTATTAAAACATACGGTTAAAATTTTAAACGAGGCTTAAACATCGATTAGTTAGTTACCTAACACTAATCAATCATAGAACTAAAGTCAGTCAAGTAATTGAACTGTTACAGCAGGAGACTTTAGGTGGTTCGTCAATAAAATTGATTAGGCTTTTTTTTAAAAATTTCTCAACAAATTTAATCTAGATATTCCCTAAAAACAAGATTGATAGTTTGATACTATATAGCTTAAGGATGATAAGTTTTTACTTTTGAAGATGAAAAGTTACCTAGAAAATCTGTTGCCACACGTCCGTCGGAGAAACGGCCAGCAGGCTTTCCGGGGAAAGTGATACCGTAAGGGAATTTCCAGGAGCTAGAGAAAGCCTTTTTAATGTTTCCCGTATCGGCATACGAATCTCCGAACACAAACAGTTTCGTTGGTCTAAATGCGTACAAGTGATGATTTTGATTTGAACCCTCCACTCCATTGATTTCTCCTGTATAATAAAAAAAATAAACAAAAAATTTGGTTTTAACGAATTTGTTATGATGAGAGCCATAGATGAATGTAAAATTAATTACCAAATAAGAGCGAAGTGAATAAGAAGAGAAATAAGGAGAAGAAGAGTTTGATCAAAGAATCCATTTTCAAGATTCAGAGCAACGAGGTTCTCTTTTAATGACCAAAACAAAAGAAAGGAGAAGGGAGAGAGAGTAAGTGGAAGAGAGAAGATGGGTTTAAAAGAGAGCACTTTGAGAATTGAAATTGAATTTGTGTTCTCACTAATGTCTTTGTGGCTTTATATAGTAAGCCTAATCAATATTTTTAGAGTTGATGTGAAACGACTACGATCTGGTCAACTTTTGTATCTTTATTCTTTGTGTTTATTCAATTTTGTTTTGCACCATTTAAGTTTCTGAATTATGTTTGTTTATTGGCGTTTTAGTGTTATACTTAAAAAACATTACAAATTACATTGTTTTTATTCGATTATCAAATATATATGTATTTTCAAACATGTGCTGACTTATAGTTTTTATTCAATAAAAGTATATTCTAGATCAAAACTTATATTTCTCATCACACGGTACGACTTCAAATTTGTAGGCTGAAATCTTAGTTCTTACTTCCGTAGACTACTATTCATGTCCATATCGTTTGTTTCACTTTTGAAAAAACATATCAAATGAATAATTATAGTAGTGAATGATAAATAACAAAATTGCTTTTGAATCTTGTTGTGAGTTTTTTTTTTTTTGGGGAAAAGTTGTGAATTTATTAAAATGTAGTTTTTCTTGGTAAATAAGACTAGTTTTCTTACATTATCAAAAATTGCATAAATTTCCATTCTGTAATCGAGTTCTTTTCCCACGGCCAAAACGTGGCCGCGTACCCTAGAAACAAGAGGGAAAGACTTTCTTTCTTTATCCACGTCAATGGAATATTGGCATACCCTCCTTGCATTATTGACTATCTTTATTTTTTTGTTTTGATTTATCCATTGTTCCAACGAACGTCCTATTTATTAATTCCTTGTATGTTTCTTTATTGCTACCAAATGGGTTTTGATTTATAGTCACTTCAGGTTTTCATATTTTTAAAAAAATTATAACGAATCAATAATGTTTACCAAATACCACTACATATAGTATTTAATGAAACACGAGTTTTTAAAAAAAAAATCCACGCAAAACTCCCTGAAAATGGATAGCCTTGTAGTAGTTTCACGATGACACACGTGAGGGTTATATATAGATGTCCAGCCGTCCTATATGAATGTTCTAAACATTATTGTTAATTTACCATCCTCTCATGCTTTTCGAGTTCTTCAAACGCGGTTTAAAGAAGTAAACCATATATGAACCGAACTATAAAGAGATGAAACCCAATTAACTAATTTTCTTAACAAAATGCTTATAGTAAAAAAAAAAAAGTAAATGAACTTAATACTTAGAAATTTAATAGGTCAACTCAAAAATGAATTCAACAAGTTTTTAAACAACAAGTGGTTGGTTTTACGGTTTAGTCAAAAACTCGGTTAAAGGTTTCCCTAATACCGAGTAAATCGATCTCCATCCTTCTTGAGTAGGGTGAACTTCATCCCAAAAGAAAGAAGACTTAGGATCATCACATAACGTATACAACTTCTCACCGTCACTCGAACGCCCACAATAACCTTCGCAACACGACTTCATCGGATTTTTAAATCTTTTGTTCCCTACATTTTCACAATCAATCACACACAAAAAAAAATAGACCTATAAGACTAGGGTTTTTGATATTGAAGATCAAACGTGAGAATTTTGTTACTTGGATTCTCACCTTTGTTCTTAAGAACGGTCATAAAGGCGTTGTGAATATCAATGATAAAGAAATGCTGCCCCTTTTTCATAACCCTGGACTGTTCGTTGAGCTTGGCCACGACTTGTTTCAGCAATTTGTTGTGTAGTTCCACCAATGCACTTTGTGACTCGTTGCAACTCTTGAACGACGATGCAGAGGTGTAAGAAGGGAGGCATCCGATCGGCTGCAGCGATGTTACTGCTATCTTCTTAAATAGCAGGCCACTCAATATTATCATATTAACGTGTAAATTATCCACGACTTTCTCTACTATTGCTTTCAAGCCCTGCATTCAAGATTTAATGAAAATAAGAATCAAATAATAAATCAAAATAAAAGTATACATTTGTTGTTATGAGTTTACATTTTTTCCGAAGAACAAACAAACAAAAGTGTTTAGTACTGTCTAAAAATAAAAAATCTAAATGAAAGTTGTTTTTGAAATTATTATTTAATAAGACTAATTTAAATTTAGTGTAAACCGATTTGGCTGAACCAATTGGATTTAACCAGACCCTAACCAAAGTTTGTACAAACCAAAGTTTATTCTTTCACATATAAAGGCAGAGAAACTGGTGTTTGTAACAAAGCCTTGATGACATCTAAGTAAAGATTAATGTTTTTCTTACAGCGGCAGGGCGATTTTGGTCGATGTAATAGATATAGTCGCCTCCGGCGTAGCTGATGAGAGAAACGTCGGAGGAAGTAATGTCTCCGTAGACACGGCCAGCGAGGACAAAGTCTACTAAGAAATTCACCTGAGCAGTTATATTGGGGAATGGACTATTCGGAGAGGACTCCAACATTTTGGACGCCCCGAACGCAAAATTCATGCCTCTTTTTATTTTTTTCTTTCGTCCGTGAGTTCTATAGAGGTACGGTGATTCTGCCCCCAACACTTTTTCTGCACCAACCAACACAAAAGTTTTATTTAACATCCATTTCAATATATAGATATACTATAAAATCATCTAGACATCGTTGGAAGGGTACATGACTAATCTAGAGAGATAGCTTAACATTGATCATGGAGAGAGAGAGAAAAAGGAACCTAGAAAATCGGTGGCTATGAGACCATCACAGTAACGGCCGGAAGGTTTACCGGGGAAAGTGATACCGTAAGGGAGGGCCCAAGCCTCGGTGTCGCGCTTCGTGTTTCCGGTATCCGCGTAAGAATCTCCGAATACAAAGAGTTTCGGTACTTTTCTTGGTCCAAGAAGCTGGTTTGAACCCATTTCTCCATTGATTCCTCCTGAAAAAAACAATGGAAAATCAAAATTTGGCCATAGAGGTTTTAAAGAATAATAGAATATGTAGTGATAAGAGCTATAAGATGATATAAATTACCAAATAAGAGAGAGAAGGAGATCAGAAAGAGTTTCATCAGAGAATACATTTAAAAGTTCAGAGCAAAGACTTATCTTTTGTTTTTCATTATAATTTATAAGGATAAATTAAAGGAACGGAGAGAAAAGAGAAAGGATATGGAAGTGAGAATTTTTAGGATTGAAATTTGAATATGGTCTTACTAATTTGGCTTTGTTTAGAGATGGTAAACTTAAAAGGAGTCGATTTTGGTGTGTGAAGGACACAAATAATTTAAATTAAAAAAAATGGGTGACAAATGAAATGGAGAGGAAATCGAGAGTATGTGGAGGACATGTATTAAAGAAGAGCAATTTGAGGATTGAAATTCGAGTGTGTGTTATTACTTGAGTCTTTATATAGATCAACATTCGGGTTATGCACCATAAATCATTGTGTAGAAATAAAATCAAAATTTTAAAAATAGAAATAAATCATTGTGTAGAAATAAAATCAAAATTTTAAATCTATTTTTAAAAATCCGAATTAAAAACTTGAATGTTAAATCTACATAATAATAGAAAAAACAAGTTGAATGTTTGAAATCATTAACGACTAATGTTGGATCCAAAATCCGGTTAGTTTTCATATCATTATGCAAATTTAGTATCCAAACAAATTTTTTAAAAAAAAAAACAAACATAAGAAATAAAAGATTTTTAAAATCCGAAAAGAAAAAAAATCAAAATTTTAAAAACTATTTTTAAAAATCCGAATTAAAAACTTGAATGCTAAATTTACATATTAATAGGAAAAACAAGTTGAATGTTTGGAATCGCTAACGACTAATGCTGGATCCAAAATTCGGTTAGTTTTCGTATCATTATGCAAATTTAGTATCAAACAAATATTTTTTAAAAAAAAAACAAACATAAGAAATAAAAGATTTATTAATTAATGTGTGGTTGACAAAAAAAAAGAAATAAAAGATTTTCAAAATCCAAAAAGAAACAAAATCAAAATTTTAAAAACTATTTTTAAAAATCTGAATTAAAAACTTGAATGCTAAATTTACAGAATAATAGAAAAAACACGTTGGATGTTTGGATCGCTAACGGATCCAAAATCCGGTTAGTTTTCATATCATTATGCAAATTTAGTATCAAACAAATATTTTTTTTTTTTAAACAAACATAAGAAATAAAAGATTTTGAAAATCTGAAAAGAAACAAAATCAAAATTTTAAAAACTATTTTCAAAAATCCTAATGAAAAACTTGAATGCTAAATCTACATAATAATAGGAAAAACACGTTGAATGTTTGGAATCGCTAACGAGTAATGCTGGATCCAAAATCCGGTTAGTTTTCATATCATTATGCAAATTTTGTATCCAAACAAATTTTTTTAAAAAAAACTAAACATAAATTTTTTTGTTTGAAAAAGCTTGTAAAAAACATTTAAATGTTAAATTAAATACGTGAATTAGTAAGGAAATCAAAATCTTTATTTAAAAAAAAAAAGAAGAAGAAATTAAGAATCAACAAACCTGACTCATGGATTGTTGTTTGCTAAAGCCCATTCGTTGTAATCTGAAGCCCATCTGTTCTTCTGTGACTTGGGCCGAAACTGCAACTTTTGATGATGAAGAAGAGCATAAGGCCTGTCTACCAGTGGCAAGATTCACGAACCATCAAAAGGAGTAAAGCTCTAGATCCAATTGTCCCCGAAAGTATAGATGCTTCTGGAACTCAAAGTAATCTTTGATAATTAGTCCGCGATTGATCAAACACGAGAGACCTCTCTCGTGACCGTGAAATTGGTGATGTATATGGATCACCAATTTCACGGTCACGAGATCAGCGATCCTCTTTGTAAAACATTCGCAGAGAAGGAGAAGAGTTTTTTAGGGTTTAGAAGAAGGAATTAAAATTTCTCAAGGAAGAAAAGAAACGATGAAATATTTATAAAGAGAGGTTCACGCAAAAAGAAAAGGAAACATCAGATTGTTTTCCTTTTTTTTTTTTTTATATTTGGACTTTAAATAAAATAAGGAAATTGATCACAATTACGGTCCGTTTACAACGGTCTTATTTCTCTAACTGCAAGGTGTGTTCCACTATCCTTCACGCGCATCATCGCCGTATTTTGTGAATATCTGATCATTGGCGTCTTAGATTCTGAGAATTTCCATAGATTAGGTTCTTGTTACTAGCTACTAGCCTAGACCGGACTTGGTGAAGTTGCACATATGAGATGCGGTGGTGGATATTTGATGAAGCAAAGTCGCTTGAGTGATGAGATAGTGACCAAATTTGAATCAAGATATTAAGAGGCAGAATGAGGATGCCCAACTCAAAGCTTTGAAAGTTGACATTTCTCTTTAATTTCAATCAGTCCAGCTTTTGGTGAACAATCCTGGAATACTTTCATAATTCTTATATACAAGTCAATTGCGTTTTGTGGTCTCAAGATTCTTGGACCGATGCAGCTGAATCTGTCATTGATGCTGCTTTAGCTCCACCTCTAAGATGTGTATCTTTTGGAATTCTTCATCTTATCTCCATCAACCTTATGTGGTTGATGAGCTCTATGTTGATCTGTTTTTGCAGGAAATATCATGCAAATATTTCATTGGCAGAAAGGGGCAGACCATTGAATCTTCAGCACTTTCTAGTGACCCGAAAATGGCTAAGGAACTTTGGGACACATCATGTCTCATATTTGACGAATTGCAGCAAGCTCACACTTGAAGATCAAAAAGCTTCTAGTTGTTGCTTGCTAATGACATAATCCTAGGATCCAAACTTCTGGTTTCTTAATTTCTACAAGTGTTTGTACAAAATCAGTTTCTGTGTTTAGTATACGTACACCCGTGTTGGCATATTTCAGTGAAACGTAGATTCTTCTTTTATAATTCTTTTGTTTAAATTTCTTATTGTTGTCTAATTTTTTGAGCCACTCAACTTTAGGTATATGATTAGACCAGCATTCTGCTTCTAATCCCATTGTGGTGGTCTCAAGTTGATAATTTTTTTGAAAAGTACGATTCCAAATCAAAATTAAATTAAACGAAGAAAGGATAACTATAACACTACATATATACAAAAATACGTGTTTCAATTTTTTTTTTGTTTTTTCTTACTAAATTCTCTAACAAAAAGAACCTCAAAAGGGAAGTAAAAGTCTCCTTTTCACATTTGAAAACTCACTGATTCATACTTTCCCTGTAGTAGCCCCTTCGCGAAGGAAGGTATAGAGATGTATAACGAATAAGCCGAAAGTCATAGCAAAAAGAGTCCAAAGAAGAATATTTCATCTAATAGTATTGAACATGCGCTTGATATCTGTAAGTTGAATTCTAATGTTGTCCATGTGGAACAAAGTGAAAGTGTTATATAAGAACATAATTTTTTTGTCCCATAAACGGAATTCGATTTCAAGAAATCGAAAAAGACACGTGAAAGTAACCACAGTCGCAAAAATATCTAAAAATATCCGACACAATTCGAGTTTTTAGATGCCAAAAAGTAATTTTACCCGTTAGTCAAAGACTCGGTTAGAGATTTGCCTAATAGCGAGTAAATCGATCTCCATACTTCTTGAGTTGGATTAATTTCATCCCAGAAGAAAGCAGACTTTGGATCATTACATAATGTATACTTCTTTGCACCCTTCATATCCATACGTGCACAATCGCCTTCGCAGCACGGCTTCAACGGGGTTTTAAACCTTTTGCTCCCTGTATTTCCACAAACCGATAACACAAGGAAAAAAACTTTTAGACTAAAGTTTTAACATTAAAGATCAAACGTGTAACTTCTGTTAATTAATTACCTTTTTTCTCCAAGACGGCCATGAAGGCTTTGTGAAGATCAACGATGACGAAACGGTCCCCCTTGGTCCTAAACTTGTCCTCTTTGTTAAGCTTGGCCACGACTTTCTTCAATCCCTCATTGTGGAGTCTCACCAAATCGCTATATGACTCGTTGCAACTCTGAAATGAGGATGCAACGGTGACACGTGGGAGGCATCCGAGCGGATGCAGCGAAGTAACTGCTATATTCTTAAATTTTAAGCCGTTCATTATCCCTAGACTATACTGTATATCTTCCACGATGAACTCTACAAATGCTGGGTAGGCCTGCATGCAAGATCCAATATAATGAAGGTAAAAAATGAGTGTTGTCCTCAAACTGATTTTTTTTAGTATATTTTGGATTTCTTTTTTGCCTTTACATTTTTTAAAAGAAAAAAATGGTTTAGTATGTATATCTATAATTTCAATTGATATTTTTTTCACATATAAACTCAGAGAAATTAATGTTTGAAACAATCGAAATCTCTTAGCATAAGTGTTGTTTAAAGAAATATGAATGTTTTTCTTACAGCCATATTAGGGTTTTGGTCGATAAAACCATAATAGTCGCTGCCGGAGTAGCTAAGGAGAGCGTAAGAGGAAGCAAGGTCGCCGTCGATAGTGTAGACACGGCGGGCGAGGGCAAGGTTAACCAAGAAACCGACCTGAGTAGAGATGTTTGGCGATCGATCAACCGGAGAGTCGAATACTTCGGACCCTCCGAAAGCAAAATTCATTCCTCTGTTTAATTTTACTTTATTTTTTCCGTGAGTCCTCCAGAGGTACGGTAATATTGCTCCTAACTGTTTTGCTGCACGAAGGAAGTTTTTTTTTTTGGACTTCAATTTCAATAAATAATTATATATTAACGAATTTGACTATTTGAGAACGAAAATTAAAGATTTTCACTTTTGTAAATTCATGCTTATTTTCGTTAAAAGTATATTAATGTTCAAACGATATAAGACGTCATAATAACTGTCAAATGTTATAAAAGAACGCTCTAACTTTCTTATTTCATTGTTGATGTTTAGTAATATTCGTATGAAGATTTTATCTATCATGTAGAGAAACATTAAGAAAAGATGATGTAGATTGTAGAGAATGAGAATGAGACTGAGTGAGAGTAGAACCTAGAAAGTCGGTGGCGATAAGGCCATCAGAATAACGGCCCGAAGGTTTACCGGGGAAAGTGATACCATAAGGGGGTTTCCAAGACATTGCATTGGGCTTCATGTTTCCGGTATCAGCATAAGAATTTCCGAACACAAACAGCTTCGGATTTTTATTGGGTTGGGAATGCTGATTTGAACCCACTGCTCCATTGATTCCTACTACATGCACACAAAAAAAAAGAATAATTAATTAAATTCGGCCATATATGTTTTACAGAATCCTCTATTGATAAAAGCGCTTTGAGATGATTGTAAATTACCAAAGAAGAGAGAGAGGGAGAGGAAGAGTTTCATCAGATAATACATTTCAAAATTCAGAAGCAAAGGCTTCTTTCCTTTTTTGTTGTTAAGGATAAAAAGAAATGGACAGTCTTAGAGAGAATGTGGAGGAGAGAACTTTGACACTATTAATAAGCATCGCCGTTCTCGAAAGTTTGACCAAATCGTCACAACTTACAAAGGCTAAATGCAATCATGCGTATTCCATTAACTTAGCCTCTTTATTCGACTGAGGCCAAATTTTGGTAGCGTGGATTCCCATTTCATTAAATATGCCATTTAAAGTTATGTATGTACAAAATTCCCATTTTTTGGGATTAATTTGGCAAATAGCAACTCAAATAGTGAAATTAAAAATTTAACATATATTTATGAGAAATAAATTAAAAATCGACAAATTTACCCTTTTTAATTTTCTCACCAAAAATAGTCATTTATTACCAAAATGTGTTTCTTATCGTCTGATGTGTTTTTTTTTTTCATTATTATCTTTCTGTGGTATGTTTAATTTTGTGCTAACAAAAAAGAGATAAGATTCAATAAATATGGTCAATTTCTCTTTCGAAGTCACATAGGTAAATCACAAAGCTCTTAGTGCATGCACTTTTCCCATTCATAATTCAGCAAATTAATTAATATCTGAACCCTAACGAGGACCAAAAATTTGATTTCTAAGTTAGTGAAAGCCGTAAATGAGAACCATCTTGAGAATACAAACAGGTAAACACATCACTCCTTCTTTCTTATTTCAATTTAAAGCAGGGTATACAAAAAATTCCAGCTTTTTTGGAAACTACCAATTAAAGTTGTTAACTCCCACTTTTAGTATCTAAATGCAAGCAATTTCTACCAGTTGAGATGAGAAATTATTCATCCCATAGTACTTGGCATTCTTCACTTTCTCCTCTTCTTGAAGGAGTACTAAAAACCAAAAGTTAGAGTAAGGTATTGACGGAAAATGACGCCATCACTGCTATTATTGATGCTGGTGATGACGGCAATTTTATTGGCAACTCTGTTTAATGCTCTTCCGCCGTATCTTCTCCGACACAGGTTTGTACGGACTTCCACCACTACATTTTTCGTATTTTTGGCTCCTCAATTTTCTTAATGTTTTGTGAGTTTTCTGGTTGATCAGTATTTACCTGACTTCACTCCAATTTTTTTTTCTTTTTTTTTCTTTTTATAAAAATGGGTTTGGTTTGGAAATATACGTATAACTTATACTTATACGGTATAAGTATAATAATAGGCTTATTATTTGTTCTTCCTGCTAACTGAGATATTTTGAATATATATTCCCAATAGTAATAATAGGCTGATGAAATTTCCATTTCATTTTCTTCAACTTCCAATAATTTAATTGTATATGTATATTCCCAATAGTAGTAAATGCATTTACTTATATATATATATATATATGTGACCATTTTCTATTTCTCGCATGAAAACTACGTTTAGGTTAATTAAGCTTGGGCCACGTACGTAGTTTAAGACATTTATTGCAAATGACAACTTCTATTAAAATTATTTAATTTCTTATTTACCTTTTTTTTACCATATTTTATCTTTCACAATTATTTTTTTCCCCACCACATTTATTTTAATTACAATTTACACGTTAAAGTTCCGAATAACTAAAATAATTAAGATACAAGATAGAGAATTAGAGATTAGAAAAAAAAAAAATAGAGATAAGAGATTTTGTTATAATTTGCCACCCTATATACAGTTGTAAAATTAAAAATATTTTTTGTATTGAAAAGTCCAGTCATAGTCAAAACTGTAGTCACTCTTTTTAGTTAATAAATTTAATTTTATTTGAATACACATCTACTTTTTGCTTATTTTGTTGTAAAGAGACGTATTATATTTACATTTATTACTATCAAGGTATGGAACAGATCTAAAGATGAGCAACGATGATAATCACGGATCGTCTTCTTGTCCAAGCAAATTTACGAGTTTGTATATAGCAAATCTTGATGCCCAGGTCTCTGAAGAAATGTTGATTCTGATGTTTTCGGATTTCGGAAAGATTAGAAGATCGGTTCTAGCAAAGGATTTTAGAGGAGAGTCACGAGGATTTGCTTTCATTGTGTTTGAAAACGCGGATAGTGCTGGACGAGCCATGCTTCATATGAACGGAAGGTTAATAGGTAAAAACATTTCAAGTTTTTTGGTTGAGTTAGTTAGTTTATATATGAAGAACAAAAATATAAATTAAGGTGACTAAAATACCAAATCAGTTCTTTGGAGTCGATTGACTTAACATAAATCTGTATAAGGTTTTAATAATTTTCTTGCTATGTAGGTCAGAAGATTCTATACGTTGAGAGGACACCCAAGGTCGAAGAAGGTCGAGACATATGGTAGTCTCACTCACGTTGGGTTACTGCTCTTGGTCGAGATATATGGTAGTCTCACTCACTTTTTTCGCTAAACGCCTATGGTAACATTTATAACGTCGGTTGGCTAAGACATATCTCGTCTGATTACTAAACTTTAACGACAAAATTAATTAAGCAAATTATATGCCGTTGCTAAACAAGCGTAAATGTTTATTTTTCTTTGGTTTTCTGATAAATATCTTAACTTCCAAAAAAAATCTCATTTATAAATCGTAAATTTTGCCTTAACAAGTCTGGGGTTCGAGTCCCAGGTATTGCGATTTATTAACAAATTTGCAGATTAATGGAGGCAAGTGTGCAAGAGATCTCCAGCGATGTACAATTATAGCCGTTCGCCAGGATTCTACGCAGAGAAGGAAGTGTAGCGAGGTCGTGGATCATTGAAGGTATTCATCAAGATTACGAAGAAGGAAGTGTAGTCTGTCGTGAATCTAGTAAGGGTCGGAAGGAATTGTCAGTTGTAGAATCGTCTATGTAACAGTTCTCATAATTTGCAATTAATAATAAATCTAGACGACAAAAAAAAAAAAAATCGTAAATTTTGCCTGTATATAATAATGTGACCACGATTCCTTCATTGTCGCTGTGTCATTATAACAATTGCATATACAAAATGTCGTCTAGTTCAAATTTTTATTGTATCTTAAACATGCATGTACAAAAGATAGATACAAACACTGGCGAATAATAGAGAAATATTTTGATACTTGCACCTTTTTCATGAAACAAGAAAGTTGTTCAATAAGGGAATCTTCTCCAAGTGAAATAGATGTTTTCGAATACGGTAGAGGTGAATCGTATAGAGCATTCCGGCAAACGAAACCGTAGCAAATGAGATCAACGTCAACATCCAAAAATCCTGAAATCACATTCAAAAACAAATAATATAACAAAAGTAACATTATGAAAAATAGAGAAATAATTGATCAGCATTTAGTGGTTAATTTACTTTAGGATTAGATACAATGATACCCAAAAGATTAGCCATCAAGGCAAGAGCCGCTTGCAACGAGTTCTGAACACCTCCAACCACACAACGGTCCGATTCCGGAACAAGATCCTACAGCAATGTTCCCAAAACACACTCAACAAAAACAAAAACAAAACTTTGAAGTAATAATAAACAATACAAAAACATTTTCAGTTTTAAATTCGTACCTGCATTTGTTGGATTACCGCAAGATCGAACATCCACAAACCAAGCCTAGAAGCAGCAACACCAGCCATGAGCATGTATGATGCTATTTTCTCCTTCTCAACCCAAATTGATCCAACACACACCAAAAGACAGGTCCACTAGAGAAACAACAACCAACTTTGGTATCATATTCAGATAAATCAAACAACCTCACACCGTTTTTTGATGTAGTGTTTTACTTTTGTTTGATATATTATAACAGTTTTTCTAAACCTGAGACCAAAAGGACCAGAGTCCGGTTCTGAGAGGTGAGATACGGGATTGCATGAGAGGGTACAAAACGGTAGCAGCTAGTCCAACACCTGCACTGATTCCTCTGCCTATACCAATGATATAAGTAGGTATCCCTTTCCACTCCAATGTCGCCGTCATCAATGTTCCAAAGCTATATCGAAAAGAAACTATATGTATGCGATGCGAAACCAAAGCCGCCAACACAAAAAAGATCAAGCTGAAAAGAAAGATACAAAAAGGAAACCTGAGGACAGTGAAGAACAATAGAGCTAGAGCAACTCCAGGGAGCACAATCTCTTGATTGAGATAATTCCTCCATGCGCTAACAAAAGAAGACTCAGAGATTCTCTCAAGAATCCTAAAGATTCCGCTTCTACTTTGCGATTTCCTATAAGACTCCTCTTCGTGTAAAAGAGGAACATAAAAACTAGATGCACTCTCTGTCTCTTCCCCTTGCGATTGAGACAACCTTAATCTCCTTCTCTCATCGCTTTGAACTATCGCAGGAACACCGTTATACACAGAGATAAAGAGCCAATACTCAACCCACACGGTTATAGTAGCCCAAGCTGCAAATGTTATAGCTGATGCTTTAAGAGATACAAAGCTAATGATCAAACCAGTTATAACCGGAGACAGTAGCTTCGAGCTCAAGTCAATGCCTCTGATAACAGAGTTCATTCTTGTTAAAACTGTTGGTGAATGACCTTCCGACATAACCACAACCCTGTGATAAAAAAAAACATAATCTCATATCAAAAACTGCAAATACAATGCCATTATGAGGTGAATAATCTAAAAACCTTAATTTACCAGTCTCGTTCGATCAAAATGGTGCCTGCAAGAGTAGAGAGTACTCCAATGGCGCCAGAAACATTAGTCAACACGACCAATATTGCGAAAACAGGGAAATTATGAGACCTAAGATCAGGAACTAGAAGCAAAGCAACGACTGCACCACCCGCAACAATGAAGGAGAGGTTTTGAGTTACAAGCCAGAGTCTAAGAACTTTAACATAGCTCATTCCATCAATCATTTGGCCTACAATGGGACCAAAAATAGCGGCAGAACCGGATTCTACAACACCGTACATTGCAGTGAGAAACAGAGAGTTTGGCCAGAGGTAAATCATATACAGAGCAACAGAGAATTCCCAAGTTCTGCAATTCATATACCAAAGTAATTATATAATCTTAACAAATCATGTTACATAATAATATATAAAGATTTGATCAGACCTTGCTCCCCATCGAGCAAGAAAATAGCCGAGATAGAGAGAGATCACCATGGAACGTGGCAACGACGGCTCTTCTTCTTGATGTTGTTCGCTTGATAGAAAAACCCTAGTTTCTGTCTCCTCCTCCATTTCTTCAGACTACTTTGATTCTTTCCTCTGAATATCAATTGAATCTGAAAATCAGAAACATCGATCAAAGCGAATTCAGTGTTCATTGTGTATCCTCTAGATTTTCAATTCAACGGGTGCAACTAGTAAGACATGGATGAGATAAATAACGAAGAAAACAAATAAACTGGATTAAAAAAAAAGGGATTAAGAAAATTAGAGAGTATGCATTACATAATCAAAAATTGCAGAGTTTATTTTCTGAGAATATTTTACAAGAATTTATTTATTATCTAAAATAGAGATTGATTTTAAGATTTTTTGACATATTTAAATTAATTTTAGTAGTATATTTTCAAGAAACTAATTTGGAAAAACGAAAAAAATCAATCTTCATGAAACAAATTAGAAAAGGATAGATACAAGAAGATGGATACAAATCTATCATATGACAAATTCTGACCCGTCCAAAAAACGTATTTTCGTTTGTGAAATATTCTCCATGTTTTGAACGTCTAACTCAAAAATGAATAAATTTCTGACTACTTCAAAATTTCTTGACACAAAGAAATCTTTAATTTGAGTTAGATTTTTCATTTTTCGTAAACTAAACCTCACGAATATCTACAAGACTACAACGGACGCTAGAAAGTTGAAAACAAAACCTCACCTGGCGCAGGTACCAGGCTACGAGCTTGAAGGATGAATGATCGAAGCACCAAATCGAAGTCGAGGAAATCACCGCAGAAACCGAGACATGTTTTCAAGGGCACTAGTGTGCTACTTATAAGTTATATGGGAGTTGTTTTTGGGGATGGGGGAGAAAAATGTCCGAATATTTTCTCGTTTTTTGGCGTCAACGATGATCAGATATCATTAGTATTAAATCAAGTCCTTTTTGTCCCATTAGAATATCTTAGTGATCATACGAACAAACAAACAAAATTTAGCTTCTCGGACATCACAAGGGCTGAGTTAATATAATTATATAAGACAACATTTTATTGTGAGAGCCATAGTTTATATATACAATTCGTCCTTATTAAGCTTCAACATTATCTTCTCATTACATCTCAAATCATGAAATATTATAGACATATACGGACAAGAAACATTGTTGTATATTATAACATGAACTTGTATATAGCATGTGCATCATGTCTGGTTTACAAAATAAAAATAAAAAAGAAAAAGAAAAAAAGCATACATCATGTCTTAAATCTTAATACAGTCTCACAGTGTTGGTACCTTCTTAATTGATTTACACGTTGTGCTGTCACAATTAACAAAGATGTACATTACAAGAAATTAATATGACTATAAATGGGCTAGTTATATGGGCCTCTACAGGCCTAATTTTTAAACGGCACGTACTGTATATTCTGATGAAGAAAACGGCAAGATGTGTTAACGCGTAAACGGCGCGTATTTCTAAACCACTCTTCCGGGTCACATAAGTCATTTTAACCACAAATCCAGAACATTCCGACTTCTCTCTCCCTGAGCTCCGGCCATGGCGGTTCGTCTCGCGAGATCGTTGGCTGCGTCACGGCCGTCCCGTGGAAATCGCTGCTCAGCGTCAGTTATCACTTCATCTGCGATTAACGGCGGTGAGTTTTCTGATTTCCATAGAGCTTTCGCCTTTTATTCGTCTTCGTCTTCTTGGTGGTCGTCTCCTGAGGATTTGACGGCGGGATCGAAGAGGATAGAGAAGAATACTACAGACCGTTTATCTGCCGTGATTGACGCAGTCCATGACCGGAAACTCCCGCCGGAGTTGCGTGGACGGCGCGATTTCGTAAGGTATAGTCTCTTTCCATGTTTTTGTGCTCATCTTCTTGTATGTGTTTGGACATTGGAATCGATAGATCATATAGTTAGGGACTTAGGGTTCATTCGTTTCGTTGAGAATCAAATCTCTGGACACTTCTCTTACCTAAATTTAGCGTTTTCTTCTTCACATGTCAATTTCAAGGTCCAAGCACAATTCAAATTCACTGTTTCCTTGGTTATGCGGTAGAGGTTTTGCAAGGCAATTCAGTTCAGAGACTAAGCGAGTTAACACCAAAGTCAATTTCTCTCTGTCTGATGATGATTCAGATGAGGAAACTCCGGTTACTGAAGATTCTGGCAAGCCGGAGTTCCTGCCTCCTCCTTATGACCCTTTCAGCAAGAAACTGGCGATTGAGGGACCAGAGGATCCTAAGAATCTTCAAGAAATATTCCATAAGATGAAAACAGAGGGTTTTATGAATGAAGCTGTGAAAATGTTCGATGCGTTGTCTAAAGACGGCCGCACACATGAGGCGCTAGAGCTCTTCTCTCAGATTAAAGATAAAAATCAAATGCCAGACGTGGTGGCGCATACTGCTATCGTTGAGGCGTATGCTAATGCAGGCCAGGCCAAGGAGGCTCTTAAGGTTTTCATGCGTATGCTTGCCTGTGGCGTTTCGCCTAATGCGTATACATATACTGTTTTGATCAAAGGGCTTGCAGCGGATGTTAGAACGCTTAAGGATGCGAAGAAGTACTTGTTAGAAATGATGGGAAATGGCATGAGCCCTAATACTGCTACTTACACTGCAGTGTTTGAAGCTTTTGTAAAAGATGAAAAAGAGGAATCAGCTAGAGAATTGTTGCAAGAAATGAAGGGAAATGGTTTTGTGCCTGATGAGAAAGCTGTGAGAGAGGCTCTTCAATCTAAAAGAGGCCAAGTCTTTAGGACTGTCTTTAACCTTTTATTTGATAAGTAGTAGTATTTGTTTGGTGATCTTTTAATAGGTAGAACAACTGGCTTTTATGCGATGCATCTGAGAATGTTGCTGCGTCTTTTGTTTTTTCGATGTTGACACAATTGCGCTGTAGCTTTGCTGTTTTATTGTGGATGCTATATTGCTATGACATTTTTTTTTGTCAGAGAAAGCCTAAGCTTGTTGTTTTTTTCTTGCATTTGTGGTTAAATCTCCCAAATGAGATTCTTCTTCTTGTGAAATATGTTATTGATATGACCTGCTTGTAACGGATGCTAACATGGGATGATGTTGCAGGTCAGAGACTGATATAATCAACGTGGTCGAGCAAAGGATATGGCATTCAATGGAAGAAGGCCACTTTGAGAACTTACCTGGTAAAGGCAAACCCTTGAACCTCCACACAAATCCTCACGCAGACCCAGCGGAGGATACATTGTATCGGATTCTTAACAAGAACGGGGTTGCTCCCGAATGGGTGGAACTCAACAAAGAGATAAGAAACAAAGCAAAAGAATGGAGAATTTCACTGAAGAAAGCATGGACAATGAAACTTGAGGAAGACCAATCGGGCTGGGAAGAGAGATCAGATTTGCTGAAAAAAGAATTGAAACAAATCAACAACATGGCAAGTATTCAACTACAAATCAAGATCCTGTTGCGATATATAATGTTCTACTGATGTGGTCTCTTGTTTGTGGGCAGGTTTTCAGGTACAACCTGATCGTTCCTTTCGGCCGTCAAATGTTTGGACTGAAGTGGGAGAAAGAGATTGATCTCTTGAAAGATTAACATCTTCAGAGGCCAAAAGGTTGGTCACACTTCTATCAACTACTCTGTTCTTGTGTTTGTACTTTGTAGTATATCTATTGATAATATACGAGTCAATGTGGCTATTGATTCTTAGGCTAGATATAATAAGAATAAGAAACAAGTGTTTGAGTTGTTTCATGTATGTTGTATCCATCAAATACTCTTTTGAAAGATAATTATAGCTAAGAAAGAAGTCTTTAGGGATCAAAATCAAATCACGTTCTTTAATTTGAGTTTTTTCGACTAAATGAGTAGGCAAATGAAAGTCAACGAATCGAGAAACATTAAAGAAAAAAAAAGAGAATCTTTTTAGCCGGAAAAAAAAAGAAATAGAATCTTCTTTAAGTTTTTCCGTATTAAGAAAAAGAAAAATGAGATGTGATAGCGACGAAACATCCACTAAACACATGGTTCATGTCCAACCACATGTTTCTCAGAGATGAGAGATCGAAAACAGAACACCACTGCACAATTTCCATCTCACAATTTTTTCTCCTGTCTCCCTCTCTCTCTTTTTTCTGTGTGAGAGAGAAGACTCAATGGTCTCAAATTGCTTAAGCCTTAGTCTCCATCTCAATCTTCATCCCCACAAACACAATCGTCATTCTCTTTCTTCCTTCAGATCCCAGACAAAAGCTAAACTCTATCAACATGTCTCATTCACAGATTCAAGCCACAAGAGATCTTACACTTCTTGTGTGTCTACCTTTGACTCACAACACAAAAGCAGCAAACACTATGAATTGGGCAACCACAATTTCAGTCCGAACCGGCCTGGTTACAACTTGGGTTTGAGCCGATCTGGTGTCATCCGCCCAAGACTCTCGGCGATGACCGGCTCAGAATCCAATGACTTCGGGTTTGACGAATCCCAGTTCGACCCATCTCTCACGAATGAAGACTTGAAACCGACAACACCTAGCCAAAGAACGTTTTCATGGTTGGACATGTCAAGTTTATGGATCGGTCTTGTGGTTGGTGTGCCTACATACTACCTCGCCGGGAGCCTAGTGGATCTTGGCATGGCGTGGTGGCAAGGGATAGCCACAGTGGTTGCTGCCAACCTTATACTACTTGTGCCGCTGGTCCTCACCGCTCAGCCTGGCACTCTGTACGGAATTTCCTTCCCTGTCCTTGCTAGATCATCGTTTGGTATCCGTGGAGCTCACATCCCGACTCTACTCAGGGCTTTAGTCGGTTGCGGATGGTATGGTATCGAGACATGGATCGGAGGAGAAGCCATCTTCTTGCTCTTACCGGCTCACTTTAAGAACTCTGCTCTGTCTCATACACTACCCTGGCTCGGCACTTCTCCGCTTGAGTTCTCTTGTTTCATCGTCTTCTGGTTGGCTCAGGTTTGTATTGTCTGGAGAGGAATGGACGGAATCAGAAAGCTAGAAAAGTACTCAGCTCCAATTCTGATCAGTCTCACTTCCTGCCTCCTTGCCTGGTCGTATCTCAAAGCAGGTGGATTTGGTCACATGCTTTCCTTGTCATCCAAGCTAACCTCTGCTCAGTTCTGGACTCTCTTCTTCCCCTCGCTAACCGCAAACATAAGCTTCTGGGCAACTCTAGCTTTAAACATCCCTGATTTTTCACGGTTTGCTAAATCCCAGACGGATCAAATCATCGGTCAAGTTGGTCTTCCCGTTTTCATGGGTTTGTTTACGTTCGTCGGCGTAGCTGTTACGTCCTCCACAAGTATCATCTTTGGAAGAGTCATCTCCAATCCGATTGAGCTTCTCGGTCAAATAGGAGGCCTCGCCACAACTCTACTCGCTATTGTTGGAATATCCCTAGCCACACTCACTACAAACATCGCTGCAAACGTGGTCGCGCCAGCAAATGCGCTTGTGAATCTAAACCCTAAGTTTTTCACATTCGGAAGAGGAGCCTTCTTGACCGCAGTTCTTGGAATCGTGTTTCAGCCATGGAGATTGCTCAAATCGAGCGAGAGCTTTGTGTACACATGGCTCATTGGTTACTCAGCGCTTCTTGGTCCAATCGGTGGCATAATTCTCGTCGATTACTACCTGATCAAGAAGATGAAACTGAACATTGGAGATTTGTACTCTTTGAGTCCCTCCGGTGAATATTATTTCTCTAAGGGATACAATGTCGCAGCGGTTGTGGCTTTGGTCGCCGGAATAATCCCAGTCGTGCCTGGTTTTCTACACAAAATCAGAGCTTTGTCGAAGATCTCAAATGGGTTCGTCGTTGTTTACGACAGCGCTTTGTTTTTCAGCTTCATCATCGCAGGATTTGTCTATTGGATCATAATGTCTCGTCTGGGAAGGAAACAGAGCTCGTTGTCTTCTTCTTCACAGCCGCTTTTGTAAATCTTGTCATTTAATTGGTTTCGTAAGTATAAATATAAGTTATCAGATGTAAAATTAAACAGAAGAACAAAAAAGGAAATAAAGATTATGATTTTATTGCTTTTTGTCATTACGGATTTAATTCATTTACATAATGATTTTCATGCATTAAGCTGAATAATAGTTTTTTGTTAAGCATAGGTTATTGATTTATTACAGCCCATGGGCTTGCTTGAAGCCCGTAAGAAACTTTCCAAACTTTAACAAGTCAATATTTGGAATTCCAAAGTGGAATCCAATGTGATTTAGAAAATGATGCAAAAGTTACTTCAGAAAACTTTTGACCTTTACTACCACCACCACCAATCAACATCCCCAATTTGTGCAACAAATGTAGGAAAGTTAATATATCAAATGTTTTGTATAAGGCTTATATATAAGGATGATTTATATAAGCATCATTAACTAAAGATTTCAATTTGGAAAACAAGACTTACCGACATAATAAGATTCGAGACGGGAAAACAATGTAGTAATTAATGGTCCCTTTCTTTTTTAATATAAACAGGCTGTCACCAAACGAACTGTATCTAGATCCAAGATCAGAAAACATTAATGTATTTCATATCATAAGAAGACAACCATGTGCAAAGCCACGTTGAGTTTTGTTAGGTATAGTATAAAAGTAAGTAAAGAGAAAGAAGGAGAAGAACATTATCACAAGATTCACAACTATCCAAATCTTCAAGATGTGAAAAATTAGCCAAGAAGTCCATCTTGTTTACTTTATACACTCTTTTTTCATGTCCTAATGCACAAATCAAATCGTGAAGAAATAACCGGTGACTCGATACTTCCACATCGCCAAGCGGGGAGATTCTTCACATCGATAGTCCAGGTTTGATCTCCAATGACTTTAACTCTTACACTCACAAGATCTAGAGCAAATTTATGGTTGCGTGTAGGGAAAACTAGTTTGTATGAAAAATGTTTGTAATGTTTCAAGAAATTCACATTCGATCTTAGTAACTAATGATAGTACTTATCTATTTTCAGACATGGCATCGTGGCGCTCTTGGGTATAAAGCTAGGAATAAATGATTGCTCATAGCCTCGGTAACCAAGCACACCGTAAATCTAGTCGGAAGTGACAATATCCTTTATGTGATAGTACTCGTGATTGGAATCGCAATAACAAGGTTTGCAGTGGAAGTAATCTTTTTCAATCATCATATCCATTTACAACGACTTTAAGTATAAGTCGATATATGGGGATGTAACGCATGTTGTTTTCTGCGAGGAGCATTTGTACATGTTTCATGTAGCATGAAATCACATTCCATACATGAATAGTAATTACCTTAGATAGGACATTGTACTGCTTGAAAAAACTTGTTAACGTCATAAAATTTATGATGAAAACACCTATAAAAAGTGTTTTTTCAAGCATGTGTCCATGAGAGTAATTTTTATTCATATATGACATGTGATTTCATCCTTCATAAAATGTGTGCAAATGCTTTCCACAGGAAACAACATACGTTACATCCCATCTACTTACACTTAAAGTCGTTGTCTATGAATCTGATAAAATGTTACTTCGACTGTAAGCAGTGGTTTCGTCTATGAGTGTCGCATACATGTACGATCGGAGCTTTGTTGGAGATCCCAATAGTTGAGTTTGCTCTGGTTTTCAACATCTTCATTATAGGAATTTGACTACTGACTCATCATGCCTAGCCTGATAAAGTGATAATGATGTTATTTTCCCATTACAGTTTGGTTCACATAATGTGTATGATTTGCCATATTATTGGCACAGCCCATGGGTTTATTCCAGCCCATCAATCAAATGTTGCAACTTTTCCAAATTTCGAAAAAATTAATAATCAAAATATCAATTTCATATTTTCATTTTCGGTAGTACCCAATCAAACCCAAAAGATTCTTGTTTACTTTACTAATTCCTCGCTCAAAACAAAATCTAAAAATAACTGATTAGGGAATTTTTTTTTTTTTTTTTATTTATGGTTAGCTTGTTTCACTAAATCAAAACGAAATCTAAAATATTCACTAGTTAGATTCGATTTTATCAAGAAATTGCAAATTTTCATTTTCAGTTGCTCCCTAGTCCCTATATAAAAGTGAGTTATTATTAGGCATCATGCAGCAAAGAATCAAACAAACCAATATCGAAGGCAACAAATGGGGAACCAAATGGAGACACACAATACAGAAAATGTCAATGACTTCATTGTTGATCTTTCGCATGTGAAGTTAGTGAACTGGATATTTAAGACACACCCAGAAACTGCAGTGAAAGTTAAATTGCAAAACCAACAACTCAGGACAACATGCATGAATCTTCTCGTGGGCATCATTCAGAAACTTTACCACAAGCCTCTGCATGATCTCTCCGAGTCAGAATTAAGCAAAGTTTCCGAGGATTTGTCTGATCTGACTAAAGTCGGTTTTGATCTGCAGTGGTTAAGTTCGAAGCTTGGGAAGGTTTGCTTGGACAGGAAGAACCACCATGCCTCTGAGGCTCGGATTGGGGAAATTGAACAACAAGTCAAGAAACTTGAGGTGATGAGGTCTGATCTCAAAGCTGATTTGGAAGAGGAGAAGACCAAGTTGAAGAGGCTATAGTTCGTTAGGGCTTATTTGCATAGGGTTTCTTCTGCGACAAGACATGAATACCCCGCTTTTTTTTTTGGCCAAAGATGATTTTATAATTTTATCTAGTTCTTAAATGTATCTCGTTCTAATTTTATCTAGATTTTTAAATGTATCTCGATATTTTGTTAATTTTATCTAGTTCTTAAATCGCAACTTTTTACAATTAAAATCCACTAATATAATAAATTTGAGACGTTTCAGGAAAAAAAAATTAATAACCAAAAGATCCACTGCGAATTTTCAGGTACACTAATTCCTAGTTCAAAATAACATTTAAAAATAATAAAATTATATATGATTTCCTTTTCCTTTTTTTTAATTCGTTATATATCTTAAAGTTATCTTATTTTTAAATTAATCCGAAACAAAAAAAAATCTAAAAGGTTTAACAAACTCGATTTAGATTTGATTTAGGACTTGGTAAGTCTCGGTTTCTTTGGCTGCCTCCTATATAAAGAGAGGGAGTTCTAGAACCCTTAATTCATGAAGCTAAAAAATAAAACAAACTTTGCTCTGAGAATTCCCTATACCGATATCAAAAGCCAAGTTATGGGAAATCAACTTCAGTTGTTACATAGACGAAGAAAGATTAGAGTCAATGGTTTTGTCATTGATGCTTGTCACATGACGTTAGCAAAGTGGATTTTTCAGACATATCCAGAAACTACAGACAATGTTAAAGTGCAAAACCAAGATCTCAGGAATACTTACATGAACCTTCTCTGCAACACCATCGGGATACTTTACCACACGCCTCTTGGTTATCTCACCGAAGCAGAATTGAGCAAAGTTTCCAAGGATTCGTATGATCTGACACAAGCTGGTTTTAAGCTGGAGTGGTTGCAGTCAAAGCTTGACAAGGTTTCCTTGGAGAAGAAGACTTCTGAAGAACGGATTGTGGAACTCAAACTAGAGGTCAAGAAACTTGTGATGACTGTGACTGATCTCAATAGTGAGAGGAAAAGGGAGAAGAAGAAGTTGAAGAAGCAACCAACCTGGATACACGCAGGCTAAACGAATGATGATGGGTCACTAAATTTTACTCTTTTTTCTTAAACACTTATTTTATTATTTAGAATAATATTGTGGTTATTTAGGGTTATCTAATCTTTTCTTTTTTTATATATAAAAATATTATTATTGTTAAGGATTGTTTATCTAGAAACGATAATTATGTATTATTCGAAAAAACATAATTAGATTACCCCTACGTTTTTTCTTTTAAAACTTTACCCCTTCCTGTTCCTAATATGCCTAAGTTAAAAGATGATTATACTGTAGTAGGTTTTCTAGTTTTGACTTTATACAAGTTTTAATAGCTTGCTAGACACGGTTTGATTAGGCCTCTCTTGGGTTTCTTCATGATGCTCGTATAAAGTATTTAAATTTACCCGATTTTAATTGGCTAGGACTGGACTATAATGGGCTAAGAATGGGCCAACTCAAAAGTATTTTTGCTAAATAAATTGTTTGAAGACACTATTAAAGAAAGAAAGAGGAGGTGTTTAATTTTAGATATAAAAACCGAATATTCTTTTATTCCTCACACACCGATAGGGGAACACACCTGAATGGTGGTGCATCACAGGGGATAACAACAACAACACACACATTCAACACAAACATAACGAAATTAAAGACAATAAACCAAACCAAACCGGAAACAAAGTAAACAAGGAACATAAGACAAAATAAGAGCTAGTAATAATAATCTGCTGATTCCGAGGGGAACCGAAGCTTGCCAAAGGATCGAAGTTGCCCAAACGAGGGATAATAAAAGACACATCAAGCTTGTCTTCATCAACCTTCATGCAATCTTCATCGCTCCATTCACACACAATCCTCATCATCATCATCACCATATTGATAATTATGATGATGATCATTTACACAACACCCACACACAAACATTCATAATCATAATCTCCAAGAGACCTCTTCTTCTCCTTACCTTTTGTGAGCACTCTTGTGTTTGGGGCCATCCCCTAAAGAGAAGCTTGAACCTCTCAAAACCCTTTATTGGTGAGATCTTCTATAGATTCAGAGGGTTATTTAGGGGATGGCCATATTTTGTGTGTATGGTGTTGTGCCAAAGAGAGTTTCAACAATGGATGTTGTTAGGGTTTTTATGCCTTCTCTCTTTGTTTTTGGTCATGGAGACAAATTAAACGAGAGGTTGAAAACACTCATTGCATAAGCTATAGTGTTCTTTCCACTTTTCCTTTAAAATACTATTTTTTTATAATAATTAATCAACTCAGTGTAACCACTGTATCCCGTGTCTGTTGATGATAGATTATTTTGTTTTTTTCTAAACTGTATCCAAAAGTGAATACAATTATAACATGTACTATTTATATGATCGACTGACGTGAAAATTATTTTTCAACAATATATTTGTATGTAAAACTATATGAATTCAATGTTTTGGGTTCTATAAGTTATTGTAAGTGATTATAAAAAAAAAGATAAATGAAAAATGGATATATTATTGGTGTAAAGGGGAATAAAGTAAGAATTTTCATTCGTGTAAAGATGACATTGAAAGAAATCAAATTACCATTTTAAATATTATTTTGGGAAAAAGTGGAAGAAGATGATGGATGGAAATGGGGAAGTCCATGTAAAGATGTTGGGAGAATTTTGGATCTTCTAAAAGGAATATGCCAATTACCAAACATGTGTATTTTAAACAACAAAACCATCTCATCACTCTTTATTTTACTAGCAAATCTTATTTCTTTCTACCTTTTTCATTTAAGTATACACGTCGGTAAAGCTCTATCTGTCTTGTCCGGTTCAATAACAAGGTTGTGGTCGGTTACTTATGGTTGAACAAAAATTTGGGGTTCTTTAATTTGCATCAGTTCTTGGACTATTTTATATCTTTTTTGGTATGTTCTCCTAAGTTCCTAACAAATTTTCGTGAGGTACTAGTAGTTGCTTATCGCCTTATCGAATATTTGAAAGGTGTTTACTGTTTAGCGCCAACTTTTTCTTTTTCTACTTTTTTTTTTTATAACACATACATAATTGAATGCTTAATTGATCATACCGGACCGAAGAAGAAGGCTTCATCTGCAATATGGAATATCATAACAACGAAAAGGAATCAGATCCTTAGTTGATTAGTTATGTTCTTGACCGATTAATTGAATTTGATAGTTAGGTAACTAACTAATAAGGTGTTGTGGAGCTGATTAATTAGACTGATTATACCAAAATCAAGGCAAGTAGCGATTAGAAACCACTTTTTTTTTTTTTTTTTTTTTTGAACAAAAGCGATTAGAAACCACTATGCAACTGATTAATCGGCTAAATCCATCAAGAAAATAACATAATTGATACGCATTGAAAATCTTGTCCCCAAGCTGTTTAGACAAATATTATTGGCTCGATCTATATAGTACACCAAAGCAACTCTCAATCATATCAACTTATTACTTAGCTCCTTCACTGCTTATTTTTGAAAATTACGCCTAAAATTTTGATTTTCGGTGAAATTCATTCTAAGAAAAGAGATCTCATATCCTAGTGAGTCGAGATTAGACTTATTAGAACATGATTACTTCAAAACGTTAACGTATACAGAAGGAAACAACTCTGTCTCCAAGTAATTTACACACTGAGTTTACTAAAAAAGACATTTTCACATTCCACAACCAAAGAATAGTAGAGTACAATAAACGTAAAGTTGACACTCCATATACAATGGCAACGAAGCTAGTTATGTAAGGTAAGCCAAAAAAGAAGAAGAGTTTGATAGAAATTTACCTTACACAATTAGTTTTCATCATCTTTTGGGGTTGTTTCTTTACCGGCGTGGTTCATTCATAGACTTTCCTTCAAACAACTCACCCAACAATCTTTCAAGATCTTCAGCTGTATACTTTATGTATTTCTGAGGATTCTTCCCACTCTCAACCAAAGGCCTACATTGATCATAGGTTTAAATCTCATTAGGGTTTTACATTTCGATCAAATATGTTAAAAAGAACAGTAAGAGAGAAAGGAGATTTTTACCCAAAGCGTTTGAGGAATGATCTGTAAGCAGGCAATAATACTTCGGCAACAGCAAGTCTTAGTGACTCTCTTAACTCTGTGTCTGGAACTGTCCATTGAGATTGTCTCTGATGCAACTCATCAAACTGCATATTGAACATCTTGAACCTGTTCCATTTTTTTAAATATGATTTATCATCATTACCAAATATATTAACATTTCACAATTGTCTGTGCTTCTTTTTAGCTGTTTAAGCCTTACCTCTCTTTCAATAATCCTCGTGAAACTCCACTGCTGTTTCCTCCCTCTAAACTTCCTCCCCCAGATGAGGTTAAACCTTGCGCCGATGAGCATTGTAATATCTACAAAATATATGTAACACTTTCTTAGTAACAATATAATGAAGATTCTATATAATAGTGTCTATTTAAAGAGTTAGACAAAAAGAAAGAACCTTTGTCCAGGCAACCCTTTTGTATTGGTTTGCATGTTGCTGCACGATACGCCTATGTCTTTGAACCCAATCATCGCCTAGCAAATCCTTGGCTTCTGACCTGAAAAATTATCATATGAGTAAAGCCAATTACATCAACTGAGTGCCGGTTTTTTCTGTTTTTATAAACCCTGATCAGTCTTTAAGCGTGAAACTAAACAAACCTGCGCACAGATCTGACCATGTAATGAATGTTGTTCATCAGGAACAAGTGTGTCAATGCAGGATCTTTGTACTGTTTCGATTTTCCATCCAAGTTGTTTTGAAGTGCCTGCATTATCCGCATTGTTACAGATGCTAGCTGCGAATTTGAGTCATCTCCATTTCCAAATTCCAAGAAAAGTTGCTTCAATGTCGTTTGGTAGCTGCTACCAAAGATCATCAATTAAAGCGTGGAAAGAGACAATATGCAAATAGCAGGACGAAGAAGAAGAAGAAGAAAGAGATTCAAAGAAATTAGTTAGGTTGGGCTAGTCCTAATCAAATCGACAGATATGAGGTACTTACTCGAATAAGAACTTCACATAATTGATGACATAGCTTGTTAGTGGGTGGACGGTTCCATCTAGAACAGCAGTCTTTGTAGCATCTTTCTCAACAGCTTCTTCGAAATCACCAAATGTTTCCTGAGCAGTCTGCGCCAACCGCTTTGTCAAGCCCGTAGCAGAATCTCTAATTTCAAGGCATGCTTTACCTTTGAAAATTGTCTCAATCTGTCCATGGACACAAATTTCATGAGATTGTCGCACCATCTAATGTTAACCATAAAATGTATCACAAACACTAACTGGTCATCAATTAATTCACACTTTATGTCGTCCTAGATAGCAAACTTTAACCACATATGTATCACAAAGTTGTTTCTGTGTATGCCATGCTGGTTATTATGGTGGGGATTTCAGTACGACAATTACATGTAATCAATGCTCAACAGCTCAAAACATATCTCACATGGGAAGAAAAGCATTAAAGACAATCAACTTCCAAATAGTACTCCTCAAGTAAACAAAGCAGCTAGGTATGACATCTCTAAGAAGTAAGTGGTGAACTCTATGCATAACTATGCAAACTGAACTTTTATGTCTTAATATTGTAAATCATTATATGTTTGTCAATAAAAACTAGACGTTTGCAGCATCCTGTATTATAATATTTAACCTCACTAGCTTATACAAATGTAATACAGGTTTGAAGGTGAATCAAGTATGTACCAAAGTTCATAATACTGAAAACTGACAGTCTAAAGATCAGAAAAATCCACCAAAAGTTGAAACTACAAAATAATTTTACCATTTAACAGAAGACTCTTCAGTAAATGTATGACGACTTAATGATATTAATGAAAAAATTATTACCTCTGTATGAAGCTCCCGCATTATCTCATACATGTCTAAGAGTACAAACAACTTTTCTGGAGATCTCTTGCTCCTGGCTATAGCATCCCCAAAGCTAAGTAGCATTGAGACACTGCTCACCGTAACCTCTGCAAAACACTGATCACTTAGAGAATCGAAACCTCGAAATATCTGGTCACATACTTGCCTTTCTCCAGCAAAGAGTAATTTAACCTGTTGAAAAATAATAACTCGAGTTAAAAGTCAACAGAACATGTAAAAATTATTTCAAACCTAAACTAGAGTTCTTACAGCAATGCGCATGAAATGGATCCAATTTCCAATTTTGGCCTCCAAAACTTCCCACTGCATCCTCTGAACATCCTCTTTGCTAAGTTTTTCAACTCCCAATTTCCTTAGGCTTTCTTCCAAGACAAAAGATCGTGTTTCTCTGAACAAAACACAAAAAATTGAACAGCAGGAGATTATAAACAAATTCAAAACACACAAATGCATCTTAAATATGCATTGGGAAAATGCCAGTAGATTATGCAATTCGCTGCTTAAATCTGACAATACTAGTAGTTGCGGTACATAGTTCATATGGAAGAATAAAGACAAAGCTTCTCCAATGCATTACACGTATGAGAAAAACAGCATTGCATCTAGCAATAATTTTTCAGATCAGCTAAGAACAAACAGCGGAGCGCACGATGTGCACATCACAGTCAAAGTATTTGATTCTCGTCATAAAAACACACATATATCAAAAACCCACGAAAATTTCATAGGTGAGGGTGAATAGAAATTCATATTCCAGAAACATTTCTCTCTAGCTTAACTAGTGAAACAGGACAATGATAGTCAAATATAAACTCACGACTTGCAGAAACCATGGAAAAACTAGCTCTTAGTAAATGAGTGGTGACTGGTGAGCATTATACGTAAGCTAATTGTAAACCGTAATCGTTCAAAGCAACTATACCTTGGCACAGTACTTTGACTCATGTTACAATTATTAGTTGAAAGTTTAATCTAACAGCCTGATTTGAAAATGAACTGTACGACATAGAAGATAAATGACCAAGAATCAAAAGTCACCTATAAATTTGTAGCAACTGTTGTTGGTGACCAGCCTGAACCATTTGCTGTGCCAAGTCATGCAAAAGTGGCAATACCCTTAACGGAATGAGGATTGGAAGTGTATAAGCGGCAGTTTCCGCGTCATCGTTGTGATGTCCTCCGTGGGGTTTTCCACCTCCATCACCGTCTGAGGATGGTCTCAGTGAGTTGGGAAGGCCATCAAATAGGCGATCAGGCTCCACGGCTTTACTGAATATAACAAAAAAAGGGATGGCTTTAGCATTCTTCCATCTAAAACCAGTTGCCTGGAACACTCGTATCATAGGAAACTTGTATATTGACAAGTGTTTGTTTTCACAAAAAAAAAAAATTTGCCAAGTGACAACTTTGATAATTTAGAAAAAGCCATTCAAAGATATTGCCTTTTTTTCTCCTGCTAAAAGTATTCTTGGTTATTTGCAAGAGAAGTAAAGAACTAAGACCCTCCTAGAGCGAAGACCAGTTCCCGTAAAAACACTAACTAGAAAAGTAGCTAAAAATCCACAACTAGCTATGTTCCCTGAAGTTACAAGGTAGTCGGAGTGATGGTTATAGCATGCAAGAGCATCAAATTTGAAAAAGTAACCATGTAGTTTCTTAAACCCTTATCAGGCACAGAAGCACAAACCTGTAAGAAGCTAGCAATTGCTTAAACTCCTCCTCCAACTTTGACTGTGCTTTAGCAAGCAAGCTATTAGCATGGTTGAGAACTCCATCGCTACTCTTAAAGCTTTTGTTGCTCATAAAATAACGAATAATCTTTCTGAGTTGAGCAATTGCATCCAGATAACTTTCCAGGTCCTCATGTGGCCCCTTGAGTACTTTAGTCTCTGCCTAGAATTGAATTGAGAGCATAATCAGAAAACTAAACACATCTCTTCTCAATGTGGATCATTATCATTTATATCTATTTATAGCGATACATGTAAAACAAACCTGACGTGAGATCGAATTGAGACAAAATAACCTCAGCAGCCTTAAGAGTCCTATCAATATTCTCATGAGCTTTCCTTATAGCATGAGTTCTAATCTGAGATTTCAAAACACAGTCAAACCAAAATCCGATCATGTCAGCAGAAATTCAATTCCAGATCTGGATTAGAATACAATCAGAGAAGATGATCGGAGCACTCTAAACCACACCTGAGTAGGACGCATGGCGGTTTCGAGAGCAGAGAGACGACTATCGAAAGAGCCGAGGATAGAGACAACATTATCGGTGATGGTTTGACTCTTCTGAAGAGAAGCTCTCATCAACAGAGCTCTTTCGCTGAGTAGATCCATTCTGCTATCAACAGCCATGGCAAAATTCCAAAACTGGAGAAATACTTTTTTTCTCGTCGCCTTTCGAGAAATGGAAGTTGAAGAGAAAGAAAGAGAGACGACGAAGGATGACTCGGTTTGGTTTGGTGGGTGACACAGCCGAGCCGGTTCAAAGCCAGCTAAGCGTTTTCTTTCCCCTTTTTACTTAAACCAGATTTTTGACTATTCTCTTAAAATATTGACCTCTGTTTTAAATATTTTTATAACAAAATTATAGAAATAATTAAACTTCAATAAAATTTGTCTTTCGATTAACCAATAATGTAATTTTCAATTTGTTACAATCAGTTATGCTAACCATAATGTAATTATCTCATATTTTTTCGTTAAAAACTCTTATGTTTTTGGTGTTACATTTTATGTCGACAACATTTATAAGCATTGAGGAGTGTTGTCGTGTTGACATATCTAATAAAGGTGATGAAAAAAAAAAAAAAAAAAAAAAAAAGACATATCTAATAAAGGAACATGGCCCACAAAATAAAAGGCTATGGCCCAAACACGAAACAGCCCATTAAACACGGCTACCAATTTTTTTTCTTTTTTTGACACCACAAAGCCACAGACTATATATTGTAGATCTATAAAAACATTAACGACCAAATTTGTCTCAGAAAATAAATGGGCTCAACAACAAATTAAACATCAACATGTTCTTACAGAAGATGTCAAAGTGACATTTTATAATTTATAACATAGCAAACATACTAATAAACAAGAAGTGAACAAAACACTTGACATTTTTATGTTGAAAACTAAAAAAAGAGAAGAAGAAGATTTAACATATGAGGATTGTTAGACGAAGATGTAGCCTCTAGAGGATCTTTATTTTGTACTCAACTTGGCACTTTGGTGCGCCAATTTCGACAAAACAGTTCTATCCTCCAATAAATTGAAATAACACCAAACACTCAGTCACTCACATATGTGATCACAAACATACACTTCATATCTCCATTTAATTACGATCATTTAAATGTTTTTTTAGTTAATGCGATAATTTAAATGTTTACTAGAGGTGTAGATAAATATTAAAAATTCAAAAGAAAATAAAAGAAAGAGAAAAAGGTTAGGCGAGCAAAAGGGAGATGATATCCTAAGATATCTTTTCTTTTCATGGCTTTTCCGTCACTCTTTCTGTTCCCAAAATCTCATATTTTGTAGTATTTGGATATTTAGAGAGAAATTTAGTTCCATATTTATTCATCTGCCGTTGAGTGACTTTTATTTTATAGAAACATAAACCTCCTTGAAATATGTTTTACCATAAGAGGCATATTAAAGAAGACGACAAAAAAAAAAACAAATCAAAGCCAACGACGACAAAAATAAAAATAAAAATCAAAGTGTTTTGACTCTTAGTGACGTCACAATCGGAGAGTGGGAAACACGTCTCTTGAATGCGCGCGTGACTTTTGCACCGGGCAGAGGTGGGGTTTTGCAGGGGCTTGGCTGACAGCAGACCAAGGCCATGTTTGGGCTCCCATAATTCATTAACCATCACTGTTCGCCGACTCTTTAACAAAAAAAGTAGTTTGAAAAAGAATTTGTATTATAATAAAATTTGATTTTCTATTTTTGAAATGATGCTCTAAGAAAAGTGATTACAAAATAATTAGTTCCACTGGTGAGTAAATTTTAATCATTGTAAATTTTAGATTATTATTATTATTTTTACTTATTTTGTTTTTTGGGGGCGATTATAGAGAATACAATGTAGCCAAAGCTCAAAAGCAATGGAAACCCAAGTTTTTTTTTTTTTTTTTTTGAAAACTCAAGTTATGACATATTGACGGTTTCAATTTTCAAAACATAAATAAATAGTAGTTTTTATAGATAGAAGTTTCTCTTTTTTTTTTTATTGTATAGATACAAAATTAAAAATAAAAAATGAATTCCAACCACTTTTTCTAGGCGGTTTAATGAATCGTCTAATTTTTTATACTGTTTAAATTTGTTTGATTGTCTAAAAAAGTAAAAATAATGCTCATTCGCCTTTTACTATTCAGTAATTTTAAACGCTAAAAACCCAATCGTTTTGCCAATTGGTAGTCCACGAAAACGGTTAGCCTCCAACCGCAGTGGTTGACGATTCTTTTGTTTATGGCAATCGCAGCAGCGATTCCAAAACGCTAAACACACACGTCGACAAAAGAACCTGGAAACCAAAACAGAGACGTTTGAGTGAAGCAAAGTGTCGGAGAGAAGAAAGCAAAGAACAAACGTTACTGTCTCAGGTCTGTGTCTTGTCTTCTTCTTCAAAATCTCTCATTTACCAGTTCTCCTCTCTTTCTCCGTAAAGAATAAATCTTCCAGTTTCTTCATCACATTTCTTTTCCTTATTTTAATCTAAACATTTGTTTGCATCATTCACAGGCTAATAAAAATTCCCCCTTTTTCTTAGATCGCTACTACTTATAAAGTATATAGATAGAAACAAGTGTGCAGATAGATGTAATTATCAACGAGGAAGCATCATTATCATTATCATTATCATTATCATTATCATCATTACAGCTTCATAGATTCATATTTTTTTCTAAAAGTTTGCTTTTTTAGTAGTTGGTGGTTAAGTAGGATTTGATTTGATCGTCTAGAATTACAGATCGAGAAACAGGTGAGCGAGAGATTAAGCAAATTTGAGTTATTTTAGAGAAAATGGGATCTTCTTCTGGACAAAGTGGATACGATCTGTCTTTTAAGATCTTGTTGATTGGTGATTCTGGTGTTGGTAAAAGCAGTTTGCTTGTGAGCTTCATTTCCAGCTCCGTTGAAGATCTTGCTCCTACCATTGGTAAAATAGTTTTCTTTTAACTTGTTTTTCTCTTTGATGCTCGAGAAAAGGTCTCAGATTTTTGTCTTAAGAGCTGAAAATTGAGAATGAAGCTAAGTCATATCTTTTGTGCTTTGATTATTGATCAAATAGTAGTATTTCTATATATGGAAGAGCTTGTATCTGATGATCATCTGTCTAATTTGTGTGGAATGATCTTTGATCGAATTGCCACTGAAACAATCTTGACTTTTTAGTAAGACCCAGTTAGATACTTTCTGTCTGATAATCTAGCAGTCTGGTCTTGGTTTGGTTTAAGGAAATCTGTTTTGTCTGATCCTATTGGCATTTTATTGTTGTTTTAACATAATTATTACTCATAGGTGTTGATTTCAAGATCAAACAATTGACAGTAGGAGGGAAAAGACTAAAACTCACAATCTGGGACACAGGTGATTGATTCTATATTTGAGATTTTAAAAGTTTTAGGTTCCAAAGGAAACTAATGGTTCTGATAATATTCTCTGTTTTCTCATTGTTAGCTGGACAGGAACGGTTTAGAACACTGACGAGCTCTTACTATAGAGGCGCCCAAGGAATCATTCTGGGTAATGTCCATTAGCAATCAATCACAAGATTAAGACTTAAGAGATTTCTCTGTCTGTGAACTGCTTAGTCAATGTAACTTGGTGAATGCAGTTTATGATGTGACGAGAAGGGAGACATTTACAAACTTAGTAGATGTGTGGGGTAAGGAGATTGAGCTTTATTCCACAAACCAAGAATGTGTAAGGATGCTCGTTGGGAACAAAGTCGATAGAGTGAGTTGCAATCGAAATCACAAAGCTTTTTCCCAAAACACGGTTTGGTCATTCGAAATTTTTCTTGATGAAACATATGATTACAGGAATCTGAGAGAGGAGTTAGCAGAGAAGAAGGGATTGCTCTAGCAAAAGAACTCAACTGCATGTTTCTTGAGTGTAGTGCTAGAACTCGACAAAACGTGGAACAGTGTTTCGAAGAGTTGGCTTTGAAGGTAAGATCCTTAAACCCGCAAGGAAAAACAAAACAATTCGGAAAGAGAGATTTATATATAACATAGAATGAATGTGATGAAACAGATAATGGAGGTACCTAGTCTCTTGGAAGAAGGATCAAGTGCTGTGAAGAGAAACATCTTGAAGCAGAAACCAGAACACCAGACTAATACTCAATCCGGCTGTTGCAGCTAGTGACCCGGGTCGATGTTGCATATAAAAACTCGTATCTTTCTTTTGTGTATTGCAAACTGAACCTGATTCTTCTCTCTGCAGTTGCCTCTTTTGTGTGTAGAACGTAATGTAGCTTCAATGTAAATTTGTGGGATTACTTATATTTTTCTTTTGCTTCTGAAATGAGATTTGTGATAATAACATCATAATAGAATAAACCCCATCCAGTGTTTTCTTAAATCCGTGTGTTTATTTTGGCTCAAACTATGGATTCGAGTAGAGACAACATTCAAAGAGAATAAGATAAATCCTGATTTGAACAGTGAAGTCAGAGTCATACACACTACAACAGTTTCATTTTTCATAAATTCAAAGTCTTTGTAACATAGTTTTTTGACCAACATAGTCTTCCATATCAGGAAGATCATTGTACAGGAATTATGGAGATAACAAATTAGACATAACGATCACAACCATCAATGAGATTTCCTACTCGTTCTAGGCAACACCATGCGAATTATCTCTGATTTGAGACGTAAGAGATGAAAAAGATGGCCAGATATTAAAAAACCGGTGCAGGCGAAAAAGAGCAATCATACTCCTAAACGTAACTACAGCAAGCTGACTTCTCGGCTGTAGAAGAAGATGAGGCAGTATCTTGTTTAGTGATCTTGATGCCTTGGGGCTGCAAAGCAACAAGAGCAGTACATATATTAATTACTCAGCTATAATCTCGGTATGACAATATGAAGATCGAGTATTACTGGTTGATTCCTGCAGTTCTTACCTCTGCTTTTGTATCGGTTTCTGTCAATCTTTGTTTTATGTCTTTTGCGATTGAAAGGAAAACATTTTCGACATTGAGGTTTGTTTTTGCACTCTGCAACAATTGTAATCACATCAGTAATCTCAAGAGAATATTAATGAAAAACAGCAGACATGTTCTGTTTTTTATCTAGCTCACCGTCTCAAAGAATTTGATTCCATACTCATCAGCCAAAGCTTGGCCCTTTGATGTTGGAACAGCCTGAAGAAGAAGATCACAAATCAGTACAGTAAAACTAAAGTCTTGAAAGTAAGTATGCACTAAAAATAACTTACCCTTTTGCTTTCATCCATATCAGCTTTGTTACCAACCAAGATTTTGTTGACATTATCTGAGGCATGTTGCTCAATGTTCTTCATCCAGTTCCTAATATCTGTTGAACCAATCATGTTCAGTTGCCACAAGTCTCACAATCCGATTTTCTCAATGTCATTGCAAAATAGTAACAAGACCAACAGAGAAGTAAAAGACATACTGTTGAAAGACGACTCATCCGTAACATCGTAGACAAGCAATATACCCATCGCTCCCCTGTAATACGCTGCAAGTAAAATAACAGGACCAAAACGCTTTAAAGGAAACTGCAGAAACAGATGAACTGTCTTTGACTTCATAAAAGTATGGAAACACTCAAGTTATCATCAAGACAAGACTAGAGAATCAATCAACCGATGCAACAACGTTAAAAAGTCCATCTTCTCTTACCTGTAGTAATAGTTCTGAAACGTTCTTGACCAGCAGTGTCCCATATCTGCAATTTGATACGCTTCCCATCAAGTTCAACAGTTCTTATCTTGAAGTCAATTCTGTAAATTAAAAAAAGCCAAAGTAGTAGTAAAACACAAACTTAGACAACAAACAACAACATTTAGACACATCTTGAAGTAAACAGAAGAAGACATACCCAATGGTAGTAATGAAACTTGTAGTGAAAGTATCATCAGAGAATCGAAGTAACAAACAACTCTTCCCCACACCTGAAACATACATATACACACATAAAGCTAAAAACAAACAATTTAACACAAAAAGAAGTACTTTTGTCAACGAATTCCAAGATTTTTTCCACTACTAGTAGTAATCAGCATAAACAAACCAAAATCATAAAGCCCTAATTAAGATCGGAAAAAAACTGACACGAAAAGATTTACTTCAGAAAATGAAATCAGACCCTTTTTGAGTTTTTTCTTCTAATTGCTAATTTATCACAGAACATAGAAAACGAAGCTAACCGCTATCGCCGATGAGAAGAAGCTTGATGAGGTAATCATAGTCAGAACGAGCTCTTGCCGGCGCAACCGCCATCGCAGAGAAGAGAAAAAAGCTCACTAATTTATTGATCTCTTTGCTTCTCCGCAGAAACTAAACACAACTCTGCTTCTTCTTCTTCTTCTTTTTTTTCCGACGAAAGATTGAAATTTTATTTCTGGAGACAGCGAAAAAAGGAAAAAGCTAATGGAATGCTTCCTTCCAATGTCGCTCGCTGAAGAAAACAAGTTGATTATTTTGCTGTATAATATTTTCATGTTTTATACTTTTTAGAACCGAAACTTTCAATATTTCAAATTGACCCCATAACTAATTTTGGTTAAGAGAATGAACTTATCAAGTTCTCAAATAAGAGGTTTCTAATCCGGTTTACACCTAAAATCCGATATGTAATTGAATGGAATATGAGTTTTTTTTTTCCTTTACAACAAACCGTAAATCAAACGAGTTAAATACCTTTATTTCTTTACTTTTGTTATAAATACTTTAACCGGAATTAAAATTAAATCAAACCAAACCGGATAATACTCAATCTAAGAACCGGTTTACATACTCATATCTAGGACTAGAGGTTGCTTAGTGGTTTGAAATTTAAATGGACAAAGTCAAAATTTATAAATGGTAGAGTGAAGAGAGTAAAACAATTGGGGTGGTTGTATGACATTTAGGAAAGTTCAGGGGGAAGAAAAAAAGGTTGGTTAGATATGATCAAGTGCGGTCGGTCTACTGTACAACAGAAAGATAATGGAGTTTAAGGTGAGCTGTCAAGCAGTTAGTGGGTGAAAACGGTTCCTTCGCTGTATATACGTCGTACACTAGCGTAATCCAGCAAAGTATCCAATCATGCCAGAGCCTCTGTTACATGTGGCATGGTTCAAGAAAAAGTCAAATTATATATTCACATATCTCTTAATCAAATTAAGTCGATGTTTTTTTTTTTTTTTAATAATCCACTATCTATATACATCCACATCGTTCAGTATATTATTTATGAATGTTACTACATGAATGTCTTGTGATATAAATACATTCATCTACTCTGTATAAGTTTTTTAATAATCCACTATCTGTATACATTCATAAATATAGTCTTACGAATTCAACATTGAATTTGTCACGCCTCTTTGCGTAAAATGATGTATAAACGCCGTATAAGATTTTATTTTCAAGATAATTCATAATAGTGAAACATTATTATTTTATCCCACCCAAGTGAATGAGTAATCGTTGTCAATTACTCTACATGGGCTCGATGTTTTGATTTATTACAGATTTAGATAGACAGTTTGTAATTGTATACTATCAATTAAAAATGCGACAAGGACAGCATTAGTTATAAGTCTCACCGACGTTTATGTTAAAAATTAACTAAACATAGTGCTATTACTTTAAATGGATAAAATTTTGAGGGCACCACTCTCGTTTTCCATTTTATGTTCTGAGCTTTTCGGAGCGATTATGGTTTTTCTTTCCACAATTTCAGTGGAGATAAAATGCATTATCTAATCCAATGTACTTATAGAAGACATCGTCAATCACAATACCTCTTTTTATATCATTCGTTTTCGAACTTCCTTTATTTCTGTTTAAATGTTGGGAATATTCATTCGTTTTGTTAGTAGTAAGAAGTTGCACTTTCTCTACATGCTCTTATTTTCAAAAGAAAGGCAGAGATGAGTCATTGACGAGTCATAGACTATATAAAGACATAACATGATCGATACAAAGATACCATTATACCATTAATGGTACGTAGAGCTCCTATTTCTAGAAGTGTTGTAGCATATATCAAATCACTAAGTTTGTAACAGTTATAGTACTATATATTAGTTTCCCATACTACATAACATGATCATGAAGATTCGTTTGTTACTACATGAATGTCTTGTGATATATGTCCAAATTCTCAAGACATCGGTCAGTATATTATTGTATTTTCTAGTAAAAAACACATTCGATCATCAAAATTTTCCATATTAATCGAAGCTAGGATCAAGTCACATCTACTGTATACTTCAACGTTGGACTCTCTAAACACGCTTTCAATCCGATTTTTAACGAGTTTTTGTATATTACTCTAGATATATATGTAGTCTTTTGATTTACTCTAATGAAAATGATATATGTATTATTATATTAGAAAGAATCTGAAAAAACACGAAAAACCCCAAACGGAAGTGAAGTGTATCCAAAGGAGTTAGTGGCGGCTAACAAACGAAGTGACTTTATGCGAAAGTCATCGTCACATGCTTCTTCCGTTCTCCAAGGAACATCCTCAGCATCTTTCATCATTCTCCCAAAGTTAAGTATTATGTACATACTTATATATTATTGTGTATATATAGATGATTAGAAATGTGCTAAATTATGGAGCAATGAGTAGTTTCAAAGAATGAAATAATTTGAAGTTAATTCAATCAATGTCAAATTACAAGAATGAATAGACAATATTAATAAGAGAAGGGTTAATGTAATAAAAAGTAATTACAAGAACTACTTAATTAGTGATGACAATCAATCAAAGAATTGGACGCTGCCGCGAAGAGAAGAATCTGATCTTTGGACGCAAATGCGAATTTTGGTTTCTCGCAGCATCGTTCAGCTTCTGGTGCTGGAAGATTCAGATCTAACTGGAGAAAGTTCTTTGGCCGTATAGATTCTTCATGGTGATGATGACTTGATGATGATATTGCTGTTTTGATTGTTGAACTAGCGTTTGCGTTTATTGTTAAACCTCTATGTCTCCTCATATGACCTCCTAAGGCTTGTCCTGAAGAAAACTCGGCCTTACAGATTGAACATTCATGTGTTTTCTCCGGTTTCTTGGTACCATCATTGCTAGTTACTTGTAGAGAAAGAAAGCTTCCTACGGCTCCAACTTCCACAGTTTCAATCATAGACGCAGACGCAGTTTTCTTCTCGTCGCATTTGAAAACGCTAGCTCCAAGTTTTGGCTTCTTGTGGCTAGCCCTGTGCCCTCCTAGTGCTTGAAACGAGTGGAAGCTTTTATCACACGTTTTGCATTGGTAAACACCGTCTAGCCCTAACCCTAGAGAAGCCACCGGTTTCTTGTTGCTAAAGAAACCCATTCTCTGCATCGACAAATCATCGCTACTGCTCTTTGCTTGATGTCCTTGCGACAACAACATCAGACAATTCGCCATATCTTCATCTTCGTCGGTAGCTCCTCGGAATTCTACTTCACCAGCAGCTTCTTCTTCTTTTACCTCTACTGATGATCGTTCACCGCTACAAACGCTGGATACTGCAGCTCCGTTCATCATAAGAGGAGACGCAGAACGCTGACGTTTGGTGCGTTTGCCCTTGATGAGGAGAACAAGACGCGCGTGGTCTCCACTCTCCTCAAGAACACTTGTCATGATCCCTCCGTTTTTTGATTGGCTCTCTGTATTATCAAGAACACGAGATCGTATATGTATTTATGGAGAGAAGTATCAAAGAGTGTTTGGTGGGTTTGGTTTATATGTCTAAGTATTTATATATATATTTATGTATGTGGTTGTATTTGTTTATACACACAGTACTCTTGTGTGTGTGTATATATATAATGAAATGGGTAAGAGAAAAGATGAGAAAAGAAGCAAACCCCAAATAACTTTTGGTGAAGGATTCCTTTCTGGAAGTTTTGGTTTGCAAGCCTGGAACCACTTGTTGTTCTCTTCTTGTTTTTATTTTTCCCTTTCAATTTTTTAAATTATATTCTCTTTTTTTGGTTAACTTTTGTTTTGCTTGTCTTATGAATCACATAAATTTTTTATGATTATTTAATAACTTTTTATTAGTATTTTTCTTAAGTTAAATACTCATAAGTGTCCTTATAAATTCCATAGACACACATTAGTATTGCTAGTAAAAAAAATGTGGATTCAATGTCAGCACTAATCTTAGAAGATGTTTTTTTCTTTCTGATAAGGAAATTAAATCTGTCTTTTCTGTTCAAGAAGGTGTCATTCTACAATTTGAGTATACTTTTTTATTATAAAAAAAATGGACTGCAATTTTTGACACTTGGAATGTAAATATGTCACTCAATTTTTGACATTAAGAAGAAATCAAACTGGATTGCGTATTCTAAATATGTCACTCAATTTATTTATTGATTTTTTTTCTTTCAATTCTACATTATCATTAACTAAAATCCTAAAACTTTATAAATAACAATCTACAGTCCACATGTTTATTGATGGTTTAAGTCATCCACAAGTAGTTTCAACACGCAACACAGTACCACAACACACACAATTCAATGAGCAGCAAATTACAAATTTCTACACACTTAAATTGACGTACTGTAATACATTACATTTAAGATTTGAAGCCAACTATGATATATATAAGCTATTAAAATGCAAATTTAACTTGAAAATAAGTCGACTTCTAATTTGTTTATCAATACGACTAATCATTGTGGATTTATGTACACTGAACTTAACTTGCTGATTAAATAATTAAGTTAATTGATTGGAAAGTAAAAGGCAATCGAATTTTGGGGTCGAGCAGTTCATGTGCAGTTGAGCCAACCCACAATTACACAACACACAATTATGAATCATGATCCTAGTTATGTACAATATTTAATTATAATATCACTCCCTATGTTTGCGCCTCTTTCTAAGAAACATTGATTTTTATTTTGGTCATCCAATTATTTGATCAAACCATTATTTATCTTGTGATTAGCTAATAATATGTATTCGGTGAAGTAACCTCCCTTATAGTAGTTTGTTAAATATTTTGTAATAATGTGTAACTGTAGTCTAGGTCTTTGTAGTATACCAATAACTCGGTGGCAGCAATCTATAAAATTCAGAAAACATGTTTTTTAATATTCGTTCAACATAATTCGATAGAAAATTCTGCAAAAGTAAGCAAAATAATGAGTTTCTTAGAGCTGGATTGATATATATCCAACTTTTTACTTATTCAACTCTATATTACACATTAGTTGTCTTTGGCTCTCTATGATTATTTCTTGCTAACGTGTTACTATACATATAATAGATTATTAAGAAGAATATTTTTGAGTGTATTGTGAAGCTAGTATCACAATATTAAAATCATATAGTATTTAAAATAATCGAATGTAGGAGGAATTGATTTTTAAGTCTTGGCGTCGAGGATTGTGTGTGTATGTGAAAGAGAAAGAGAGAATTGCTTGGCCGCCAAAAGAAGCCATTACTTGCCAACTATCTAGCTTCACTACTCACCCTAAGCAAAGCATATATACTTTTTTTTTATTCATCAACATAATTAGTCACGCATCATATATTCATCACCATCCTAACAAAACCGTTTTTGCAAGACTTGTCAGAAACCGTTAAGTAGTGGTTGCAACTTGCAAGGATCACCTAGACAAAGAGTATTGGACATTACCAATGTTTGTTATAATTATTTACTAGCTGCTCAACATATGTTTAGTTATATTTACATCGGGATACAAATAGGTATATTTCATTTACTCAAGTTCTGTTCTATTACCGGATAAAATTTATACCGAAACTTTCACAATTGAATTCCAATATTTTATAAACATTTTTCTTCTGTCATTTAAAACATATAAATGGTTCATATAGAGATGGAACAGAATCTTCCCCCATAGCAAATCCCCTCAACAGCTCTAGAAGACTAGAAATATGTTTATGCTTCACGAGGAATATTTAGGACTATATGGGCTTAGCGCAGGCATGAACTAAATTCAAGGCCCAAATGATTTTGCATTAAACCGAACCGTTCGATGGAACCAATTTAAACCAAGAATATTTACGAGAAACCCAAACCATTATTGTCACTTGTTTTTTCCTCTTGCTCTGAGCCATCGTCTTCTCCAGAGCTAACATCAAAAAAGCTTCTTCGATCTTCTTCCTCGTGTGGTTTCCATTTCGATTCTTCATTCCGAAAAGGTTCGTGTCTATGTTAAAACCCAGTTTCTCCCTTTTAATTGATCATTCGAACGAAATCTTAGATTTGGGATTGAATCGTTCGTTGCATCGATTAGAAACCCTAATTTTAGGAATCTGTTACTGATTTTGCTTAGTTTGTACAGACAATGGCTACAGCTACGTATCCACCTCCTCCACCGTATTACAGACTCTACAAGGATTACTCAGAAAACCCTAATTCTGCTCCTGAACCTCATCCTCCCATTGAAGGCACCTACGTTTGTTTCGGAGGCAACTATACTGTGAGAGATTCCTTCACATTTTCCCCTCTTTAAAATCTTCATCTTCATGGGTTTTAACAATTCTTTTGGTTAGTAGACGGAGGATGTTCTTCCGAGCTTAGAAGAACAAGGAGTGCCTCAACTTTATCCCAAAGATTCTAATGTTGGTATGTCATTTTCCTAACTCTGTGATATCAAACTCAAAATGAAATTGCTATTGGCTTTCTTGTGTATGGTATGTCATTTCTTCTAGCTTTGTGAATCATACTCAAAATCCAATTGCTATTGGCTTTCTTGTGTATGGTTTTGTTCAGTCCCTTAATTGGAATCATGAGCTCATTTGCAAGTTATGTTCTTTGAAAGTGCCTCTTTGTTTCGTTGAAGAAAGTTTTTAAATATCTTTGTGTAGATTATAAGAAGGAACTCAGGTCACTGAATAGAGAACTACAGTTACATATATTGGAGCTTGCTGATGTTCTTGTTGATAGACCTTCTCAATATGCAAAGAGGATTGGTGAAATTTCTTCAATCTTCAAGAATTTGCATCACCTTCTCAATTCCTTGAGGCCTCACCAAGTAAAGAAGATCCCATCTTTGTTTTATTTACAACATTGGTTTCATTGGTTTTTGTTTCATTGTTTTGATCTTATCTTATGTCCAGGCGAGAGCAACGCTTATTCACATTATGGAACTTCAAATTCAACAGAGGAAACAAGCTGTGGAGGACATTAAGAGGTTTGTATATGCTTTTTTTAAGTTCCGTCTTAGTGGTGTGCCAATATCAATCTATCATATGTTTAAAAATTCTTCAGAAGCTTTTTAGTAGTTCTTATGATGGGTCCGTTTGATGTTTTGGTTGTGTGCAGGAGAAGAGAAGAAGCACAACGACTTCTAAAGGATGCTTTCGTCACTTTGGATGGATAATAAAGTGTTGCTTTTTTTAACCCATTTTGTGTAAATTAGCGCTAATAATAACCTTTGCCCTCGAAACTCATTTTGATTGTGTTTAATTTGGCAATCAACCAATACACTGTAAGATCCTGTGTGTGTGTGTGTGTGAGAGAGAGAGAGAGAGAGAGAGAGAGAGAGAGAGAGAGAGAGAGAGAGAGAGAGAGAGAGAGAGAGAGAGAGACAGACGTGTGCAATCTCGCGATTCAACAAGTAAGCAGTGTGGTTACTTCTCTTGATACTAATTGAAGTAACGGCAAAAGTTTCTCTAGTTTAGTTTAGATGGTGAGGAGTAAAACATAGATTTAGTAAGCCTCAAACTTGGAATTAAACAGACGATCAAAAGTATGCACTTAATTTTGTTCATGAGCGTGTAACACAAAGCTACACTAAGAAGTATTACATGAGAATACTCTCAAAATTCTGGCAACTCTTTCCACGAGCTAGTAGAAAGATTTAGAGGTTGTCATGTGTGTCAAATATCCTAAGTCATGCACATCTCCTAAGTGTATATGACTTTTCTTTCATTGGTCAATAATAATAATTGGTGGTTAATGGGGGTGTAGCTCTAATAATTGGTGGTTAATGGGGGTGTAGCTCTAGCTTTAAATATATATTAAAATAAAACAATTTCCTACAGAATAATTTATGGTCTAGTGGTTATCACTCCGCGGTACCGAGGATTTCCGGGTTCGATTCTCCATAGCGTTTCCCCAATTGCTTTTTCAATTGCTTTGGAATTAGAAGACTAAAGATTTCTCGCTCCCTTATTTAACCTTTTAATGGTCTTTAAATTGGCTGATCAAAATCACAGCGTCAAATTATAAAAAAATGTTAATTCCAAAACAAATCCAGCAATAAATCAGTAGTTATTAGTTCATTTTTTTTAAGGGTTAAATCTATACTATATAAAAGTCGAGGCTGTAAGCTCCTGAGACTGTCCACATAGGATTTTAAACAACCACTCACGATTAGACACCTCACTGATTAACATATTTTGATTCTGATAATTTTCTATTTAAAAGTTTTCGTAAAAAGGAAAAAAAAAACAATAAAAGAGATATTTCAAAATATGGAAATATTTCTAATTATAATCTTGTGTTATTTAAAAACAAATATAAATAATCAAAATTTAAAGTTTTAATTTTTTAAAGATTATTAAATTTATAAAAGAAATATCTAAAAATATGAAACAATTCTGAATATAAATTTTGTCAAAAAAAAGAGAAATATTTGAAAATATGGAAATATTTTAAATTATAATCTTGTTTTAAATAAAAAACATAATATAAATAATCAAAATGTAAAGTTTTGATTTCTTAAAGATTATTAAATTTATTTATCTTTACTATATAAAGGTCGAAGCTATAAGCTTCTCATGCCGTCCACGTGGGATTTTAAACCACCAATCGCGATTTGCCATCTCAGTAGTTAACAAATTTTGATTCGAAGCCATAAGCTTCTTAGACCGTCCGCATAGGATTTTAAACGACCAATCGTGGGGTGCCATCTCGCTAATTAACATTTTTTAGATTCTAATAATTTTCTGTATTAAGATTTTTGTAAAAATGGATAAAAGTAACATATGAAAATAAGATAAATATATAGAAATATAGAAAATTTTCTTAATATAAATTTTGTTCAAAAATATATAATATAAAATAATCAAATGTAAAGTATTATTTTTTCTAAAAGTTTAGTATATTATAAACGAAAATATTTAAAATATGGAAACTATTCTAAATATAAATTTTTAGTTAATCACAATAGCTTTCTGAATATAAATTTTGAATAGATTATTAAATTTATAAACGAAATATCTAAAAATATGAAACAATTCTGAATATAATTTTGTCAAAAAAAAGAGAAATATTTGAAAATATGGAAATATTTTAAATTATAATCTTGTGTTATATAAAAACATAATATAAATAATCAAAATGTAAAGTTTTGATTTCTTAAAGATTATTAAATTGATTTATCTATACTATATAAAGGTCGAGGCTATAAGCTTCTGATGCCATCCACGTGGGATTTTAAACCACCAGTCGCGATTTGCCTTCTCATTTGTTAACATATTTTAATTCGAAGTCATAAGCTTATGAGACCGTCCACGTAGGAATTTAAACGACCAATCGTGGTGTGCCATCTCGCTAATCAACATTTTTAGATTCTAATAATTTTCTATATTAAGATTTTTGTAAAAATGGATAAAAGTAACATATGAAAATAAGATAAATATATAGAAATATAAAAGAATTTCTTAATATAAATTTTGTACAAAAATATATAATATAAAATAATCAAATGTAAAGTTTTATTTTTCTAAGAGTTTATTATATTATAAACAAAAATATTTAAAATATAAAATATTCTAAATATAAAATTTTTAGTTAATCAAAATAGCATTCTCATTAATTTAATATCTTTACATTTTATTTATTAGATAAAATAAATATTTGTGAAAAAGGAAAGAAAAACAATATTTGGGATTTAAAATGACCAATCACGGTTAGGCATCTCGCTATTTAATATTTTTTAAAGTCACATTAATTAATATTTTTAAATTCTAATATTTTCTATATTAAGATATTTATGAAAAGGAAAACAATGATAGATATGTAAAGAAGAGAAATGTAAAATGTTGAAAACAACATATGGAAATAAGAATAATGTAAAATTTAGTTATTAGAATATATATAAAATAATTTCTTAGATTAAGAATACTTGTGCATGGTAGATGTGCTAATGGGAATAGAGAATGACACAAAGACAATGAGTTCTTGCAAAAAGATAGAAAGAGTGATAGCTCTAAAAATAATTGTGAAGACGGAAATTCATACTCATATTGAAAAGAATGAGAGAAAAATATGAGTTGTTAAAAAGAAAGTATATATATTTTTTATAGAATCTTATTTTAAAAGAGTTATACTAACTAATGCAGTGAAGATAGACAAAAAAAAATAGTGAATTTGCGCATACCAAAATGAGAAAGTCATCGAACTATGTCCCCTTACAACAATTTATTTTATGAGATTCAGCCAAAACGTCGTACATGAAAAGACCCAATCATCCAAATTATCTAAAGCTAAAGAAAGAGCTATTAAACAAAAATATGTTTTTTTAATAAATGTTGTAAAGACCTAAAAATTGTAAAAGAGTTTTTTTTTTAATTGTGTATTTAAATTGAACTATTTTCCATGGTAATTTTAAAATTCAAAGAATTTAAACTATTAACAATAAGTAGCCATATAAAAACATATATTTCAAAATTTTAATAAATATTATTATTTACAAAAAAATTTACTAAAAGTATTAAATGTAGCGTGGGTGTAGAACCTAGTAAGGAAGTAAGAATATTCAAAATTAAGAATTTATCATTAATATATATACCTGTCCAAGAAAGGAATGTATTGTTAGTATTATTTAAATCTTGCCATAAGTTAAACAAGACGATATTGCAAAATAATTTATCATTAATTCTCTCTTATCGGCGGATTTTAATGTCTGTGGTTCGATCTTCCTCAGCACAAGACTATAATATTCTTGTTTCCTTATATAAACCCTTTTGTCATTTTTAATGTTTCAAATTGGCTTATAAAAACCGTCTCACTACCTTTTTAATGTTTTAAATTGGCTAATAAGAATATATAAGAAAAACTTATATATATATATATATATATATATATATATATATATATATATATAGATATTTTTGAATGGGATCCACACTAATCTCATCTATAGATTCAAGAAATTAAGCTTAACCAAAGTTGGAGAGAAAAAAAAAACATATCACAAGTAGAATTTGAGAAACAGTATTTTAAATATTTATCAAACGGTTAATCCTAAACATCTAAATACTGTTTAGGAGTATTAATTAAATCTTGCCCAAGACTATTTTCGGAAAATTTGTTGACTTAAATCTGTAAGCAGAATATCAAATAATATAAAGAATTGACAGCGGCGTAATCAGGGAAATCATAGTTTAGGTCCTAAACTTTAGGAGTATCAAAAGATTTAATTGTCATGATTAATATCAATAATTTGTTTTTCAAAAGTATGAATTGAAATAAATACAAACACCTTTTGAACAAAAAAGAAAAGAAAAGAATAATAAATACATACACCTTGCCCAAGAAAGTAACGCACCAGTCGTTGTTAATGTTAATTAAACCATGCCGTAATACAGAAGTCGTCGAAGACTATTTTCCGTAATTTATTATTCAGCTACCGAGATCCATCTTATTTTATTAATTTAAAATAAAAGGAAATAATTTAAAATGGTGGATATTTAAACGAAGGAGTCTCCCGAATAGTTATTTTTTTGAAAAGTATTTCCTCTTTTGGTTTAGTTTTTTCACTCTCTTCCCTCCGACGGGACTTTCTTCTTCGAGAGGATGGAAGCGATTTCTGGTTCCGTTAGAAAGCTTATTTTTTTACTATTTTTTCACACATATATAATGTCTCAGTTAGATCTAGGGCAACCTCTCCTTCATTTTTCAATTGACGGCAAAGGTGAGTTCTTTCATCTCTCTGGTGTCTCTGTTTTGGGTTGATGTTCTTGTGTGCTTCAATTTCTAGCTGTTAATCTAAAAATGAATGTGGGTTTGGTGGTTTGAATCTGTTAGACTCTTGATTTGCATTTACCTATCAGTCTCTTCTTCTTCGATTGGTTTTTACTTTCAAGATAAATATGTCTCTGTTTAGTTTCAAGCTGAATATATGAGAGATCGTTGAAATGATTAATTTCTAGGAATTGTTGAAATGTAGGATTCATTGCAAAACATCTCTGGTTCAGATTTGTATGCTTCAGTTTTTATCTGTTATCGATATGTGTATGGGTTTGTTATGTCTGGTAGATTCAAGGGAACAAGAGTTCTTCTATCTCATTTGGTTTGGTTGTTTAATTCATGTGTGATTTATTGGTTGTGAAAAGTGCAGAACCAGCATCCCTCCAGGAACTTCCTGTGTTGATTATCCTTGCTCTTAGATTTAACGGAACGAGATTCTGGTAACAGGTGAGTTCTATAAACTCCTTAGTGTTGGTTTTCTTGTTTAATTCGTGAGACTAGTAATAGCTGCTTGCTTGATTCAGGTTTCATGGCAAAAGACAGATCCTATTGGTCTCATCGACAACAGCGTCCAAAACTTCTCCGAAAGGTCTTGTATCAAGTATGGGATGCATGCTGGGCAATTGCTCCAGCAAGACATTTAGACGCTTTGTTTAGGAATCATGGACTTTTAGGTGCTCGTGAGGAATTGTCGATTCAAGAAATTATTGATAGGATGCCTAGGGGTGCATTAGAGAATCGTCGTCTTACGAATTTTGATGCGTTGATAAACATTCTCAAGGAAGGAACAGTCTTAGAGAGTGAGAATCCATTGAATTATGGATTTGCAGAGGAAAGTACTGAAGCTGCAAATGTCCGAATGTACAAAGCTTTAGAGGTCAATTTGTACAAGTCTGAGGAGTGTGATGATGGTGATTATGATAAGCTGCTTGAGAAAAGTATCAGAAATTCACCAATAGCAGCACGCCTTGTTCTGGTTAATAAAGATTATGAGGCTATTAAAGGAAAATCAGTCTATCTTCCAGATGCATTAGCACCTGAGGATGCAGGACATCTATTGTTGCTTACAGGGTTTGGAGTTGATGCAAATGGCATAGAGTTTTGGGAGGCGCAGGATTCCTATGGACGGAAGCATGGAGATGGTGGGTTTATAAGGATAGCTAGAAAACAAAACTTGATCTCGGATTTCTTTGTGATGGAAATTGAAACAGAACCAGAAACTTGAGGTAATTATTTGATAAATCCCTATTTTCAATTCCAGTCCTCAACTGTCTTAAAAGTTTTATCAGATAATTCGGTTGTTCATGATATTCAAAACTCAATTGCATCTTTGTTTATGGGAAATGCATAGTTCAATTAATTTGCATAATCATGTTGACCAGATTACTGACAAATCTTTTATATGTTGCAGGTAACTCTTTAATGCTTGGATCAGGTCTTCTGATCTTTCATAGGTTTTAAAACTCTGTGTAACCAGTAGTAAGTAAGTCTATTAGGAGATCGATAAGGCTCTGACATTTCTTAGGTTTGAGTTGTTTTTAAGATCAAAATCATATTCTGCAAATGTAAGCTGCTTCAAAGTTTGTTGGTGTATTGAATCTAATCACTCTTAATTCTGACAAGCTTTGGTTTGCATTAAAAATGATGACTCTTTCATTTCCGGTTGAATTACATTGACAAAAAGTTTTCCTCTGAAACTAGCCATTTGATTCTTGTTTGGAGCCTCCAAATTTGTAGAACTCAATACATAAGTAACAAGGGTTTCTGATAACACATCATGTGGAGCATAAGAGTCCAGTCCAGGTATTCTACTTTGTAGATTCCCTATGTAATGCACATTTGGTGGAAACACAATACATCCCTCTTCATTTTCTGGAATGAAACATGAGATGAAGCTGATAAGCCCGTTGCAAGAAGTGCATCTTCGGCTGGAAACATATGCTGGTCCTCATGATCAGCACAGAGTTCTTCACCTTCCTGTTATTGGTGAGATAAAAAAGCAAAATTCAATCGTAAGGACTAGAAAGCAAAACCAAAACAAGGAACATATATAATGCAGTAAAATATAACAGATACAAATACTATCGAGCAAAGAGGAGGCAAGGGATCGAATATCATGTAGAAGACCCACGATCTCGTCTACAACTACATTATATTAAAGAAGTACCATCAGGACTTGCGAGTCCGACTTGATGTGACCTGCCAATATTTTACGGGACCAAGCCTCCTTGAGGGATGCTCTTACCGCTAACGCTTCACCCGTAAGAGCGGAGATAACATGTGAAGATGAGGCAGAGCCTATAAAAACAGAGGTGCCATAAAGGTTCCTGCCAATCCAGCCCATTCCACATTGGTGGCTACCCTCATTCCAAGCAGCATCAGTTTCAATTTGGATCGAGTCAGCAGTAGGTAAGACATAACCGCGGGTCTCTGCAATAACCTGCGGAGATGGTCGTCCAGGTGGAACTAAGTCCAAATGAAGTTGCCAGTTCCTAGCATCTTGAATGGCTTTGAGAGTAACTTCATCTTCAGCACAATTTTTTCTGATACAAAAAAAGCTAACTTAATACATCTAACCATCTGATCAATAAATCATTAAAATTCAACTTCATAACTTCGTTCGTACCTGACATTCATAAATAACGTCTCCGTCGACACTTCTTTTTGGCCTTATCAAACCAATGAGTCAAATACTGTTTCCAATTAATACAATCAATATACAAGACAAATATTTGACCTAACATTCATTAATCAATATACTATAAGATTTTAAGTCAAATATATACTATAAGATATGAAATGCGATTCCTTTATGACTTATAACTAGAATTCAACACAAAAAAAATTGGCAGCTAAAGCTCATAAGTATTATGGGCAGAAGGCGGAGCTAGTGTATTGGCAAGGGGGTCAATTGACCCCCATAACTTTTATGAATTTTTAATTGTTATATGAATTCATAATAATTATTTGATGTTTTTGTTTAAAATTTTCATAATGACCCCTATAAATAGTGATCTAACTATGCATTTGACCCCATGCATATTCATTTTTTAAAATTAAATGCTAGTTCTCTTTCCATATTTATATATATTTTCTTTAAAATGGCTACAATATTATAACATCTTTTCCATATTGATTTTTTCTTCTTTTTAAGACATCCATTTTCAGATTATTATTGTTTGCTACCATTTTTAAAAGATTGTTCTTAACATATATTTTTTGAAAAAAGTAAGATAAACACAATATACGATATATTTTGATTAAAAAAAAAATTGAAAAGAAATAAATATATAATATTATGAAAATAGATTATTTAGTTTTGTGCTAGGTAAAAAACTTTAAATGTTCTTGACAATTTATATTTTAAATATATCATCTATTTTTATATTTAAATAAAATAATTAAAATATATGACCCCGGTGAACAAAAGTTCTAGCTCCGCCACTGATTATGGGAAGACAATGAAGTTTGCAGAACTGATGCGTCCCGCTCTGTACAATTGCTATTCCTCTCCCTTCACCATTCCTTGCTTTTGTTTCATCCAAAGTTACCAAATCAACTCTTTAAACTTAGATGTTAAACTTAGTTGTGTAATAACGGTGTTAGAATCCTCTAATACACACATATTCTTGTATCCTTGAGTAAAAAAGTAATTGTGAATTTCAAGGAAAGACCTGTTGCGAAGAGATGTTTTTTTTGTCGATAACAGTGGGGTTCACGAGTATGTGATCTCAAGGAAAAACGTAAGTTCTAGAAGAAAATAAATGTTGCATTGTAACACTGAAAGCATATAACGTTACTGCGCGTACTATTTTTTAAACATCCAGAGAAAGACATATCATACATGCATGGGTGATGATGAATAAGCTTACTTTTAACATGCAGACAAAAACAAAAGAAAAGCCGAAGTAATTAAGAGAAAATAAAGGTAGCATTATCACAGTTATGAACACCAAAGAGGTTTCTCTTCTCCTAAGAGAGAAGAGAGAGCCTTCTACTTCTCCATGTACATATTCATCTTAGTCTTCATCTTGTGCATCGTCTTTTTCTTCTCCATCTCCATCATCATCTTCTTCTTCTTCATCTCCATCTCCACCTTCTTCTTCTTCTTCTTCTTCTTCTCCTTCTCCTTCTCCTTCTCCTTCTCTGTCTCCTTCTCCGTCTCCTTCTCCTTCTTAGCTTCCTCAAGTAAAATACCTAATATAACGTATAAACAAGGAAACTAATGAGAGGATTTAATTTGTTACCAGGAATAAAGAATGAGGAAGCAAGAGCAAATTTATGTACTTGGGAGAGTGTAGCCAGTAGTAGTGCAGGCGAGCGGCCTTCTTTTTTTTAGGATATCGGGTCGCGGCACAACAGGTTCAACTACAAGAGTCCTTCCTCCCATGTTACATCGACTTAGTTCCAGCGCCTTGTCTACACATCTTTCTCCTTTAAGACACAGGAAAGCTGCACCGCTGCAAAATTCAACAGAGACAGAGAGTCTTTTAGTTATATAATTCAATAACTTTTGAGAGTTGGGGAAAAAAATCACAAATTGGAGGAAGAAAGAAGCCACAAACCTAGAGAGAACTATAACTTTCGAGACGTATCCACATGAGGAGAAATGTTTACACAGCGCGATCTGCATATCAATCTCAGGAAGCGAAGTGTCATATCCGGTAACGCGGATCCTAAAATAAATAATTTGATTTAATAAGGAGATAAATGTTATTAACATGACAAGCTAAAAAAATAAAAATATTGATTGCAGGAGATAATATAACCAAAATGTACCTGTGTGTTTTGGTATCGGCGGGAGCAGCAGCACACCTAGGACCAGCATACCAAGGATCATCCATGAATACTTTCTGCGACGGTGCAGGCTTAACGATAGCAGTCCATCCTCCGACGTCAGTTCCACTAAGTTGCAATGCCTTTTCTTCGGCACCTTCTCCCTCGATCCTCATGAAGGCAACACTGTACATAAAACCAACGATACAAAAACAAAGTTCTTTTAATTTGAGTTAGTTAATTAGCAGAATTTAACATGAGAGAGATGGGAGGGAAGAAGCCACAAATTAAACCTCTTGAGGATACCCCTTTCAAAGTCTGTGGGTACATAAATATTTGTGATCTCTCCGCATGAAGCGAAATGTTTTTCCAACACGAGTTTGAGAGGATACTTTCGAAGCCAAGTGTCATATCCCTCAACGGAAACCGTCGTGCTGGAGATACTGCAACAATTTGATTTTGATTGCAGGTATAGATAATATTATGATCAACAACAAGAATTTCCCACAGTATATATATATGTAAATAAATTTACCGGGGAGTTTGAGAGTCTGCACCACTATCGTCACCACTATCGTCACCACTATCGTCACCACTATCGTCACCACTATCGTTCAATTCCAGCAAATTCAGACCCTAAGGTACAACAGAAGATCTAATCAGAAATTCTACTAACTTCATAATATTGAGAAACAGAGGTTAAGCAAAGAGTGAGTAAGAAGAAAATCCATAAGGAGAAGAAGATTACTTTGATGGCGGATTCGTCCATGGTAATAAGTAGACAAGAGCGACTGCTAGGGTTCCAGAGATATTTTTCAGATCTAGGGATTTAGCTTTGAACAAGTTTTTTTTTGTTTTTTTGTTTTTATTCTGGTTTGGGACAATCCTTTCGTGTATATAATATAAGTTACGAACAAACTGTTGGGCCTTGAATCTAGTTCAGGCCTGCGTTAAGCCCATATATTCCTAAGAGCAACAGCAATGGTGATCCTTAGAGGGCTCTAAGCCTAAGTTTCTTAAAATTAAAAACCCAAATTTAAATCAAAACTGATCTAAAACGCAAGAAACGTTCCTAGTTTTAGAGTTTTTTGGGCTGATAAGAGGCGCTGACGTGGCACCGAGATTGGTTCGTAAATGTGAGAAAGCAAAAAAAAAAATTCCTTTCCCGATTCATTTTATTCTCGACTCTCTCTCTTCTCCTTGTTTTCTAATTTCTCCAATGGCGAAATTGAGAGCAAATCGTGTTGTTCTTCATAATCCGGCGTCTAGGTCATCAAATTGGAAGAGAAAGGTGAAACAAAGTCGTAACCAATCATCCGTGATGATCAGCTCCACTGTCGGTGGTCACCAACATAAGTTCGGTGGACCAAATCAGTGCGTTCGGCAAATAGTTAGGCGATTCCATGCTCCAATCGCTTAATCACGGTATGAATCTAACTGTTTTATTTGTTACGGTATGATTAGATTAGTGTTATTAGATGTTATCGAAATTATGGTTTTTGAATTGAGATTTGATTCTGGGTTTATCGAAATTAGATGTTCTATGAGTTATGTGACTACGGTTAAAACATTTATTGGGTTTTCCAGAAAACTGAATACCTTATTCAACTTTGTTCAGTGTTAGTGATTGTTTATCTTAGAGTTATTGTCTTTCCATGATTTGGTTGCTTTGTTCTTGTATGTTGCTTTGCTTAATTAGCTATCACTTTTGTAGGTTTTTAGAGAAAATTTGCTATCCAAGGATTTTGTTAATATCCACACACTGAAACTCTTGGCTGGTAGTAGTGAAGGAGGCTCTGTTGTATTTAGGTTGGAATACCAAGGACAGCCTGCTTGTCTAGCTCAGTCTCCTCAGCTTCACAAGCAAATGACAATATGTGACTTGCTGTTAATAATCTAAATTCATCTCAAGTGTTTTCTAGTCTGTGACAGTACTGGTGCTAATATATCTCTTGTTTCTGCAGATAATGGACCTTGTGGACGAGTTATTTGTGTTTATATTCACTAGTTTGAATAACAAATGCAAAAAGGAACTTGAAGCTATTGGAAAACAATACCCATTTAAACCTTTGAAGGTAAACCATATATATATCTGCAGTATCATGATTCATGAGCAGCAAGGAGTAACAGAAACATAGTTTTTGTATCTTTTTGGATTCTGATAATTGGCGCTAATATACATGCAGTTTCTTGAAAAGACATTGAGGTTAACGTTTGAAGAAGGGGTTCAAATTCTTAAGGTATGACTTGTATTTTCTTTGTATTCTATCGTTTTTCGAATGGACTATCAATAATAATTGTAATCTTGATGTGTTGACAGGAAGCTGGTGTGGAGATTGATCCTCTTGGCGATCTAAACACTGAATCTCAGAGAAAACTTGGCCAACTTGTACTGGAAAAGTAATCCATCACTTATTTTAGTTTTCAAAATGATTTAGTTATTTATCTCAGAGTTACAAAGTTGTTAATTTAAATTTTTTTTTTTTTTAAGAAACCCATTTAAGGATTCTACCATTAGACAAAGAAAATTTTAAGGATTCATCACAAACTCTTAATTTTAAAATTGTCATAATTTATGATTAAAAAATGTTTAAGAGTTCTTTTAAGGATTCATCCATTGGGCTTGCTCTAATCTTCTTATTCACCCAAGAGGGTAGCATAAACATATTTCTTGAGCCGTTGAGGGATTTTTCCTATACGGGGGAAGATTCACTTTCCACCTATATGAACCGCTTTATATATTTTATAAAATATTGGTATTCGGTTGTCTAAGGATGGTGATGAATTAAAAAAAAAAACTATATATGCTTTGCTTAGGGTGAGTAGTGAAGCTAGCTAGTTGGCAAGTAATGGCTTCTTTTGGCGGCCAAGCAATTCTCTCCCTCTCTCTTTCACACACACAATCCTCGACGCCAAGACTTAAAATCAATTCCTCCTAAATTATTCATTTTAAAATTGTGATGATACTAGCTTCACAATACACTCAAAAATATTCTTCTTAATAATCTGTTTATATTTGTAATAACACGTTAGCAAGAAATAATTATAGAGAGCTTAGGACAACTAATATGTAATAGAGTTGAATGAGTGTAAAAAATTGGATATCAGTCCCGCTATAAGAAACTCATTATTTTGCTTACTTTTGTAGAATTCCTATCGAATTATGTAGTGCATATTAAATAACATGTTTTCTGAATTTTATAGATTGTTGCCACCGAGTTATTTGGTATACTACAAAGGTTTCTCCTTCTTTTTACCCCACAGCAAATCCCTCAACGGCTCTAGAAATTTGTTTATGCTTCACGAACCCTCTTGGGGAATAAGGAGATTAGGATTAGATGGGTTTAGAGATGTGAAAAAGAGAGACTATATTGGCTTAAACGCAGGCCTAAACTAAAATTAAGGACCAACTGTTTCGTAACTATCATGTACACGAAAGGATTATGTCCCAAACCAGAATAAAGCTTCTGGCGCCGTCTTTCTCCAAAGCAAAATCAAAAGCTTCTTCGATCTTCTCCCTCGTGTGGTTACCAATTCGATTCTTCATTCCCAAAAGGTTCTTGTCGATGTAACCCCTATTTTTTTTCCTTTTAATTGTTACACAGAATCATTCGAATGATATCTTAAATGTCGGATTGAATCGTTCGTTCCGTTGCATCGATTAGAAACCCTAGTTTTAGGAATCTGTTACTGATTTTGCTTAGTTTGTGGTTTGGATCTGTAGAGAATAATGACTATAGCTACGTATCCGCCTCCTCCACCGTATTACAGACTCTACAAGGATTACTCAGAAAACCCTAATTCTGCTCCTGAACCTCCTCCTCCCATTGAAGGCACCTACGTTTGTTTCGGAGGCAACTATACTGTGAGATTCCTCTGCATTTCCCCTCTTTAATCTTCATCTTTATGGGTTTTAACATTTTTCAACTTTTTGTTTAGTAGACTGAGGATGTTTTTCAACAAGGAGTGCCTCAACTTTATCCCAAAGATTATAATGTTGGTATGTCATTATCCTAACTTTTTGAATTATACTCATCATCCGCCTCCATGCAGCGTAACTCCTTGCCCAACACCGCCTACATGCTTGGCTTGATCGAATGAACTTCTGTTGAAAGAGGTTGTAGACAGTAGATTAAGACACCAATAACATGACCCAAAGCTTGCACAGACGACTACCGTAAAGATCTTATCAGTGTTGCCTTCAGTTCACCTGATGGGTACTCGGTTTGACACCAGAACTGTATGCTCCATTGGGACTGCACCAAACAATCACACGTACAAAATTATTTCAAAATGGAAGCAAAGACGTAAAAGGGAGGGAACATGGACATAAAGAATCTTGATAATAATTCAGACCATGTAAACAAGAATGCAAGCCATTATCAGACAAGAGGTACATACTCAGCCCCGGCTTAAATGGGCTGGGCAGAGGGGCGACCGCCCAGAGGCCCAACAAGAAAGGTGCCCAAAATGTTTTTTTTTTTAATTATGTTAGTGACAAGAGTCGTGAAACGACAAAAAAAAATTAGGGTTCATTAATAATGGATCATAAACTACACGAAGTATCCGCGAAGACATGGCCACACATGCAAAGTTTAATAATGGATCCTAAACTACATGAACTATATGTATCGTATGCCAACATATATGAACTATATGTAGTCATGTCGCCAACATCACAAACATTTTTTTCCGGTACACTTTTCGTCGGAATCCGGCATTGACCAGTTTGACCGGCGTTGACCAACATAAATATTAAAAAAAAAAAAAATTTAGTTTTTTAATATTTAGAAAAATTATGTTATTGAATCATTTATAATATTTTATAATTAAAAAAATATATACAATATAAAAATATAAAAATATTTTGTATATATATTCAATGCATTGATTTTTTTTTGTATTATTAAAAGAATTTTTCGTAATAATTTTAGATACAAAAATTAACAACTTATTATACAAAAAACTTTAGACTAGAGAGTATAGAAAATTTCATATTTACAATTATTTTACCTAATTGGTTTTTATTTTATTTTTAGTTTAGTTTTGAAATTATCAAAACTAACTAATTATAAAAATCAATGCATTGAATATATATACAAAATATTTTTATATTAAATATTGTATATATTTTTTAATTATATAATATTATAAATGATTCAATAACATAATTTTCTAAATATTAAAAAACTAAAAAATGTTTTTTTTTTGAATATTTATGTTGGTCAACGACGGTCAACGCCGGTCAATACCGGATTCCGGCGAAAAATGTATCGGAAAAAAATGTTTGTGATGTTGGCGACATGACTACATATAGTTCGTATATGTGGGCATGCGATACATATAGTTTGTGTAGTTAGAAATACATTTTTAAGCTTTGCATGTGTGGCCATGTCTTCGCGGATACTTCGTGTAGCTAGCCATCTTTTTTCCTTAAAAAAAAGAAAATTTTTGCTTTTCCGAATCTCTCTAATCCTCTTCTCTTTCTCGACGAAATTCTTGTCTCATACTCTCATTGTTTGTTTCATCATTCATCGATCTAATATTGTAAGTGTGTTGTGTATATATATTTTTTGTAGCTTTTCAAATAGTCAAATGTCTCAAATCTCAATTTTACTACTGATTCTGTAACGAATGAATCCCACCTACTACAAATAAATTAATAAACCTCTACTAATAGTCTAATACGTTTCTCAATTGATGTGTGTGTATTTTAGTTTCGTTTATGATTTTGAATAAATTATTCAATTTTGTTTCAGGTACTTCCGTACTTGTGCGTCTGGATTTGTTCTTTCGGTTTTAGGCATTGGCAATCACTCATTCACAATTTCTATAACAAATCCAGGTGCTATTTCTTCTTTTTAAATCTATTTTGATATCATGACATCTGGATGTGCAAAAAGAAAAAGAAAGAAATCAGAAGAACTATTTATTAAATCTCAAAAAGGTGCTTTAGATAGATTTGTTAAAAAGGTAGATGCTAATATTTCTCAATCAACTGAAAACGTAAATGATAATGGTTCTAGTCAATTGAGTGATTGTGGCGATGTTCCAAATGATGCTCCTAGTAATTTGAATAACAATGATGGTCCTAGTCCTTTGAGTGAGCATGATAATGTGTTAAATGCACCTTTGATTAATACTTATGATCCTAAATTTTGGGAAAACCTTGACAATAAAACGAGAGATAGGTTAGTTGAATGGGGACCTAAAAGAGAATTGAATTTGGTGTTTCCTCTTGATAAAAACAATAGACATTTCTCATATGATTACTATTCTAGAAAATTGAGTAATGGAGAGACGTGCGATAGAAATTGGTTGTTTTATTCTACTCATCTGAACAAAGTATATTGTTTTTGTTGCAAGTTGTTTCAAACTCGTGGTTACTCAAGTGTGTTAGCAAATGATGGATATAATGATTGGAAGCATCTTAGCGAGAGACTTAAACAACATGAGAGAAGTGTAGAGCATATGTCTAATATGAGAACTTGGAATGAGCTGAAAATTAGATTTGGGAAAGATAAAACTATTGATAGAGAATTACAAAAAGAAATTGCAAAAGAGAAAGAACGATGGAGGCTTGTACGTTAGTTAGAATTATTGCCGTTGTGAAATGTCTTGCTAAAAAAAGCTTAGCTTTTCGTGGATCAAATGAGAAACTATACCAAGATAGTAATGGGAATTTTTTAGGGATGATTGAATCTATTGCTGAATTTGATTTGATAATGCAAGATCATATTAGGCGTATTAATTGTCAAGAAATACATCATCACTATCTTGGTCATAATATCCAAAATGAGTTAATTTCTCTTTTGGCTCATAAAGTTCAAGTTTCTATAGTTAACATCATAAAAGAGGCCAAATATTTTTCTATCATTCTTGATTGTACACTGGGTGTGAGTCATCAAGAGCAAATGACTTTAATAGTACAATGTGTTAGGATATTAGATAAAAAGGTAAAAGTTGAAGAGTATTTTTTTTAGTTAGAGTTTCTAGTTGTAGATGATACATCCGGATTAGGTCTCTTTGAAAAACTATTAGATGCGTTAAAATCTTTGGATCTTGATGTTGGAAATGTGAGAGGCCAGGGAAAAAAGTGATGTATGATATGAATCCACAATAAGCACAAAAAGAATACCCAAAAATGTCTTCAATACAACCAAATTCAGAGAAGAAGATACTACTGGGATCAAAGTTAAGCCACCAATCGTTTTTCCCAGACAAGAAGTAAAGAAGACCAAAAGATGTTGCGGAAGGGATCATAAACATTTCTCCTTGTCAAATTCAAAACACAAATTATCGCAAAAAAAATAAAAAAAAAATCCCGATTAGACTTAGACAATTCCTCAACAACAACAAAATGGAAACCACGATATCCTAGAGGAAAATATCCCTAGAATAAAATACGGAAAGAAAAAAAACCATCTTCAAACCTAAATCCCTAGATCTCAAAAATATCTTTGGAACCCTAGCAGTCGCTCCATGGACGAATCCGCCATCAAAGTAATTTTCTTCTCCTTATCGATTTTCTTCTTATTCACTCTTTGCTTAATCTCTGTTTCTCTATTAATGTTTTTGTTCGTTCACAAGAAAGTTAGAAAAATATATGAAGTAGAATTTCTAATTAGATATTTTGTTGTACCTTAGGGTCTGAAATTGCTGGAATTGAACGATAGTGGTGCAGTCTCTCGAAAACCGCGGTATATATATTATTTGGGAAATTATTGTCGTATGTGTTGATCATATAATATTATCTCGACCTGCAATCAAAATTCAAATTGTTGCAGTAAGACGACGATTTCCGTTGAGGGATATGACACTAGGCTCCGTGAGTATACTCTCAAGCTCGCGTTGGAAAAACATTTCGCTTCATGCGGAAAGATTACAACTATTTATGTTCCCAGAGACTATAAAAGGGGTATCCTCAAGAGGTACGTACTTTGTGGCTTCTTCCCTCCGATTTTCCCCTGCTAACTCCAAAGATATAATGTTTGTTTTTGTATCGTTCGTTTTACAGTGTCACCTTCATGTGGATCAAGGGAGACGATGCCGAAGAAAAGGCATTGCAGCTTAGTGGAACTGACGTCGGAGGATGGACTGCTCTCGTTAAGCCTGCACCCTCGCAGAAAGACATCATGGATCCTTGGTGTCCTGCTATGCTATCCAAACATGAAACACAGAGGTACATTTAAATTCTTGTGTATCTGTAAGACACTTGGCTTGTCATAAGTTTGTTCTAGCTTGTCATTTTAATAATATTTCTCTCCTGCAATCAAATTATTATTTAGGGTCCGCGTTACCGGATATGACACTTGGCTTCCTGAGATTGATATCCAGATTGCCTTGTGTGAACATTTCTCTTCCTGTGGAGAGGTCACGCAAGTTATGGTTCTCCCTTGGTTTGTCGCTTCTCTCTTCCTCCAATTTGTCCCAGCTCTCAAGTTATTGAATTATATAAGTAAAGACTCTTGTCTCTGTTGAATTTGACAGCGGTTCAGGTTCCATTTATCTTGAAGAAGAAAGATGTGAAGACAAGGCGCTTAAACTAAATGGGTGTAAAATGGGAGGAATGAATCTTGTAGTTGAACCTGTTAAGGCGCGACCCGAAGACTTAAAAAAAAGAAAGGGGCGCCCCTGCACTACTACTGGCTATACTGGCTATATGCCCTTAAGTACATAAAATTTGCTCTTGCTTCTTGATTTTCGATTCTTGGTAACAAACGAAAACCTCTCATCAGCTTTCTTGTTTATAACTTTATATTTAGGTGTTTCAATAGAGGTGGCTGAGGAGAAGAAGAAGAAGATTGAGATGGAGGTGGAGATGGAGATGGATGAGAAGAAGAAGAAGAAGATGAAGATGGAGCTGATGAAGGTGGAGAAAGAGCTTAAGAAGCATATGGAGAAGAAGAAGAAGATTGATATGAGCAAGAAAAAGAGGATGGAGGTGGAGAATTTGGAGATGGCTCTCTTTTAGGAGAAGACGAACCTCTTTGGTGTTTTTAAATGTATTTAACTTTGTGTTTGTATGCATGTTAAAAATAAGTAAGCTGATCAGTAATCATCATCTCTGCTTTGATCATCACCCATGCAATGTATGATATGTCTTTCAATTCTCTGGATGTTAAAAAATTAATATATAGTAAGCTCAACAATCGATCGTTATCTGCTTTAGCTAGTACAATGCAACCTTTGTTTTCTAATTTTTATTACTTCAGCTTTTCCTTGAGATCACATACTCTTCAACATACCCGATGTTATCATACACAAAAAGAGATTTGTTTCAAACGAGTTTCTGATATGAAAGGTCAAATATAAACCCTTCACACCAAAATAGATATAACCTATTACTATGAGCTTTCATCAGAAATTAAGCGTTGAAAATACCAAAAGATTAGCTATATGAACTCTTATCCCCTTTTTCCCCATATATAGCAAATCCCTCAACGGCTCTAGAAATATGTTTATGCTTCAAGAATCCTCTTGGGGGAATAAGAAGAATAGGAATATATGGGCTTAACGCAGGCCTGAACTAGGCCCAACAGTTTGTTCGTAACTACAATATACACGAAAGGATTAACAAAACAAAAAAACGTTTCATACAATACCTAAATCCCTAAATCTGAAAAATATCTTTCGAACCCTAGCTAGCAGTCGCTCTTGTCAATTCATCCATGGACGAAACCGCTATCAAAGTAATCTTCTTCTGTACTCTTCTTCTTCTGCTTTAACCTCTGTGTCTCTACGGTTTCTTTCTGCACAAGAAACATGAAGTTAGTAGAATTTCTGATTAGATCTTTTGTACCTTGGTTAGGGTCTGAAATTACTGGAATTGAACGATAGTGGTTCAGACTCTGGTGAATCAAACTGTTGTAGTTGCACCAGCACGACGATTTCCGTTGAGGGATATGACACTTGGCTTCGAAAGTATCCTCTCAAACTCGTGTTGGAAAAACATTTCGCTTCATGCGGAGAGATCACAAATATTTATGTACCCACAGACTTTGAAAGGGGTATCCTCAAGAGGTTTAATTTGTGGCTTCTTCCCTCCCATCTCTCTCATGTTAAATTCTGCTAATTAACTAACTCAAATTAAAAGAACTTTGTTTTTGTATCGTTGGTTTTATGTACAGTGTTGCCTTCATGAGGATCGAGGGAGAAGGTGCCGAAGAAAAGGCATTGCAACTTAGTGGAACTGACGTCGGAGGATGGACTGCTATCGTTAAGCCTGCACCGTCGCAGAAAGTATTCATGGATGATCCTTGGTATGCTGGTCCTAGGTGTGCTGCTGCTCCCGCCGATACCAAAACACACATGTACATTTTGATAATATTATCTCCTGCAATCAATATTTTTATTTTTTTAGCTTGTCATGTTAATAACATTTATCTCCTGAAATCAAATTATTTATTTTAGGATCCGCGTTACCGGATATGACACTTCGCTTCCTAAGATTGATATGCAGATCGCGCTGTATAAACATTTCTCCTCGTGTGGATCCATCTGGAAAGTTATAGTTCTCTCTAGGTTTGTGGCTTCTTTCTTCATCCAATTTGTGATTTTTTTTTTCCCCAACTCTCAAAAGTTATTGAATTATAATAAGTAAAGACTGTCTCTGTTGAATTTTGCAGCGGTGCAGCTTTTATTTATCTTGAAGGAGAAAGATGTGTAGACAAGGCGCTGGAACTAAGTGGACGGAACATGGGAGGATCGACTCTTGTAGTTGAACCTGTTGTGCCGCGACCCGATATCTTAAAAAAAAGAAGGCCGCTCGCCTGCACTACTACTGGCTATACTCTCCCAAGTACATAAATTTGCTCTTGCTTCCTCATTCTTTATTCCTGGTAACAAATTAAATTCTCTCATTAGTTTCCTTGTTTATACTTTATATTAGGTACTTTACTTGAGGTGGCTAAGAAGAAGAAGAAGAAGATGGAGACAGAGATGGAGATGGAGAAGGAGAAGGAGAAGGCTCTCTCTTAGGACTTGGAAAATACTCGGTCTCTAACATCAACTAGTAGGTTGGTTTCTTAACCAATCGATCACTTTAGTCGGTTGACTCGACTTTTAAGTTTGTGTATGTATACCAAATTTATACAACTATGACTGAATCGTATACTTTTAGTCATACATGCATAAATGATATCAAATTTTATACACTTCACCTTCTTAATACAGTAACTGTATACTAATCAAATACTGGTATAATCTGAAAACGATATTCACGTTTTAAATTGAAAATATCTTGATATGCTCCATTAAGTTTGAACCGTTGCATCTTCATTAGTTAATTGCATCAAGCATGTAGATACCTAATTTTGCATAGTGACGTAATTCCATGGTGCCAAGTTTTGATGGTGAAGTGGTGCATTCTGATTGGTGGTATATGATTCTAATTAATTAATTAGTTTACCACCACCTGAGTCCTGAATGATTTGATTTCATAAATAAGAAAAAAAAAAATTGAATGCGCACTACCATAATATGTAGTTATGTACCACTTTCGGATAAATATTTCATGTTCTCTGAATTTAATATAATGCACTCAGTAAATAATCCTTCTATTAATAGTGCTTTGATCATACATGGTTGGATGAATCAAGCAAGAGTTTGACTAAAGGACACAACAACAACAACAAGAAAAAAAACATGATGAATAAGGCTTCATCTCTCTTACTACTTCTACTGCTCATGGTAACCGTCGTGGCTACGACTCTTAGACCACTGGAGGAGCTAGCCGTGGCCGGTACAAGGAGAATTCTGGCGACAAAGGGGTTCGGAGAAGGGGTTGAGGCCGATGTCAATAACCACCATAGCATTCCAAGGGAGTCATGGGATTATAGTGAGAGTAATCCATGATTGGTTAGATGTTAAAGCATCATGTTAAGCTACTTTTATCCTATAGTTCAATTATAAACCATACTTGTTTTCTCCATACTATTAATAACGAAATTGAAAATACCACTGATTATAGAAGCAGAACAAATGGTACATACATTTGCAAAATCCCCACTAAAAATATAGCTCACAATAATTAGTAAATTAACTTTAGACTTTTCCAAATTCTTTGACAAGTCTTTGTAAATCTTCAATAGAGCTTCCATTTGTCTCCGTCACCGCGGCCTCGGTCTTTTGCCGTATCTCCTCCGCGCAAGCAGCCACCTCGCGTCCTCCCTCACCCATCGTTTCCGCTATGACCCGACCAAGCTCAACTGGGTCAGGTACAGTTTCACCACCTTCACAAACCCTAACCGCAATACCCAAATGCTCCACAAGCAACCTCGCGTTCACAAACTGATCCGCCTCCATGGGCCAGCCCAAGACCACAGCCCCACTCGTTATCCCCTCAAGCACAGAGTTCCATCCACAATGGCTCAAAAATCCACCAACTGCCACGTGTCGCAAGACCGCCAGCTGGGAAACCCATCCTCTAACCACCAATCCCCGTCCAGAAACCCGATCCTCAAACCTGTCGGGTATCGGATCTTTCTTAACCACCCAAACAAATCGGGTCATGCTTTTTTCTAAGCCTAGAGCAAGAGCATCACACTGGTCTTTAGTCAATGCCTTTTGACTTCCGAAACAAACGTATAGCACTGACCGGTTTGGGGATCCGTCTAACCAACTTAGCAAACTCGGGTCTATAGAACCTGAATCCGATTTAAGACCTGACCCGATTGAACAAAGCGGGCCAATTACAAAAACCCGATCATGACCCATCCTCTGTTTCACGTACTCAAGATAATCATCTTCAAGAATCTCAGAAGAATTGAAAACAGATCCATAGCTCAACAAATTCTTGGAGAAATCTTTGATTGTTTCGATATCCGGTGACGGAGTTTGGAGACTTCGTCGGACTATAGACGGAAGATGCTCTTCTTTGAAAATCGGAGCACGAGGAAGATCCAGGAGATGAATCGGATCCGTTGATTTGATTAGATCGATGTTTTCGAAGCAAAAATGGAGAACGGAAACTAAGAAGAAGCTGATGGAGAAGAAAGCGAATCTAGGGATACTGATTTGATTGCAGAGATCGTGAGTCCACCCGAGGAAGAAATCGGAGATGAGAGCGATCGGAGGATTAGGATGAGATCGGAACCAGTGGATGATTGGATCTCGAAGCTGACGAAGAGAAGCCATGATCGGGAGATTTCCTGAATTTCCGACGTCTTTAACGTTTTCGACGCCGGGAGAGAGTGAAGGATGAGGAGGGAAAGGGAAAACGACGGAGGTGACGGAGGAGGGATGAGCGGAGAGAAGAGGAGAGAGGTAAGTTAGGTTTCCGGGAGTGACGATGACGGAGACGTTGACTCCACGGAGGCAGAGTTGGTGAGTTAAGTCAAGTAGAGGAAGTAAGTGACCTTGTGCTGGGAATGGAAACACCACTATGTGCGGTGGTTTCGAATTCTCCGGCAGCAATACTTTCGTCATTTTCGCGGTGGCGTTGCGGTTGTTGGTTTTTTTTTTTTTTTGGTAGTAGAAAATTTGGTATGGCTGCATTAATTTTTCATATTATATAATCAAAATTTTGGATTAAGATAGATTAAAGTTGTACCCTTTGGTCTTTTCAAAATGTATTACCTTTGTATTTGTCTGCGTTTTAAAAGTAAGCTCCGTTATCATCATCTGCCTTGATCATCACTTCATCACCATCCTAATAACAAAACCTTTTTCGCAAGACTTTTCAGCAACCGTCAAGTAGTGGTTGCAACGGTTCTAGAGAAATATGTTTATGCTTAACGCAGGCCTGAACTAAATTCAAGGCCCAACAGTTTGTTCGTAACTATAATAGACACAAAGGATTATGTTGTCTCAACAAAACAAAAACTTCTTAAAAACTTAAATCCGTAGATTTGAAAAATATTTTTCGAACCCTAGTTCTCAGCTTATCACCATGGAAGAATCAGCCATCAAAGTAATCTTCTTCTTCTGCTATAAACTCTGTTCGTGTCTCTACTAATGGTTTCTTTCCGCAGAAGAAAGTAGGAAAACATATGAAGTACGTCGTAGTATAATTTCTGATTAGATCTTCTTTTGTACCTTAGGGTCTGAAATTGCTGGAATTCAACGATAGTGGTGCAGACTCTCAAACTCACAGGTAAATTTATTTATTGGGAAATTTTTGTCGTACGTGTTGATCATAATATTATTAACTCCACCTGCAATCGAAATCAAATTGTTGCAGTAGCACTAGTACGGCTATTTCCGTTGAAGGATATAACACTACGCTTAAGGAGTATCCTCTCAGGCTCGCATTGGCAAAACATTTCGCTTCATGCGGAAAGATCACACAAATTTATGTTCCTAGAGACTTTAAAAAGAAACTCCTCAAGAGGTACTTTAATTTGTGGCTTCTTCCCTCCCAGCACTCAATGCTGCTAACTCAAAAAAATAAACATTGTTTTTATTTGTATCGTCCGTTTTACAGAGCCTCCTTCGTTTGGATCGAGGGAGACGATGCCGAAGAAAAGGCATTGCAACTTAGTGGAACTGACGTTGGAGGATGGACTGCTATCGTTAAGCCTGTGCCCTCTCAGAAAATATTCTATGATGATTCTTGGAGTGCTGCTACTCCTGAGGCTATATGCCCCCAGGTACATAAATTTGCTCTTGCTTCTTGATTCTTGGTAACAAATTAAAACCTCTTATTAGTTTCGTTGTTTATACTTTATACACTATTAGGAGATGGAAGAAGAAGATGCTTGATATGTTGGTGCACGAAATTCACGAAAGAAAAAGTATCGATTTAAGTAAAAATAAGCCATGATGAATAAGGCTTTCTCGCTCTTACTTCTACTGCTCACGGTAACAGTTGTAGGAGCTAGCGTGACTGGTACAAGGGAGTCATGGGATGATAATGATAATAATTAATCCACGACCTATATTTGGTTAGATGTTAAATACATCATATTTCAGTTCAATTTTAAACCATACTTATTTTGTCTAATCCGTTGTATCGTCAAAGTTAAGTTTTCAAATTTAGATTTTGTTGACTTTAGTTCACAATTTAAAGAATCCGTATTGAATATTCTCAAAAAGAGGAAAAAAATATTCCTATTGACTCGATTACGGACTTTTTTCCAGACCAACAAAATAAATAAATAAAATATAATAATTTTGCAACGATTAGTGAAAATGAGAAGATAAGTGAAAGAGAAAGAATATTATTACTTATGATGATTTGATATTTTTTTTTCTAAGAAGTGATCATAGGATCTTCTCTTTCTCGTTCTTCCACCGCTTCATCTAATCTCCTCCACCTACTTTGGCGTTGTTCTTCCACTTGTTTCGATTTGGCTTGTTTCTCTTCGTACTGTTGCTGGCAATCTTCAAAGAGCTCAGGGTCCATCTCCATGAACATTCTTTTTATATTCGCGCTTAAACCGTGTACAGCTTGGTTCCAGTGAGACTCTATGTTTCTCTCCAGGGATGCAAATATGATGGGAAGGATCACACCTCGGTTCTGCGCTATTAGACCTACAACGTGCTCATTGTTCCACAAGAACAGAGCTCGTTCTGCAACCTACATGGTGGTATGTGTATGTGAGCATAAGAGATTGAAATATTCAAAATTCCTACTAATCGAGCAAATATTTTGGCTAAGCTTGAGCTAGAGAGAAGATGGATCAGAGTGAAATGGGAATTCCATGACAAATGAACAAAGCAAAAACAACAGTTTCAATAATATCAGAGGAGTTGGTTGTTTGGCAGGGTTGAATCAAAGATGAGTTAAGCTATTGAATGATATAAGCATCAAATAATTCATTCAGCAGATTGTAATAGCAACTGCATGAGATAAACCTATCAACAGAGATGGGTCATGATCAGATTCAGTTTGCTGAAGAAGCATGGGAAAGGCGAAAAAGCAACCAGAAAGATGAAACAATGTGAACCATGCTAAGCACATAAATTGCAGTACATTTTTCAAATGGAGGAGTCACAACATGAGTTCGAGGTAATAGGCCTATATGGCTATATCATTGCCTGGATATGCAAAATCACCACACAACAGGAGTCTTTGGTACAAGAAGCTTTATAACAGAGGCTCCAGAATTTAGAGGTTAATATGCATAAATGAGAACCTTCAGTGGACAGATTGAAGAGTGAAACTAACCCATAAGAGATTACTAACCTGAAAATTAGAGCTGCTGAGGCACCGAGCAATCTGTTGGAACAGAGGGACCATACAGCGTTGGAACTCAACAGTTTGTGTTGCCTCAAGAACTTCTTCAAGTTCACCGAGAAAGAGAACCTCTTTTGTACAGTTTGTCACAGGCCAAAACTTTAACAACCCCCTAATTACTGTATCCGCAAGCTTATAATCTTTCTCCACAAACTGAACAATGCAGTAAGACAATTGTTGATGATACATAGCGATTGGTTTTGGCTTATGCAGAGGTATCAAAGCCCTGATCAAAAAGAGCTTGTGCTCCTCCTTCATTGGCAAGGCAAACCCATTTATAATACTACCCAGAATCTCCAAAAGCTCCCCAATCCCACTATGTCTCTCTGTCTCATAAATAAACCTATAGAATATATTGTTCATTGCTTTCCTAATAAAGGGCCTGTGGACCATAAACTTCCCATAAATCCTATGAAGAATCGTTTTCAAGTACTCCCTTTCTCTTGGATCTTCAGTTTCAAACAATTCAAGCAACCTCAGCACAAAAGAATGGTCAATATACCGTTTCGCAACCTTTGTATCTGTGTCAGAAGGAACAATGTATCTCAGCAACAACTCATAAACTAGCTGTAAATGAGGCCAAGATGGTTCCAAATAAGGCTCCTCTTCCTCAAGATCAGCAGGCTCTTGACCTGTATTCTCGTGTGAAGCCGGAGGAAGACACCGGAATATATTAACCGAAATCATCTTTACCATTTCTTCTTGACAAACTTCAGAGAGCTTCCCTGCTCCAGACTGTATAAAATCAACTAGCTCCAATAACGTTTGCCTCTTAATCTCCTTCTCTCTCGCATTCTTCAACGTATCCGTAAAATCAAATTGAAAACAACAAATCTGGAGTTTCCTCAAGAACAAGGATTGACGGTCGGAAACAGACACGTCTCTGAACAACGGAAGAGGCTCGACTGAATACATAGGAGGCGGTTGTGTGGTGGCCGCCATTGAACCTGGAGAAGAAGGAACAAGCGAACCACGAGATGCGTGATTTACAATCATATTGGATCCAGGACCTGACCTACCTGGTGGATCAAACCCATACATAGACGAATCATTTGCCTCAGCTTTAGAGGCTTTTCGATTTGCCCCTTTCATGATCTTCTTAAACATGGCTTACGCACTTTAAACAGACCTCAGAGAACCCTAATTTAGAAACCCTAGGTTTTGCGAACGAGAGATTCAGTGGAAGAGAGAACTCAATTGGATCCCTCAGATTCAATTGCTTTCTAACAAAAACCTTCTACTAACGCTTCTTCTGCATCAGTCTTCGAGTATGTTCTGTGAGATCTGAGAAGATGAAAATCAAAGCGTTGGATTGATAGAAGAGATCCTCGGAGAAATGACCGGAGATTTGGACAGCGATTTTATCCGGCGAGCGAGCGAGAACGAAAAAGAGAAAGAGAAAGGATCTTCAAATTAAAATGGAAACAGAAAATATAAAATTAAGGTAACGATTTTTATTTAAATTTCTTATTTAAATTAGTTATTCAAAATCTCTCTCTTCATTGTCTTCAAATCACAACCAAAGACACGAAGATAATTATAAAACTATTTTGATTTTTTATTATCTTTTTGAAATCACATTTTGTGAATTTATCCTAAACGTTAGCGTAAGTGTGATGGCTTTGTGCACGTGGCTTGTGAGTGAAGTGCTCGCAACTTTAACAAATTGGTCCATATATATGAATAATGAACTATGATTATGCAAAAAAAGATGCTTATTTCAAATAAAATTAAACACATGAAATTTATTCTCCATTCATGGCAATATCAAATAGTGACAAGTGGTCACCACTAGATTTTGATGATGAAATCAAATAAACAGAGTAGTCGCAATAGACAAATCTTTCAAAATTTTCTATTCCAAAACTCTTCACTATGGATAATAACAACCTTTGAATAAAACGAAGGGATATAACAATAAGACAATGATTTGTGGATTGGCTTGCTTGAAATATCGAAAATCAAGAGTTGTTAAAGTTGCTCAATTAAACTTACCATAAAACTAATAATACAACTTAAGACTTTACGAGACACCATAACGCATTAAGCTCAACTAGCAGAGAGTGATCCGAGTTTTACTGAGAAATTCGAAATCTCCCACATGCAAAAGATTCTACACAAGAAGAGAAGAAAAGAAAAGAGAAGTAAACATAAAAGAAATTATCTGTTACGCAGCATTTTCAACGTATATCATTATCAGTATCACATCAGGTAATTTCAACTTCCAGCTTCTTCTCTTATCCAAAACATATATCCACAAATACAAAGGTTTTATTGAAGAAAAGACTCGGCCTCAATCCTGCTTAATACCACCCGTCTCCTCCGCTACAACAGGTTTAGCTATTGTTTCTGTACCTTCAGTTCCAGTTTCCGCAGCCACCTGAAACAAAAAAAAGTGTTGCACATAAGGTTCAACTGCAACCACGTATAAGATAAACACTGAATATACACAGATAGAAATGTAAGTTCATGGAAGCTACTGGGATCATGGCATATTGTTGAACTGCAACCACAGGTTTGCATCAATTTTGAACAAAAAAAAAAAAAACATCAATTGAAGGATTGAATCTATGTTTCCATCAACGAAACTGCTTCAACCAAGAAACGATTCAACGAAGAATAAAAAGCGTCAATCAAGTGATTTTCACTTACTTTGGTGGCTTTGTCGTTTTGAGCAACTGGCTTGAAAGGACAAGCTGGAGGGGCTCTTGCTGGCTTCCTGTACTCCCATCCGAGCCACGCATACAATTTGGCCTAGTTATAAACCATGAACAGACAAAACTTAAAGAGTTAACAAATGATTAGACGAACATTCTACCAGTAAGATTCACTAAAGCATGACCTCTACAGATTGTTTTTTCTTAAACATAGTAAAGTCTAAAGATAATCGGTATGAAAAACTAACAAAACTAAGATTTAGATATTGCTAACATCTTCAACTTTCCAAGAGCACACCTCAAGCAAATAACAAAAGCTTATTTTTCAGTTTTACAAGCACAGATTATGATCATTTATCCTGATTATCATCTTCACTATCTTCTTCTCTTTCTAATCTCCAATTTGTTATTCAATTCAAATGAAGCTATCTCTTTTGAGACTAACAGAATTCAACACTCTAGCATCTTAAAATTCGAAAAATTGTAAGTCTTGACATTTAATACCCCATGAATCTGATCATTATTCCGAGGAAAAATCAAAAGTTCAAAGATTATATCAAGAGAGAAGGAGCCAATTACCATGAAATAATCGATGATTCGAGGCATTAAATTGATGAGCGGGACGAGGAACAGAGGCACCAAACACATAACGCAAACCTGTGACATTCAGGAATTTTCATAGATTCAAAAAATCTGAAATGGAATCCGCAAAATTGACAAACGAAAGCTAGATCCATAAAAAACAAGCGAAAAATTGAAAATCTTACCATGATGAAATTAGGGTTCTAAACTCAGGATTTGGGAATTTTCGACAAAAGTATCAAAAATTGGAGAGAGAGATCAAAATATGATTGTACTTCCCTGAAGTCGTCGTCTTTTGCTTTTATGACTAAAAAAATTAAACAAATAAAGCAAACACTCTGTATCAGCGAGAGAGTTTTGACGACGTTAATAAGCTAACGTGCCTCTTCCAGAGAAGCTACCGAAAAATCCATTATTTTACTTGACGGCGTTAAGATATCAACGTGGCTTTGACGCTCAGTAAACGTACAATACCAAAAAAGCCCTTTTAGAATTATGGTTGCAAGTTTGGTGTTTGTGTCTCCAAATAAAACCAACATGTATTGGTAAGAGATTATTTATGATAAATCTTCATTCAACTTTAATACATGACAATGTGGAAGATCAATTAGGTCCCAATATGGTTCAGTAGGTTTTAGGCACAATCGCCTTTGCAAGGAACGTCTGCGCAGCGGCAGACCGGTTTTCCAGAAGCTTCCCAGCCGTTAAAGCCACGTTCCAAGATCATGATGTTTTTGATTCCAGTATCTTCTTTCTTCTCATCGAGATAATTCACGAGCCTTCTTGCACAAGTTGGACCACGAACCTGCATTAAGAATTGGCTTCAAGGCTTAAGCAATCACTTCATTTTCGAGTGAAAAAATCTATTGATTTATTTATGGTAGGACTTTGGACAGAACAAAGAAATGAGAACTAGCTCAAATCAAAGGTTGATAAAGGACTGAGATTGATGATTTGGAGTGCTAGCTAATCGATGTTCTTTCTTTTAAGAATATAACGGAAGCTCCTACTTCATGGCATACATAAGAATAGATGGACAAATAAGAATACCATATCGAAAACAGTTGAAATTTGCAACCTTAAATCAACTTTTGACATATGAAAGTCACTACACGAGGACATACTGTAGAACATATAGATATCCTTCTACGAATACCATATTGATGCCGCTTATCTAACCTATTTAACATGAATCAACAAATCTTCCACCAAAACCAGTTATCATTCAATCATCGCAAAACAGTGCTATATCATGTGTTCCATCATATGAAATCAAACAAGAAGAAAATATAAGATATTGTGGGAAAGTGAAAAGAGTGTATAAAAACAAACACCTGGCTCAAAGCACAATGGAAGACAAGTGTGTCTTTGTCCTTGACATTTTGAACAAGATGAGAGATCTTGTCATCAAACGAGCCACTGGCATAGTGTAGCGACCCAGCTATATGCCCGTCATAATTCCTCTCTTCATCCCTTCAAAAACAACCAAGTACTCCAATGTGTTACATACATTACCTTCAAAAAAGTCTAGATTTTGTAGCTATAACTCTGTATCAGAACCTAGTCAAGAATTACAAAAAAGTCTGTTTCTTTCTTCATTCCTCAACCCACCTAACCACAAAAGCTTTGTTACAAGCTCATGAGACCCCTAAAAGTTGTTTTTTCGATTGAGAGATTCTACAAAATTCCAGTTTTAGAAAATATTGAGATTCCACTTGTTAATAATTAATTGATCCCCATGAATTATTAAGTAAAGGAATCTCCTAAAACCTACATCAGTACTACATAAAAGAGTAAAATCAAACCTAAGACCAATAATCGGGATTGATTCGAACTAAAATTTGGTAGAGAATCAGATTATGACTAAAACCGACGAAACAAATCGATTAATGTTTGACCTGACATCGATTATGGCGATGTTGGGACGACGATGAAGAGGGAGAAGCTGCGTAGAGGTGATGTAAGAGATGCTTCTCGCCATCGCCATTTTTTTCTTCTTAGTGAAAAAGGAAAATATGCTTCTCCCCATATCTCCTTTTCTTCCTTAGGGTGTGAATGGTAACACTAAAAAAGGCGTTTTTTAACCTTTTTCAGCAAATCCGTCAATTGGTCACCATTCACCATTTTTTGAACAGATTTGCGTTTTTCAAAAAAAAAAAAAAAAAAAAAAATTTGCGGAATTGTCCAGCGGTTAAAGCCTTGGACCGCCTTTTAAAAAATTTCTGGTCATTATCCAGCGGTTTTCAAAACCGCAGCAACAAATAATACAACGGATAATAAAACATGCTTTTGCATTTTAAATAATTAAAACTACTAGTACATATCTATACTATTAATTGGGAAGCATTGGATAATAAATAACCTTATGAAGTGTAAAGAATTACAAAAATGCCATTGGGATAATTACAATCAAAGAGTAAATGAAAAAAAATCGTTGAAGGGCAAAATCATAATTTAAAAGCAAAATACCCATGGATCTTGGGCGAGTGGATCGGATAAACACGCGGATTCTGGGCTTATTTGGCGGATCGACACGCGGATCATGGACCCGACCCGGACTGTTGGAATATGGCATTTTGGGACAATCAAGCGGATCCTGTGAGTCTGTGACAATCAATTTTGGTTAAGATTTGGCAATGTTGTTATTAGATATTTCTTGCAATATACTAAAAATTATTTCGAAACCAAAAATGACATATATCATTTAAGATATACCCAAAACAAACGTATCCCTTTAATTTCGAATATAAAATAGGATAGATAGTAAACGTAACAAGATTTAGTTTCAAAAATCTCCAAATTTGATGGTTGTTTTCGATATGATACGAATTCGGATAATATATTTACCAAAAATAACAATAACTAAATATTCATAACCTAAATAATCAAGTATATACCTTAAATCTTTGTACAAAACGTTTTGATTAATTATGAAGAGGAAGAAGATTTTTTATGGTGTCTATTGGAAATTGATTTTCTGCTTAATACTGCATAAGAGAAGAGAAAACGTCTAGAAAGTCCCTATCTCTCAAACGAAAAGCTCAAAAAGTGAAGGTGAAGAGAGTGAGAAGAAGAAGATGGCTAATACCATCATGATTATTGATTAAGCAAGAAGAAGAAGAAAATAAGTGTTCGATGAAGAAGAGGAGCTAAGGGGAGAGAAAACGTGTTGTTAGCCACTTAACAAGAAAAAGGTTTTTGGGCCAATATGCAAAATAGGCCCAACATAAATATACATAAAAATATACTCCCTCCGTTTCGGTTTAGTTGTCGTTTTAGCATTTAAATTTTGTTTCATAATAGTTGTCGTTTTAGGTTTTCAATGCAAATGTTTGGTGAAAATTCCAGTTTTATCCCTACTGTTTTAATGTTTTGGCCAATGAATTTTTTTATAAAATATATTAATAAAGGGTAAAACAAAAAATTTAATGCTTTTCTTAATTTGTATGAAAAAACCTTAAACGACAACTAAAACGAAACGGAGGGAGTATTAAAAAAACAAAAAAAAAACATAAAACTATACAACATATATTTCCATTTCCAAAAGTATAAAATTACAGACTTAGGATTTATCTTTTACTATAAGATATATTTATAAAATTTTAGTAATATTATAAAACACAAATAAAACATTTACGGGTCGTGTAGTAAAGTGAGAAACATATCGAATAACGAGATAAGTATTACAAAATATAAATACTCGATACTCGACCCTTATCTAATGGCCACAAGTAATAGAATCACAATATCTTTTACCCGACCCTAAGATCACGACTACCCTTTTCTTGAGACGGGTACAAATCGGGCAACAGATTGAATACATGTAACGGGTATCTAGCCTTAAATGCTATATACGTATAAAAATTCAAATACAAATAAAACTCCGCACGTATGTGCGGGTCCGGATCTAGTACATGTTAAAACACAAAAGAACAATTCTTGGGTTCACCCCTAGGGGTGAACCCAATTCATTCACCCCCTTTTTAATCACCAATCAAAATTTGACATGTCATCTAACTAAAATAACTAATATTATCTAAACAAAATAATTAAACTAAATCATTAAAAACTCAAAATTAAATTAATTGTAGGCCCTACTACTCTCTCTCTCACGTCTCTCTCTTTTCTTTTTTTTTTCTTTTTTTCAAATATTGTTTTTCTTCAACTTTAATAAAAAATATAAAAAAAATAATTTAACCAAAATAATTAATAGTAAAGCTTTAGCATTTCCATATGTTTTCTGACTTTGTATTCAAAATGATCGAGCTTTACAATAAATCTCCGTAACTTTTGTCAAATTCCTACAAAATATAAGATTTCAAATCATGAAAAATTTGACCGAAAAGTCAAATATAAATAGTAAGAGTAAATTATTTACCTGAAACACTTGTGAAGAAAACTAATCTCTTTTGATGATATGTGAGAAGAAGAATAGAAAAAATGAAACTCTTTCCTTTGATAAAACTAATCTCTTTTGATGATATGTGAGAAGAAGAATAGAAAAAAATTATGAATAAGGTTAGGGTTAATGACTTTATATAACATTTAGAATTAGGGTTTTTTATTGACTTATTAAATTTTTTTTTCCTATTGGATTTAGGAGTGTTACGTGAATGAGAGAGTTAGTGGCCCCACAATTAATTCAATTTTAATTTTTAATGATTAAATCTGATGAAACTAAATTATTTTTTTTACATTTTTATTATAGTTAAAGAAAAACAATATTTGAAAAAAAAACAAAAAAAAAAACAAAAGAGAGAGACGTGGGAGAGAGAGTAGTAGGGCCTACAATTAATTTAATTTTGAGTTTTTAATGATTTAGTTTAATTATTTTGTTTAGATAATATTAGTTGTTTTAGTTAGATGACATGTCAAATTTTGATTGGTGATTAAAAAGGGGGTGAATGAATTGGGTTCACCCCTAGGGGTGAACCCAAGAATTGTTCCAACACAAACATGTTTCATTTTTTTTATACACAAATACAAACTTCTCTTTTATACACAAATACAAACTTTAACATTTTTTTTTGATAATTTTTCTTTAAAAATTTATTCTCAAGTCTCCCACATTTTCAGGTAATATTTAAATTTATAAGTGGTGACTCTTTGCCCAAAAAAAGACTCTAATATTTTGTGTCCATTTAAAAAAGTGATGCAACTATTTTCATCATTTGTTATTATTGATGTTAATTTGTGTCATTTGAAAAAAAAAAAAAAAATTGCATTAATCAATGTAAATGATGTTAATATTTAAATAGGTTATGATAAATAATATGAATTATTGTGTATCTTTTGTAAATGATTTAAATATATATATCATTTATGAAATAACCGATGATATAGAATATATGAGATAATATAGAATATATGACATAGAAGCCTACTTGTAAATGATTTAAATATAGAATAGATGACATAGAAGCAACGGAGATAAGAGATGGAGAATATATGAAGCAAATAAGAGATAATATTGCAAATATGTTATGGGAAAATCAAAGTAATAGATAATATTTTTTAATGTGTTGTATTTTTTTTTTATGATAAAATTATTCAACGGATTCAACAATATGTATGTTTAAAAATTAAATTTATATTTTGATCAATTTTTGTATTAATGGTTTATAAATATCTGTTATTGTTTATTTATTAACAAATAATAATAATTAATTATTAATTTATATATATATTTATATATAAAACCGCACTTATTCCGCAAATAGCTTTTTTCACCAATCAAATATTATTTCGTACCGCTTATTTTATACAAACCGCACTTGTCCCGCAAATATATTTCTCCCGCATGTCCCGCAGTTGAACCGTACCGCACTTCTCCCGCACCGCAAAACAGGGTTACCATTGGGAGCCAAGTCACCAACATTACATTGAAGACTACGAACCAATTTGATGCGACGATTGTTTATGGGATTATTAAAGTTAAGTATTGCATATTAACAAAATGCGGGGATAGCTCAGTTGGGAGAGCGTCAGACTGAAGATCTGAAGGTCGTGTGTTCGATCTACGCTCACCGCATTTAACTTTTTTCCCTTTTAAAAAAGTATTTTTACATTTTTTTTTGCTTATTTTATTCCGAGAGTCGTATCTCTAATTCTTCGATACCTCTGCGAAAACTTTTTGGTCTTCTTCTTCTCCTCCGAATTCTGATACAGAAACGAACCTAATGCCGCCTCGCCGGCGTTACCCCTTCAGTGGTCCCGGAGATATAATTGCACGACTTATTGAATTTGAGGATGAATATGAAGGCTTTGTAGAAGAAGATTTTGGGTATGTCCGCCATGGAGAAGAAGAAGACGAAGAAGAAGAAGAGGAAGAAGACGAAGAAGATTCCGAACGCCAAACCAGGGAATATATCGATGTTGTAGAGTCACCTATTAGGGTTTCACAGAACGAGAGTGGAGAGAACGAGAATCAGATAAGGTCACAAGGTGTTTGCTCATCGTCTTCAGGATCGCAGGAGCATGTCGAATGGAAACACGGCGACACTGAGGGATTGTCTTGTTCGATCTGTATGGAAGTTTGGACCAGCGGTGGCCAACACCAAGTCTGGTAAGCTCGATTTCAGTGAAACAAATTTTGGATTTCTCTAATTGTTTGTTTTACCTCTTTGGAATTCAACTAATGTTCTTACTCTGGTGTGATGATACAAGTTGTCTTCCCTGTGGACACTTGTATGGATTTTCCTGCATCAACAAGTGGTTTCAGCAGCGACGAAGTGGGGGCAAGGTCTGCGGTTGTTATCTAGTTTTTTCAGATCCCTTTGCTGTTGATTTATAGTTATCTTGCTCATCGAGTCACATTGGCTTCTTTTACAGTGTCCCCTGTGCAACAAAACATGTAGCTTGAGAGATGTCCGGAAAATCTATGCATCACGGGTTGCTGCAGTAGATGATGAAGCACACAAGGTCTTACATGAGTGTTTTTTTCGAAATACATACGTAAAAGCAAATCATAGTATCAAATTCTGATATTCTTTTATTGATATTTGCAGAGAATCGTATTTTTGGAGGCCAAGTTAAGTTCAATTGAACAGAAGGTACGGTAAATTACTTCTCGGAAAGTTCATGATATTGCTATCATCAGTACACACTATTTTGAGCTTAGTTATTTACTTATTTGAAATGCTTTCAAATCATTCTCAAGAAGATTTTCTTGAGTACTAAAACCTCTTTATGTGTTCATTATAAGTCGTCTATGTAGGTTATGTCTGTGTTATATGACAGGAACATGTGTGTGTAGCCCCTCGTATAGTATTGTACGTTTAATAATATGTTCTTATATGTCATGCAGACTGCGAGTTGGAGTAACAAAGAAGCTCAATGGAAAAAAATTGAAGCAGAGCTACGATTAGAAGTTAATAAGCTGAAGAAGGTACGCTCCAAGAGTTTGCTGTACCGTGGTCACTCTTGTCACTTTGCTTTATGCTTGGACAGATTAAGATTACTTATTAACTAGTCGAGTCTGGAATATTCAGTTGGTTCGTAACTTTTAAAAGGGAGCTGAGTTTGACTAAGAGTTCCCATTTTATTTTCCCTCCCAACATAAGATTTTTTTTCTTTTTTTGTTTTCTTTTCTCATAAAATTGTCGCACATGTTTCTCCTCTAGTTAGCGTCAAGGGTAGAATTTGTGTTTTTGCAGAAAATAGCTAATATGGAAAGTACGACTAAGGGTGCGCAGAGCCAGTCTAATGCGGCTTCTCAGGAGAAATATATATCTGGTAATCACACAATAACATGCTTCACGGTTGCAAAACATGCAGTTTTTTTTTTTTTTTTTTCCCCTTGAAATTCTCTGCGTCTAAACAGTTGTAAGTGCATGCCTGCAGGTCATAATATCTACCAAGAGCATCATGGACAGTCACCTTATTGCAGCTTTAGACATCAGGTGTGGCTTAGTGCTCCTTCAGACACATTGTTTTAGAAATTTTGGCTGAAGTATTGTTTGTTTTGCATTTTTCGTAGGGAGAACTGCTAATTAACGGTGGCCGTATATTTGACATAGATGGTGGTAGACAAATATTATTATTGGCCCGTAGGCTCCCAGGCGTTGGTGGAACGTTTGTGCTTACGCAAGTAAGTTTTTTTGTTTTGCCTCTTATTTTTTTTTATCTTATACCAGTAAAATGATGCAACTATACGACCTTTTTGTTTTTAATATATTGTAGATGAGCCTACATTCGTCGGGTGAGATTGATGATATTTTGTTGCCTCCTACCACTAGAGCAATTAAAGATCTTCACCTTTCCCCTCACAGTAACGGGCTTGCGGTATTTGGTTCTCTAGGGAAAAAGTTATCAGTTATAAGCTTGGAGAGCCACAACACTGTCTTATCTTATGATCTACCGGCTGCACCTTGGTCTTGCTCGTGGGATCTCAACAGCTCTCACCATATTTATGCTGGACTACAAAATGGAATGGTTTTGGTATTTGACATGCGTCAAACCACCGGACCTTTTGCATCGATGACGGGCGTAACAACCAATCCAGTTCATACTATCCATCATCTCTCTGGCAATTCCACTCCAACTTCTGATGTTCGTACCCTCTTATCTGCTTCTTCCATCGGGCTGTGCCAGTGGAACATTAGTGGCAGCGAGGGAAGGTGAGGTTTTGTGTTTCTCTGACATTGATTCTTGTTCACATCTCTCATGAAACGAAACCTAAAAATCGTTTTGACTGAAAAATACTTAAAAGTCAGATATCACAGAAGCTGAAGAATTTTATCATTGCATTTTTGAGGCTCTAACCTGTTATAATTTTGGTTTTTGTTTTGTTTAGCCCATCATTAGTTTCGGAAACGGGAAACCCAGGAATTTGCATATCCTCCTCGTACTGTCCCCGCAGCGATCATATAGTGGCTTCTTATAGACCGAGAGTTGGATCATCTGATGATACAGTCCCGACTCAGCCCTCATTGACTCAAACAGGAGCCAATAATAGTAATAGTAATGGTGTAGAGGGATTTCATGTTTGTCATAAGAGAAGAGGTGTTGATTCGTATTACCAGAAACTTTCCTCCACACAAGCTATTGTTGATCCCATCCGTTTGCCGAGAACAGCGATTATAGACTTTGGTGGAGAAAGGAAAGAACTTTTTGCATCTTGTGACGAGTCCACTCGCAATCTCATCTTGCAAGATCCTTCGACTTTTACCATCACTCAACTGTTCCCATTGTCAAGTCATCTTCCGCTGCAAGATCTGAAATACGCTCACGTCAATGGTTCGGGTCTGCTCGGTCTCTTAACAGATGATAGATTGCAGCTTCTTAGGAAGGAATCGCCATTAAGATGAAAAAAGATTGATAGACTTGCAGGGATGGTGTTTGTTGAAGAGCAAACATGTATGTAAAAGCGGCTAACTTGTCTATCTATCTATCTTTTGTAATCTGGAGATGCTATTAGAGTAGCCATTACTTAATAATATTATTATCTTAGTTATGAATACCACACTGAATTTTCCAGAAAGTAGAAAAAGACCAAAAATAAATTCCGACCTGCCGGAATCGAACCAGCGACCTAAAGATTACAGCAACAACTACAGTCTTCCGCTCTACCAACTGAGCTAAGGTCGGTCTTGTCAAATCATTGATTATAAATAATTAAATACTTAATATATCGATGGAGAATCTATTGAAAAAAAGGAAATTAACATTCCGATTGGATTCTGCTTTTTCCTATTCACGTTTCCGATTACTTGTGGGAACTTTTGTGAGCCAAGTCAAGGTTTTATCTCTCTCTTCTCGTCGTCGATTCTGCTCATCGAAGATTCCAATCAGCTAAGGTTACATATCTTTCTCTTTATTCTTTCTTGCTGTCTTTGGTTTTGATTTTGACTGATTTTGGTTGGAATGAATCATCTCTGTATCCTTCTCCGTTGACGAAACTCTTGAAAACCCATCAACAGTTTCGTTTTTTTCGATATATGGGTAGAGTCAATTCTAGGGTTCTATCACTTTCATCTTCTCATCTTTTTGTCTTTTGGGTTCCAGAATAAAAGTTTTAGGGTTCTTCCCTTATATTGCCAATGTGTTCATCATATACATTGCCTTTGATTGTGTGAATCATAATCTAGTCCAATCTTACTCTTTATACGATGAGAATAATTGTAATTAGTTGCTAATGAATCTCGTTTCTTTGATAGTTATGATTGAAAAGTCTTTGTTTTTGCAGAGTTTTTCCTGTCTCGGTTCAAGCTTCAAGATTTCAGGCATTGTGATCTGTCTTTGATTCTACAAGGGCTATTTGTCAGTACAATGGAAGCTAATAATGAGCCTGGTAATGTGTCATGTAATTCGAGCAATGATAAAGAGAAGTCGTCTGAGAAGATCTTTGTGAACCATGGTAAGCTTTAACACTCTTCACAATGGTTAAGGGTTTTAACAATTTGACTCGAACAGGGTTTATTTTCCTATGGGGTTAGCTGATAGTCTTTGACGATTAAGGGAAAACTGATTGTCTCATCAGGTTTATTAGTGTCAAGATTAAGGCTTAGTTCTTATGATCAACACCAATATTGGCTCAGTTTCTTTGAAAGAATGTGAAATATAATAAACACATGATCTTAAATTGTGATTACCTTTCCTTTGTTGTGCAGCCGAGATTGCGTGGCAAGAGATGAGAAAGAAGTGGGTTGGAGATCCGTCTAATAGGACTTCAGAGATGCCTGCTGAACCTGTAATAGGGTACTTTATTTATTGCTCAGCACTTTTAGATCTTCAAGCTTCAGGTTTACATATATATTAAACTCCTTTTTCCAAATCTAAATCTTTTGTAGCTTCAACGCTACTTATGAAGACTTGCTCACATCCAATACTCCTTTCAACAAGCCCATCCCTCTAGCTGTGAGTTCCTACAATACTCCAAAACACATTTCCTATTCGTCTGTTTCCTTCCTTGGAGAATAATTCTTGTTCATAGCTATCAAACATCTCTTTCAACCCTCACTGGTGTTAACTTGGTTGCAATCTTCTTTGCAGGAAATGGTGGATTTTCTGTTCGATATTTGGCATGGGGATGGTCTTTTCGACTAGGTAACGGAGAGGGGATTCTCAGTATTCTTGGTACAGAATTTAGTTGCAGGCTGGCTCTAATCCATTTAGGTCTCAAGGATCTCAAATTCCATTATCTTTAGAAGAAACTCTGGTTTTTTGCATTGACTTACCATGAACATATAACTAATTTAATTAGGTATTTTTGAGATTCTCATCCATAATAATTCACCAAAATCAAACACAAGGATCATGCTTCTGATGCCATTTGGTTATTTTCTTTAATATTGACTTTAGTAGTGGAATTAAAAGAAACGGCAAAGATAACTTTGGCATTTGGGTTAAGAAAACGTGTATGATCTTGATAAGTGCGACTGTGTTTGGTGATTGCGATTGTGTATTTGCGTGTTAGGTGTCGAAACGCACTCACTCAAAAAATGCCCATAGAAAAGTCAAAAAGAAATTCGTTGACCGTGGCTAATCCATCCTCATGAAAATGAAACTTCTTAATAGTAAATCTGGTTACAGAATTATAATTTTGTTGCTTTCTTAGAGAGGAAAGTATAAATACTTGACCGTGAAGATAATTGAATAATTCTGTATTAAGCCAATCTCTTAACCAACAAGATTACAAGGATTAGTCCTTACCATTGGTTTAATGAGATGAAGACTTTGTATTTAATGAGATGCAATGCAACTATTGTATTTGATCTCAGTTAATAATAATAAAATAAACATTGGTATTTTAGGTTCAATGTATATGAAAGAATTTGCTGACAAGCAAACTTGTACATAAGATTTGTTTAAAAAGTTTTTCATAATCCTGTTAATGCTTTACATAATAAAATGCAAAAAGTTAGTATGCAATAACACATTGACCGAGTTACTGTTAAGTCTCTCTTCTCTCAGTAAATAAATCTCAGGAAATTTCATTTGTTTTTTTTTTTTTGTTTGTTATCTCAGATTTTTGGTGGGTTTTAGATAAATTGGGTGTGGCAATAAAAAATTGAAACTTTATAAAAATAAAAATCATAAAAATTCCATTTTTCAAGAAGAATCTGCTCTTCTTGTCCAAAACGAATTTCTCTCTTCTTCATCTACGGCAATCTAAATACTTCCGACGGGATTCTCGAGATAAAAGGTGAGTTTTTTTAATCCTCCTAAATCTGTGGATTACTCAAAATCTGCAGATACAACGAATTCTGTCTCGAATTGCAAAAGCATTTGCGTTTTTCGTAGATTTTGATCAGAGAAGCGAGAGATGGAGATCGATAAAGCGATCGGAGAAAGTGACGATAAGAGGTTGAAGACCAAGTACAACAACGCCATCTTCGTCATTAAAAGAGCTCTTGCTCTTTACTCGTGAGCTCTCTCTCTCATTCTCTTTTATTCTTCATTTGGTTATTATATTCTTACGACTTCGTTATAGTCTTCCATCTTCAGATTCATTTTCGTTAAAGTGTGCTTCTTTGTTTTGTTGCTGGAGATTTAAATTCTCTGGATGTGATTTAGCTTTGATGAAGATACCATTGTTCAACGTTGATAGATATTTTGATCTCAGTTAAAGTTACTAGTAGTGATATTATGGTTTGAGAAGATCTCTTTCATAGGATGGATTTTAACCCTTTTTCGTCGATTGGATTAGCAAGACCTTATCAGTTATACTTGTTGTCATTCCAATCCAATAACGTGTAAACGTTTTGTATCGTTATAAAACTAAAGATGCTTTATGTTCATTTCTTGTTTGCCATGTGCTTGTCATGTTCAATGTTTGTGTATGTTGTACAAACATTACATTATGGTTGTAGATAAAGTGATTATTGTCAAGATCATTAAATGCATTTTACTTTACTGATTCCTGAAATTATCAAACTTGTCGACTTCTGCAGTATTGAAGAGGTCGCCTTTAGTTTCAATGGAGGAAAAGACTCTACTGTAAGTTACTACAACTGTTCCCTTCCAAAGTCTCCGTTTTGGATATATATATATATTTTTTTCCTAAGTAATAATAATGACTCTCGTCATGAATTTAGGTACTGTTGCACCTTCTTAGGGCTGGCTATTTTTTGCATAAGAAAGAGCAGACTTGTTCTAATGGAGGTCTATCAAGTTTTCCAGTCCGGACCATATATTTTGAGAGCCCTTCTGCCTTCACTGAAATCAATGCATTTACATATGATGCAGCTCAAACGTAAGAAAAGTTCTGTTCCTCTGCATTAAATATCTTTTAACTGAAGATGACAGCCCTTTTGAGTAAGATTGTTAAACCGTGTGTACTCTCAGAATGATATTTTCTGCTGGTTAGCTGATCATCTTGTTCTATATGGGCAGTTACAATCTGCAACTTGATATCATTCGCCAGGATTTCAAATCCGGGTTGGAGGCATTATTAAAGGCTAACCCTATCAGAGCTATTTTTCTTGGCGTCCGAATTGGTGATCCTACTGCGGTTAGCTTCACTTCAAATCTTTAATATCAAGATTCAGATGCAATTATTTTGTAAAACTAGTGAAAAAACTGTGATTGATTGATTACTTCTCAATGAATTTTTTCAGGTTGGTCAAGAGCAATTCTCTCCTAGTTCACCTGGATGGCCGCCCTTTATGAGGGTGAATCCTATATTGGATTGGTCGTACAGGTATCTTTCTCCGTAATCACATCTTCTTATTGCTTTATCTGTTAAATCTTCCTATTACTTATGTTTTAGTATGCGTGCAGAAAATATTGAGCACAATTGTGCTGACATATATTTTGTATAATGATAAAGTATATTAAACTATCGACTGGTGGTCACTGTAATTAGTACAGCCATAATATGATAGAGTAACCCAAATAAAGTGTTTGGAAATTTGAAAACTAAAACAATTTTACAGCGCTGGGATCTCTGATTCTCATTTGATTGTTATTCTGATTTTTTTCTTTTTCTAATGCAGAGATGTTTGGGCATTTCTCCTAACTTGCAAGGTCAAGTATTGCAGTCTTTATGACCAGGGGTAAAAGTCCTCTCCACAGTTTCACTTTAACAAGTTTTTCATTCTTGACCAGTCCGTCTTATATTGTGTTTCTTTTCTGAATATACAGATATACATCAATTGGGAGCATTCATGATACTGTTCCCAATTCATTATTGTCTGTTAACGACAATAGTAGTAAAGAGAAATTCAAACCTGCTTATTTGCTTTCTGATGGGAGATTAGAAAGGGCAGGGAGAGTCAAGAAAATTGCTTCACTCAAATATGACGTAGAAACCGAATCACAGAAACACGAGGTGCTTTTGGCCTCAGTAATTGCTGTCGGCGATGAGATTCTGTAAGTCATTAATTCTTACTATCAGACTCTGTACTTGAACGTATTTATGTTAAAAGAACATTATGCTAGATATATATCAAGCAATGACATTAGACTTAGGCCAACCACACGTTGAAACGGGTCCTGCTTGGTTACCTATCTACTAGGTGCAATGAAGTTCTTCCGACCCATTTATCTGTTCCATAGCTCAGGTCTGGCACTGTTGAGGATCAATTAGGACTGTCTTTGTGTAAGAAGTTGACTTCTGTCGGTTGGTCGGTGCAACAAACCACTGTCCTTCGGAATGATGTGAGTGAGATTTACTCATTGTCTTTGTTGCATCAGTTTCACCTATGGATTCATGTTAATGAGAGAATTTAAATTTATCTTCAATCGGCTTATTAATCTCTATTATTGCTTCACTGTGTTTCTTTTATTAGATAGATTCTGTTTCCGAGGAAGTTGACCGCCAAAGGTCTACGAGTGATATGGTAAGTACTCTAAACATATGATCATAAAATCAAAATCAAAGAGAAGTTTTGCTGTGGAAGATGTGCTTGACAGATTTCTTCCGATTGATGCTTTGTAAGGTATTTATATATGGAGGAGTTGGTCCTTTGCATTCAGATGTTACTTTGGCTGGTGTTGCTAAGGCATTTGGAGTTCGCCTGGTACGTATCTCTTTTATATTAGCGCAAGCTCATGAGTAAGATATTTGTCTTAACATCTCAATGAATGTGGGTTCAAACAAGTGAAAAAGCAATCACCACTCAATTGTAATGTGAGAAGCTGATACTGCCGTTTATTCAGGCACCTGATGAAGAATTTGAGGAATACCTTAGGCATCTTATCAGCGAGCAGTGCACAGGTGACAGGAATGAGGTGAGTGCGGTCTTGAGAATAATTGTTTTTATAGATCTATATATCTTCAGACAAGATAAGGTAAAACTATGTAGCATCAGAATAATTTCTCTATATATGTGGGGTAAACGACGTGCTTATGATTAACGTAATATCCAGAAACAAATAATATTTATTGGTTCCTCACCCAGTTGATTGCTTTTCTCATTTCAGATGGCTCAGTTACCAGAAGGAATTACAGAACTACTGCATCATGAAAAGCTTTCGGTGCCATTGGTATGTGCTCTCAGAACTCCATTTAAAGTAATAATGTTTCAGCATTATTTTCATACCCATCTGATCGTTGGTCATTTTGTGTAGATCAAGTGCCGCAATGTGATTGTTCTTGCTGCTACAAACACTGAGGAGCTCGAGAAAGAGTGGGAATGTCTGACGGAACTTACTAAATTGGGTGGAGGTTCACTCATAGAATATTCGTCAAGACGCTTAATGACATCTTTAACAGATGTATGTTTTACTTTCCATCTTACCTTTTCTTTTGCCATGGCTTGCTTTGAGCTGATTAAACAAACATTTGCCACTTTTCATGCAAACACCATTGTTTGAACCAAGACTCATAATGCTTGACAGATGGGTGACTTGCTTTGAGCTGATTAAACATTCACTATCATTATGCAGGTTGAAGTTGCAGAACCTCTCTCCAAACTTGGTCTCGAATTCCCTGACATATATCTTGGTAAAAAATCTTTGACCTGTCTAATATTATTTAACTGTACGAGCATCCAAACGTATGTCTCGCAATCTTCTTCTCAGGGTGTTACCGGAAATCTAGACAAGGTCCTATCATCATCTGCTTAACGGGAAAGGTACAAACATACAAGATCAGGTTTCATTTCTTTCCTCATTTTCCGAGGCTGACAAGATTTTGTTAATTTGTTTTACAGGATAATGCACGGATTGACTCAGCTGCACAGGCACTATGCAAGAAATTCAAGAAAGATGTGTTCGTAGAAATCAAGTAGACACAAGTTTAAGAACCGGTTGAGCAAGAGACGCAGCTTCAACGGTCCACTAGTGAGAGTGGCTTCTATGTACCGGTCAAAGAACTGGAGAGGATAGGATCAGAATCTGACACTTTTTAAGGAAACTGGAAGCAGTTATTGTGGCAAAAAAACATATTTATCAAAACCTTTAAAATTGAATGTCTTATCAGTTATCAACTCTAAATAACGAAATTTGTAGGAAAGTAACCCATAAGGGTTCTCTGTTTTTACACATTTTGTCTTGAACGGTTTAAGCATGATACTTATGTTGCATTCTAAGGGACTTGAAACCTTATAAATGTATTCTTTTACCTTAAATTACAATTACCTTAAAGAATGAAAGCAAAACATGGTTTTAGTTAAAATCATTAATTTCTAATAGTTTAAGTGTTGAATTTGTTTTAAATTTTAGTGAAAATCATTATTATTTTTTTAAAATGAGTTTGAGTGTTAATTCTATATTACGTGAAAACATGCTGAACTTCGAACACCAAAGCTTACGGACCAACTAAGGACATGGATGCCTAGCCGCGGTTAGTTTTAGACGTTTTAAAAATTTAACATTTAAACTAATTTTTAAAATGAAATTGTGAAATTAACATGGTTTTTAGTTAAAAGCATTAATTTTTTAAACTTTAAGTGTTGAGTTTTTTAAAAATTTTAGTAAAAAATCATTATTTTTTAAAACAAAATGAGTTTAAGTGTTAAATCCTTATTACGTGAAAACATGTCGAACTTCGAACACCAAAGCTTACGGACCAACTAAAGACAGGATGCCTAGGCGCGGTTAGTTTTCGACGTTTTAAAAATTTAACACTTAAACTAATTTTTAAAAAGCAACAGTGAATTAACATAGTTTTTAGTTAAAAACATTAATTTCTTAAAGTTTGAATTTTTTTAAAATTTTAGTAAAAATCATTATTATTTTTTAAAAATAAGTTTAAGTGTTAAATCTATATTACCTGAAAACATGCCGAACTTCGAACACCAAAGCTTACGGACCAACTAAAGACATAGATGCCTAGGCGCGGTTAGTTTTCGACGTTTTTATAATTTAACACATAAACTAATTTTTAAAATGAAATAGTGAAATTAACATGATTTTTAGTTAAAAGCATTAATTTCTTAAAGTTTAAGTGTTGATTTTGTCTTAAATTTTAGTAAAAAATCATTAAATTTTAGTAAAAAATGAGTTTAAGTGTTAAATCTATATTACGTGAAAACATGCTGAACTTCGAACACCAAAGCTTACGTACCAACTAAGGACAGGATGCTTAAGCGCGGTTAGTTTTCGACGATTTAAAAATTTAACACTTAAACTAATTCCTAAAAAGTAATAGTGAAATTAACATAGTTTTTAGTTTAAAACATTAATTTCTTAAAGTTTAAGTGTTGAATTTTTTTAAATTTTAATAAAAATCATTATTATTTTTTAAAAATGAGTTTAAGTGTTAAATCTATATTACGTGATAACATTCGGAACTTCGAACACTAAAGCTTACGGACCAACTAAGGACAGAGTGCCTAGGCGCGATTAGTTTTCAACGTTTTTTTTTTCTTTTTTTTTTGCCAACCTCACATTAATTAATAAAGAACTCCTTGATTGGTTGTCCAATTAGGAGGATAAGTGTTTACAAAAGAAATTTCAGAAAATAAAAGTCTAGAAGAACGGGCTAAGCAATCCGCTTTAACATTACATAAACGGGGAATAAGAGAGAGCGAGAAGAAGGGGAAAGAGACACGGAGAAAACCAAACTCGTCTAGCAGATTGGAGAAACCAAACTCATTTTAAAAAGTTTTCGACGTTTTTAAAATGTAAAACTTAAACTAATTTTTAAAAAAATAATAGTAAAATTAACATAGTTTTAGTTGAAAACATTGATTTCTTAAAGTTTAAGTGTTTAATTGGTTTTAAATTTTAGTAAAAATCATTATTATTTTTTAACAATGAGTTTAAGTGTTAAATCTATATTACGTGAAAACATGGCGAACTTCGAACACCAAAGCTTACGGACCAACTAAGGACATGATGCCTAGTTGCGGTTAGTTTTCGATGTTTTATAATTTAACATCTAAACTAATTTTTAAAATGAAATAGTGAAATTAACATGGTTTCTAGTTAAAAGCATTAATTTCTTAAAGTTTAAATGTTGAATTTTTTTTTAAATTTTAGTAAAAAATAATGAGTTTAAGTAGTTTTAGTTAAAAACATTGATTTCTTAAAGTTTAAGTGTTTAATTTGTTTTAAATTTTAGTGAATTATTTTTTTAAAATGAGTTTAAGTGCTAAATCTATATTACGTGAAAACATTGGTTTGTTTTAACATAGTTTTAGTTAAAAACAATGATTTCTTAAAGTTTAAGTGTTTATTTTGTTTTAAATTTTAGTGAATTATTTTTTAAAAAATGAGTTTCAATGTTAAATCTATATTACGGGAAAAGATTGATTTGTTTAAACATAGTTTTAGCTAAAAACATTGATTTCTTAATGTTAAAGTGTTTAGTTTGTTTTAAATTTTAGTAAATTATTTTTTAAAAATGAGTTTAAGTGTTAAATCTATATTACGTGAAAAAATTGATTTGTTTTAACATAGTTTTAGTTAAAACATTGATTTCTTAAAGTTTAAGTGTTTAATTTGTTTTAAATTTTAGTGAATTATTTTTTGAAAATGAGTTTAAGTGTTATATCTATATTACGTGAAAAAAATTGATTTGTTTTAACATAGTTTTAGTTAAAGACACTGATTTCTTAAATTTTAAGTGTTTAATTTGTTTTAAATTTTAGTGAATTATTTTTTAAAAATGAGTTTAAGTGTTAAATCTATATTACGTGAAAAGATTGATTTGTTTTAACATAGTTTTAGTTAAAAACATTGATTTCTTAAAGTTTAAGTGTTTAATTTGTTTTAAATTTTAGTGAATTATTTTTTAAAAATGAGTTTAATTGTTAAATCTATATTACGGAAAAAGATTGATTTGTTTTAACATAGTTTTAGTTAAAAACATTGATTTCTTAAAGTTTAAGTGTTTTAAATTTTAGTGAATTATTTTTTTAAAATGAGTTTAAGTGTTAAATCTATATTACGTGAAAACATTGATTTGTTTTAACAGAGTTTTAGTTAAAAACATTGATTTCTTAAAGTTTAAGTGTTTAATTTGTTTTAAATTTTTGTGATTTATTTTTTAAAAATGAGTTTAAGTGTTAAATCTATATTACGTGAAAACATTGATTTGTTTTAACAGAGTTTTAGTTAAAAACATTGATTTCTTAATGTTTCAATGTTTAATTTGTTTTAAATTTTAGTGAATTATTTGTTTAAAATGAGTTTAAGTGTTAAATCTATATTACGTGAAAACATTGATATGTTTTAACATTGTTTTAGTTAAAAACATTGATTTCTTAAATTTTAAGTGTTTAATTTGTTTTAAATTTTAGTGAATTATTTTTAAAAAATGATTTTAAGTGTTAAATCTATATTACGTGAAAACATTGATTTGTTTTAACATAGTTTTAGTTAAAAACATTGATTTCTTAAAGTTTAATTGTTTAATTTGTTTTAAATTTTAGTGAATTATTTTTTTAAAATGAGTTTAAGTGTTAAATCTATATTACGTGAAAACATTGATTTGTTTTAACATAGGTTTAGTTAAAATCATTGATTTCTTAAAGTTTAAGTGTTTAATTTGTTTTAAATTTTAGTGAATTATTTTTTAAAAATGAGTTTAAATGTTAAATCTATATTACATGAAAACATTGATCTGTTTTAACATAGTTTTAGTTAAAAACATTGATTTCTTAAAGTTTAATTGTTTAATTTTTTTTAAATTTTTGTGAATTATTTTTTTAAAAATGAGTTTAAGTGTTAAATCTATATTACGGGAAAACATTTATTTGTTTTAACATAGTTTTAGTTAAAAACATTGATTTCTTAAAGTTTAAGTGTTTAATTTGTTTTAAATTTTAGTGAATTGTTTTTTAAAAATGAGTTTAAGTGTTAAATCTATATTACGTGAAAACATTGATCTGTTTTAACATAGTTTTAGTTAAAAACATTGATTTCTTAAAGTTTAATTGTTTTTGATTTCTTAATGTTTAAGTGTTTAATTTGTTTTAAATTTTTGTGAATTATTTTTTAAAAATGAGTTTAAGTGTTAAATCTATATTACGGAAAAACATTGATTTGTTTTAACATAGTTTTAGTTAAAAACATTGATTTCTTAAAGTTTAAGTGTTTAATTTGTTTTAAATTTTAGTGAATTATTTTTTAAAAATGAGTTTAAGTGTTAAATCTATATTACGTGAAAACATTGATCTGTTTTAACATAGTTTTAGTTAAAAACATTGATTTCTTAAAGTTTAAGTGTTTAATTTGTTTTAAATTTTTGTGAATTATTTTTTAAAAATGAGTTTAAGTGTTAAATCTATATTACGGAAAAACATTGATTTGTTTTAACATAGTTTTAGTTAAAAACATTGATTTCTTAAAGTTTAAGTGTTTAATTTGTTTTAAATTCTAGTGAATTATTTTTTTTAAAAGAGTTTAAGTGTTAAATCTATATTACATGAAAATATTGATTTGTTTTAACATAGTTTTAGTTAAAAATATTGATTTCTTAAAGTTTAAGTGTTTAATTTGTTTTAAATTTTAGTGAATTATTTTTTAAAAATGAGTTTAAGTGTTAAATCTATATTACGTGAAAACATGCCGAACTTCGAACACCAAAGCTTACGGACCAATTAAGGACGGGATGCCTAGGCGAGGTTAGTTTTTGACGCTTTTAAGATTGAACACTTAAACTAATTTTAAAAAAGTAAAAAAATTTATTCAGTTTAGTGTTTTAGTGAAGGTTTTAAACTAATTAGTTTTAGTTTTACTTAAAGTAATTTTTTTAATAAAAATAAAATAAAATAAAAATAAGAATGAAGAAAATAGTACCTTATTGGATTTGATAGCAAAGTAGACATGGCCATTCGAAGCCCACCGTGTACTTGGAAAATCTGAGAAGCTTTTTTTTTTTTTGTTTGTCTTCGATCAAACGTTTCGTCTTCTTCATCCTCATCTCATCAATAAGAATTCTCGTACAGCGTCTTGGTGTTTTCCTTCGTTATCCACTTTTTTGCCTCTTAGTCTCCGGTGAAAGCATCTCGGCGGCGGTGAATTTAGGGCGAACTGAAGTCGAACTTGATTTAGATTGAAGACGACAGAGGATTGATGGAGATTCTTCATTCAATCAATGAAACGATGGTATGGTTTCCGCTTCCGATCAATCTAACTCTTACGGATGTTGCAGAGATCATCATCGGCTTTTACTTGGATCATCATCATCATCGGAACTCACAAAGTCTCTGTATAAAGACATAATTGGCTCTAGAAGAAGAAGAAGAAGAAGAAGAAGCGAGAAATAGAGAGTTTTGATTTCTCTCACAAGGAAAGAATTAGAAGAAGCGAGAGAGAGAGAGAGAGAGAGAGAGAGAGAGAGAGAGAGAGTATGTATTTATAAGCAAAGAGGTTCAAAAGAAAAAGGAAATCACAATTAACGGTCATATAAAGATTTCCTTTTTTCTGTAATTTCCTTTTTCTTTTGATGCCTTTGTTTCCTAATTTTTTCAATGCTTTATTTCTTTTTCTTTTTGTTTCCTTTTTGTTTTGTTTATGTGAGTGAATCTGCTGATGTACGTCGGGACTGGCTGTATCTTCCGCCGAGAGCATCATTACTGGCTTGGAACGAGAAAGGTCGAGACTTATCTCTAAAGGGCTACTGTTGTATTTATTATGGGATTTATAAGAGAAAATGTAAAATATCGAAAAAATTTAAACAACATAACTGGGTTTACACAAGACAATAAAAAGAAGACGCATAGTTACAACAAGATTTTGTTGATTTGTTTTACAGGATAATGCACGGATTGACTCAGCTGCAAAGGCACTATGCAATAAATTCAAGAGAGATGTGTTCGTTCGTAGAAATCAAATAGACACAAGTTTAAGTACTGGTCGAGCATGAAAGGCAGCTTCAATAGTCCACTTGAGAGGCTTCTATGTACCGGTCACATAACCTGAGAGGAAGTAACTGAAGAGGATAGGATCAGAATCTGACACTTTTCAAGGAAACTGGAAGCAGTTATTGTGGCAAAAACATATTTATCAAAACCTTTAATATTGAATGTCTTATCAGTTATCAACTCTAAACAACGAAATTGGTAGGAAAGTAACCCATAAGGGTTCTCTGTTTTTACACATTTTGTCTTCAACGGTTTATAAGCCTGATGCTTATGTTGCGTTCTAAGGGACTTGAACCCTTATTAATGTATTATTTTACCTTAAATTACAATTTTGTACAGAGTCTATCCCTAAGCCTTAAAGAATGAAAGCAAAACATCCTAGATTTGAAATAATTGAAGAGGCTAAAATAAAACTTTGAAATGATTTACTCTGCTCCTTTTCCCCTGTTTAAGCCTGCACCGATTATCTGGAGTGAATTCGACTCGAAAAATCAGTAAAAGCAAGAGATCATCAGCTGTCTACTATGAGAATGTTGTTTGTGATGTGCCCTCTTGTAACCGAATCTTTTTGAGGATCCGTTATCCATTGCCCGTCCACGATGAACTTAATCTCATATGTACCGGGATATAACCACAGTAATGTCGACCAGCATTTCTGTTTCCTGCCAAAACAATTAAACGGATTATGATTGTAAACACCATTCAAGGTATACTTATGTAAGCAACATTACCCAAATGTTCAAAGAGTCCTTCACATGTTCATCATCAGAAGACAAATATATTCGACGAAAGTAGAAAGAGTCAGGACCAATACTAACCCGATTGACTTGGATGCTTGTAGCTCCATTCCCACTCGGTGTTGCCACCCATTGAAGCTACCAGTCACTTCCACAACATTACCATCTCCACAATATTCAATCACAACCTGAAAAAAAAAAAATCACTTTTAACAATCTTGAATTTCAGTGGTAAGAGTGCAATTAGGGCTGTGGCTCTGGGAATCTGGGATTGTATTGATACTTGATAGTATAAACTGGAACCATGACAAAACGATAAACACAAAGCAAAATTAAGCTACCTCTTGCAATCCTGAAAGACTTTCCTCAGCATCTCGCAATTCAACTTCCTTCTCTGAGATAAGCATTTGGGCCTTTTGGATCTCTGTTTCGGCCTGTCTTTGGAGAACTGAAAGAGACAGCTGAACCCAGGAAATTGGAGATTAGGACACAAACAAGTATCAGCCTTTGCAAGAATATGTGAGAGTAGTAGCTTACCTTTTCCTTTTCAATCTGCTCTTTCAGCCTTGACAACTCCAGCTCTTTTTGATGCTAACCATGCAATAAATTATTAAAAAATTTAGTTAGCAAATTTTAATTTATTGGGTCCACATATTGAGAGAAAGCAATCAATGTACCAGCATGAACCTCAGCCGATCAATTTCAACCTGATTTTCCCGTTTCATGGTCTGTATCATTTCAGAACAAGGTTCTATGAGCATGGATACGAAACATAGTTAAAGTTCATTGACTTAAGATCAATTTGCGAGAGTTCAAGAGAAGGATCTTTCAAGACCTCATCATGTGAATCCGTGTCCAGGTCAGCACTCCCATCTCTCTGATCACTATTCCTGTGAATGAAAATTTAAAAGTCAGAGATATTGAAGTGAACCATGAGAAATGCATATCGACTCAAACTCCTACGATACCTACTCCAGGCTTTCAGTCAAGAATGGTTTATGCATTGCTCAAGTTTTAATGATATAAAAGCTTGGCGTGGTTTCCAATAATAGACTAAGAATGCAATGTTCTTTTAATGCAATAAAAATCTGAACAATACCAGTTTCTTGAAAAACCTCAAATGATTTTAAGCGTGTATTTGATTTAATACCCAGGATCATCAAGAGCAACATACAAGACCTTCATGTTTAGACTCACCTGTCAGAGCTATTAAGTTCTTTAGCATGGGTAACCTCCTCCAATGCTAAGGCACTTCCATTTGGTGGCATACTGATACTTCTCTGACCACCATAACTGTCTCCTATGTACGCACCACCTTTGGTTGTTTCTACACCTTCTTTAGTGTCTTCAGGACAGCTTTCATTAGGTATGCCATTTTCATCATCTGAAAACAGATTCCAACTATCAATTAACTTTCATCACGGGGGTAAGGTTTTACTACAGAAACATGCATGAGTAATGAAGATATAGATACGGCATGTCATCATATTAAGATAAGTTTCAGGAGATCGAACATACCATCAACTGTATCCAAGTATCCATTCTGTATAAATCTGGTTGTTTTTTCTTCTATGCTTGAAGTGGAAGAAGAGAGTCCTGACATCCAATCCTTATCCTCAGACTCAACTAAACTATCATCAGCACTACCAGAACGATTTTCAGCCATATCGTCAATCTGCTGATTCTGAAAATTCTCTGCATTTGCCATGGTATTCTCCGAGGTCAAATCATACGAGGATCCAGAAGCAATGTCAACATGTTTGGTGTAACTAAGATCTGGACTGGTGTAATGATTATAGGTAGGACTGGTGTAATGATCAAACGTAAGAGAGAAATCTTTGTCCACACCGTTGAGCTTCTCATCCTCTGTCATCAAAACATTGCCAGCTTCTGCGTCAGTAGGACGGCTTGAAGTATCATCTAAAACTTGAGAATAGTTTGCAGATATTGAAGCTTCCGAGGAAGAGTTTTCAATGTCAGCTCTCTCATTGAGCTCCACGCTCTCAACCTTAAAATTGTTTTCTGTGATTTCTCCTGAATGATTACTGTCACCCAAGTTAGAAAGGGAGTTTTCCAAGCTCAAAACTCCATCGTCAGACGAAGAGGATATAAATTCATCTTTACTCAAACTTGCTTGTTCTTCAGCCTCGTTACTTGAATCTGTGACAACTACTTCTTCAGAGAAACTATCATTTTCCTGATCAAGAGGCAGTCTTCCATCTGTTGCAGTTAAGTATACTTCACGGCTCGAAGGTAGTTCAGTAGACAAGTTTCCGTCAACAACATCCAGTGCTTCTTCGCCCTGACCTTCTACACCAGATAAATATATCAGAAAAGTGGAGAGACTATCTTACACAACCAACAATAACATATAACTTTGTTGTTCTTTTATTGACAAATCTTCCAAACAAACTCCACTTGCACCTGTTTCAGTGTTGGTATTATTCTCAGAGACTAGCTCGTTACAGTCTTCCGTATCAGAGTTTGCAACAAGTTCCTTGATGAATTTATATCCTCTTCGTCTGACGATGTTGGCAAGATCAACTCTACAAAAGTGTTCCCACAACAAAAAACTAAATCAAAATCAAGAGTTTCAGAAGCAATCCCTAAAAATGAAAAGACCTTTAAATAGTGAACATCACTGAAAGTTACTAGACTGATAGAAATTCAACAAAATCTGCAATATTGGAAATTGGAACCTTCCATGTGCGGAGAGTTCCTTCATGGACGGCACGTGACCTTGAGGAAGCCCAGCTGAAGCAACGAACTCCATAATCTCACTCCGAAGCTCCTCATTGCTCTTCACTCTCTTACGAACTCTGCTCAAAACACTCAAATTCAATTCAAGCAGCCCAATTAACCAACACAGTAATTGAAATTGACGCCCAAAGTACTTCTGCTGTCTCCAAGTTTCCACAGATCGGAGCAAAAACAAAAAGCAGCGAGAAATTTCGAACCTGGTTTGTTTGATGGAACAAGCGAAACAGACAAAACTATGCTTCTTCTTCGTGTAATTCAAGTACGAAACAAAAAGTTGAGGTTGATGATGGCGATGATAGTATAACAATGGTTTCCGAAATTCGAGAGAAGGGAAGGAGAGAGAGAAAGGTATCTGAGAAATCGTCGCCATGGCCGGACTTTCTGAAAGTTCCCAGCATTTATTAAGATTCGAATCAACATTTCTAATAATGATAATGGTTATATTTTAACCGGATTACGGTTCAACAAAACCGGACAACATTTCGTAATTTCCAAACGGTTAGATAATTCAAGTCCATAATCGGGATTCGGAATAAAATAACGAACATAGACTAATCCAATTTTGCAATTTCCAAACGGTTAATAAAATTCATTTCTACACCATAGAGCAAAGTGTTGCAAAGATTCTTAAAATCTCTAAACCCGAGTACGATCCTAGATTCGATAAACCACCGGTACATTTACCGCTAAACCGGCTATTCGTCAAAAAAACCAGTTTCAAGACTACTTTACAGTTTTACAGAAATTGTATAAGGGTCTTCATACGTGTTTCAATTCTCCGGCTTCACGCTGGAGTTCATTATCCCTGGGAGCGACGGTGATTTCACTGGACCAGTATCAGCGACGGAAGTAACGTTGTTAGTCTCCGGTGTACGAATGATTTGTAGCTGAGAATGCTGCTGATGTTGTTGCTGTTGCAGATGAGACTGGTACATATCTGCCTGCGGCGCTGGACCTGTGCTGGGGCCTTCGTTAGAGTTTTCTGGCGTGAAATTGTGAGAAACCACCTGGCTGTTGTTGTGACCGTTTGGTTGTTGCGGCGGTTGATCACAAAACTTCATAGTCTTGAGGACAAAATTGTCGTCGTGGAGCTCGAATGGAGTGCTGCAAATAGTGAAAACAGTTGCATTGGTAATCGATCTAATGGGAGGAATTTGGTGAAAAGAGATCGAGTTTGGTGTTTTAACTTTACCTGTTGAAATCAAAATGCACAAGCTGCATATCTTCTGATATTTCCACTTCTACTGTTGCATGAGGACGAGTCTGGTGCAGAGATACAACAACAATCAGACGATAATGTAACAGATAGGATGAAAAGAAGGCTTTTTATTCATTGTTCTGAGGTTTGCTTGTGGATCAATCAAGGATCATAAGAAGCTGTTGGTGAAGTTTACCTGGACAAGAATAAAAGGAAGAGCAACACCACCACTGGGAGCATTTCCTGAGCTATATAAGTGCTCATTTCTCTGTATCAGATTCTGAAGGCCTACATACTTTCAGACATACACAGAGAAGATAGAAGGACGATGTAAGAATCTATGATAAAAGTAACAGGACGATCAAGCAGATAAGCCAAGAGTATCGATAATGTTCATTACTTGTTCTTCCAGTTCTTGGGAATATGCAGTTTTCTTCTCAATTCTGTTCCTAAGTGAAAGCCGTTCGTTCTGCAAAACAAAATAACTCAAATTCAGGAACATTTTCTAAACGAGCTTTGGAACATGGGCAAACAGAACATTTGGTTGAAAACCTTTAATTCTTCAATGTCGCTTAAGCTTGTCCGAGGAAGACCTCTCCATTGAATCTCTTTTTTATCCTTAGATATTATATCCATAGCCATGAGGACGTTTAAAGCATCATACACTCTTCTTCTTATGTTCTTCTCATCATACTGTTGCTGGTACGTTTTCAGGTGATATAATTGCATCAGAGTTTACAACAATTATAGCACATGTTCCAGGTAATAAACTATCGGAGAAACGCATACCTGATCAGGGGATGTTCCATCGTTATTTGGAAGTGCAAATTCAGCAACAAGCTCGTCTGCAACCTGAAAGTACTTTAACTTGTCAAATACCGTATTACAGAGCTACACGTTTGCAATACTAATCATGAGACAAATTGATATTCCCCTATGTGTCTTGACAAGTGTTAAATCACACTGGTAAGCACAATAAATCAGTTTCATGAGATAACATAAACAGAAGTGAATGGGGATCTTGAAAGGCAGACATCTTGTGAAGATTTTTGTTTAAAGGAAACTACCGTACCTCATTGTAAGTTGTCCTTCCTTTGCTTTCCACCTTTTCACAAACTGAGAAGAAGGCCGGAACAACACAATATCAGTTAAATGTATAACCAAAATTAGGAGACATTATCCACAATTCATAGCTAGAAACTTCAAAGACATTTAGATGAAAGCAGAAAAGAGGCAGAGAGAGAGAGATAAGATATAACAACCTTTCATGCTAAATTGTCGTAGCCCTCTTCCACTCTTATCTGGACCAGCCGCACGCTGTCCCCTCTTCTTCTTCTTAATGCTGTTAATAGATTAACAATCAACTAAACTATACAGAACACATGTAACAACTTCCACAGAAAATTACCGCACAAAGACAGTGGCCTAAACAGTATTCTTTGTCCCAACAAGAATAGTGGGAAAGAAGCAGATTCTTCGTAGATTTTAGACTAATACATATCAGGAGAGCCAAATTCAAGCTGGTAAAAGTATGATCCACACATCATACTTACATCTACTGGGTCAGTTTCATTTATTAATTATGAAAATCCTATGCCAAACAAACATTCACAATGTTAACCTCATAAAAGCAGCCATTGCAATAGAACGAAACCCTAAAAATCACTAAACACAACATCACAATAAACAAATCAAAACCTTAACCAAAAATCACAGAATTGAGGTGGTTTACATACCCAGAAGCTCCTTGAGAACCAGCATCATCACCTTGAATATCCAAATTGTTCATGCGTAGAAAAGTACTATCGCTAGCAGATGTAGCAACGGTGATGGTTTGCTCACTCCGGCTAGACGGAGAGCCCATACTGCCGCTAGTAGACACAGATTGACCTGAAACCGCCGTGCCCCAAGACCTAGTACTAGGGTTATTGTTATTATTATTGCTTCTACCGGAACCATCGTCATGGTGGTTGTGATTAGAATTAGACCCAGTTGTCATTCTTCTTCCACCTAAACTAACTACCCGCACAAACCGCTACTGGAGAATTCAATAGAAAAATGATAGAGATTTGTTAAAAAAATTGTGAAGAAAAATTTCTGATTTTGACGAAAACCCAGATTGAGTACTGACCTTGAAAATCGAGTTCGGTTTTTTTGGATATTAACGAGAATTAGAAGGTTTATTAATGGCGGATCACCATTAGATTTATTAGTGTGATACTTCTCTGGAACGGTGGTTTTCGCGTCAGAGAGTTTAGAGATTCGCCGGAGAAGGAGGAGGATAAGTCGATCGGAGTTTTTGTGCGATGATGAAAAAGATGTCCACGATGAGAGAGAGGGACCAAACTGACTCAAGAGGTAAAAAGCAGTAAAGAGGATAATTTTCTTTACTTTTTTTATTATTTTTCCAAAAGATTAACTCTCTTTTGTGAATTTTATTAGGTCTTTTGTTAATCAGAATAAAATACTGGAATTATCTTCTTCTTTTTTTTTTTTGGCAAAATACCAAAATTATCTTCGCCTTCTTTTTTGGCTAAATACTGGAATTATCTACCAAAATATGTTTATATGGCATTAATAAGCATGAAACAAATATAAACATTAAAATTTGAACAACATTCAGTACATAATGTAGATAATGATGAAGTCAAAAAGTTAAAATAATGTGTTGATACCAATAGTCAATCACATTCGATATGATTTTTTATATGAAATTACTCAGTTTAGTGTTGATAGAATTGAGCTTTTAGGAAATACATGTTCATCTCTTTCATATAGAAAAGACATTACCTTAGAATTGGAGCAAAGATCTAAAATCCGAAGATAATGTGACAAGGTAGCTTAAGGTTCACGAAAGGCACATAACAACATGCTGATTTTTCTTTTTCTTTTAACCTTCCTCGGTTTAAAAGAAAAATCACATGCGATTATAAAGCATGTGGCTGAAACATATGCTAAAAAAAAAAATTGGTTATACTAAAATTATGTAGCAAAAAGTATAATTTGTAAGACGAATAAAAAAAATGAGTATTCAAAAGATCCATCAATAAAATTCTTAATGAAACCTTTAATTTGAAGACAAAATAAAAATCCAAAACTACATTGCTTTTAGAAAAGGACAATTGAACAATTTGTTCAAGCCTTAGATACTACTCCAAGTCATTAAGTTTGACTTGAAATTGCTCACCCGAAGACAAAACCTTGACACTGACCGAACCATCTTCCCACTCTGTCTTCCCAACAAGAACCAGCCTTCTTGCGTTTACCCGAGCCGCTCTCTTGAACACCCATTTCAGCGGTTTACTCTCCAATACTAAATCAACGGTTTGGCCTTTGTCTCTGAGAGTGGTTGCAACCGTGGCTGCAGCTCCTTGGAGATCTTTGTCCAAAGCGCACACAATGTTCTCTACTTCTTGTCCCAATTCTGGCAACAAATCCTTCTCCTTGAGCAACTAAGTGAAAAGAGGGAAATAGGAACCAGATATTCAGAGACAGACAACTTTTCACTGCGGGTAATAGAAGCTTAACAGGAGGAACCAGCGAGTTTTAACTTACTTCAACAATTACAGCATCGCCGAAACCAAACCCACAAGCAGGAATGTCATCACCACCATACGTGGAGAGTAATCTGTCGTATCTCCCACCACCACATATAGCTCGCAGCTTCCCTTTTCGATCAAATCCCTGTCACAATATTTATATCAATTGCTATCACAAAACTGCAGACCAGTATCCATGTATGGAGAAGATTATATCATAAAAACTAACCTCGAAGACGATACCAGTGTAATAAGCAAGACCACGCACAACAGATGCATCAAACTGTATCCACTCTGAATAACCAAACTTTTCAGCAAGCGAGAAGAGTTGTTTCAAATCTGCAATGGCTTCTCCTGCTCCACCAAGTATATCTGCATATACAAATTACAGGTTCTTATTAGCAGCAATTTTCGGAGAAAGGGACTCTCTAGAATAATGAAAGGACAGACCTTCCAAATCATCCAAGGACTTCACAGAAAGCACTTGCAATAACTGTTCAATAGCATCTTCTGATACGCCAGTGAACCCAAGTTCCTTTTTTATTTCATCAATTGGAATCTTTTCTATCTATTTAGCATGCAGCATATAAAAGTAGGGTGGCAAAGTCAGTAACAGCAGACACATTTTCGTAAGATACCATTTCAAAGCAGCAGTTTATTGATGTTTAGACTGCTAACCTTGTCTATAATGATACAAACTCTTCCAAACAGGTCTTCGGGTACACCATACTTTTTTAGCAATTCTTGTAAAACCTGTACAAGGAAAAAGTTATGGGAGATGATAGCTACAGTAGATATTCAGATGCTGAAGATCGTGCAAAATAATCTCAAATCATGTTTATCATTGCAAATAAATTCCTTGGTTCTGTATCTTGAGTGTAAACCAAGAAACAAGATGATCATATAATCCACATCAAAAGAGAAAATAAGCAAAAATACCTTGCGGCTTGAAACCTTAAAACCCACATCTGATGCAGTGATTCCAATTCGCTTGAAGAAGGTGACTATAGATGAAATTAGTTCTGCTTCAGCCTAAAAGAAAAAGTTTGAGAACCAAATTAGTGACTTAAGGAGACTTAAAACAAACACAGGTAAGGTTTATGTAGCAAGAAACTTGAAGGCCTTTAAGTGATTGAAGGTGTGAGAGGTGCATACTGTTACTTCAGGCACACCAATAATATCCATATTCCACTGGTAATGCTCACGTCGCCTTCCTCTAGTCATTCTCTCATAGCGCCAACACTGCCCAACAGCAAACCACTTCAATGGAAGGGAAACGGATTTTCTGGACCAAAAAGAATATGGGAATCAACATTCTCACATCCATACCTGGATACAAAAGTTTTACAAACAAAATAAATAAAACCGCCCTTTGAAGATGAAGGACAATTCTCAAGGCTTGAGAGAAAATTCTGCATTAGTTACCCTTTCTGTATGACAAGCCTGGCTAAAGAAGGTGTAAGCTCAGGCCTCAATGCTACACGACGATTACCCCTATCTTCAAAGCAGTAAAGCTACACAACAAGGTTGCAAGAGTTTAAGCTAAGGATCTAAATTGTTTCAACAACACTACTTAAACTGCAAGTAAAGATCCCATGGATTAAGCAAGTGAAAACGAAAGAATGGGAAATGTAGAAAGACAAACTTGGTCTCTAATCTCCTCCCCTGCTTTTCTGATGAACAATGCCTCAGTCTCCAGTACTGGAAAATCCACCTCCTCATACCCAAATAACCGTGAGACCTTCAAAGCAAAGTAAACAGATAAAAGTGTCAAACTTTGGAACACAGTATTCAAAATTGCATCGAACCAAAAGCAGAAACCCATAAATAAAAACGATGAATTGTTTGGGGAAAATTGCAGAAACAAAACAACAACTAGCAAATTCATAGAGTGATTCTCTGACCTCTTTGAAGTGGTTGAAGAGCCAATTGCGGAGTCGCATATCCTCAGGAGGGAAATCACGAGTTCCTTTAGGAGGATTGACATCGATCTTCTGAAAGTCTTCATTCACCACCAATGGAGCAACAATCGAACCTGACCTGCCTGCTCCATTGGCCTTGGTCGCGGCACAGATAAAGCGCCTAGGGATAGAGAACTGGCGAAGAGGCGAACAAGAAACGAAGTCAAGAAGAATAGGCCTAATAAAGCTCGAGCTCAATCGCGTCGTCACGATGTGAATTGCTCGCATCTCTCTTATCTTTTTTATTGTTGTTTGCTTCTTCAGGGGGTTGAGTTAGAGATACAATAAGCAAAAGAAAGAGATAAACAAGAGGAACGCCTCAATAATTATCGACTCGACTCAATTTTGCAGTGGAGAAGAAGGAAACATGAAGTAGAGATTTTTGTGAAAAACGAAACCTACGAAACTACGAAAGTAACGAAACCCTCTATACTCGTCAGAGGGTTTTGACTTTTTGCTTCTTAGTCGTGGTTTGGGATATGTTATATTCCAGTGAAAAACTCCAAGGAGCTTCTTTGAATATCATAAGTTAAAACATAAAACCATACACATAAACTCCAAACTAATAAGATCGATAGTCTAAAAAGAACGCATATGCATATTACAAGAAGATTCAGCCGGAAATGGAATATAAACGCCTAGAGTATATGAAGATGACGATAGAAATGAAGAATGACTCAGAGTACTGGTACAAGAAGGGAGGGATGAAGCGGTAGTCGGCAGAGGTCAGGATAAAAAAGATTCTGAGTTGGAGAGAGCACCGATGACAGACGAGGAGATGGAAATCTAAGCTAAAGAGAAAGATGTTCAGGGTGAGGCAATTGATGGTAAGGTGTGGGGTATCCAAGACAAGATTTCATACTGGGAGGAGCCGGTTCACCGCACAAGCTACCCAAACTATGGCTTAAAAGCATCCAAAGAGAAGCATGGAACATATTTAAGAAAATATTTTAGGTCTTTTATGTAAAAACACAAAATATTAAGGTTTTATTATTAATTCATTTTTTGTTGGTTTTTTCTTTTACTATATTTCATGGGCTTTAAGTTTCTAAGTTAATAAAATATTAGTTAAGTCGTTGATAATAAAAAGTTTTAGTAAAACTTTGTTTAGAAAAAAAAACTAAACTAAACCAAAAAAAAATTCTTTTTATTTTTGTATGAATTTAAAATTGTCTTCACCAAAAAAAGAATTTTGTACAAAATTTTCTCTTTGATTGATTTCATTGTTAATTTATATTATGTTTGCTTGTTAAGATATGTGACTTTAATTATGAAATGAAAGACTTTGCTTTGAAGAATAGAATTGAAAGAAATAAAATTATTTTTACTATTTTTTTTCTTTTCTTACAAACTGTTTATGGATTTAAAAGGTGTTTTATCTAGTTTTAGTATGACTTTTTTTATATTACTATATGAAAGTATAAAGAGCACGGTTTTTTATTTGTTTAGGGCATTCGAAAATACCGGACCGGTTCTGAGAAGAGCGGCACGTTCACTTTGTCATGGAGTCCAAGTACTGGGAGCTGATGTATGGATACTTGGGGGTTTATCTGACTAAGTGTTTTAATTATGGAGTTTATGTGTTCTTCTAGCTCTATATGATAATAAATGTCTTAATTATGGAGTTTTGTACCTCTAGTTTTAAACTCATATAACCTAAAAATATAATCCATGTAATCTATTTTGATATGCACTTTATACCCTTAAATATATTTACATAAATATTCATTGAATAAAAATCTATTATGTTTGTTGTTGTTCATTATGAATACTATTTTCTACTAAAACATTATTGTACTAAATTTGAAGAGTGACATCTATTATTTTTGGGGGAACTAAAATAAAAAAAAATGAATGCCATCTATTACTTCTTGGGAACTAACAAAGAAATGAGTGACATCCAATAATTTTGGGAACTTACATAAGAAATACTAAATGACATTTTAACAGCAAAAAAAAAACAACTAAATATTTGTTCACTTAAAGTTGAAAATATGTTTTTATAATGTTCTCAGACATTTTTTATGTTTAGCTATACAAATGAGATTAATTAGCGAGAGAATATGTCAGGATCCTTGTCGAGATTGTCATAAGTTAAACATACAAACAAATCCCGAATTAATATAAAATAGTCGGAAAAGGTATAAAACAACACATAAGTTACAACAGTTTATGAGCAAATAAGCTATATTCACTGGAGAGGGGCAAGCCACGAGAAAGGGGCCTCATGGATAACGTCGTGGAGAGTGTTGGAGGAGAGGTCGTAGTAACCAAACCCAGTGCCCGAGCTTGCATAGTAGACAGAATTAGGGTGAAGTCCGGGATATTCGGTTGCAGAGAAGCAAAAGGCCTCCCTTTGGCCTAGGAAAATGCAGAGATCGCCAATGTCTTCAGTGTATGAACCGAACCCTTGCTCAAGGTCTTGTCTAAACACCACAAAGGTTCTGGTCTTACTCCTGCAAGAGATCCTTATAGGAGGGGGGTTCTTGCCGTTCCACGGCTCCACTTCTCCTTCCTTCAAATATAAGGATCTCTCATTACACCTTTTAGGCAAGATTGAAACACATTAGGATATCTCATCATAATCTTTGGTTAAAAGGTAAACTGCAACAGGTGTAAATTACACGTGTAATACAACAATGCACACATTAAAGTGATCACAAGTCCGAAGAGCAAGCACAAGCACATATCCTTCTCTCTATTTCACACTATTCCATGCCTTATAACCCACACACCTCCTTCTCTTACATTTTATCCCTTCTTACACTAGGTTTCTACAAAGGCAAGAGAAATGATGAATTTACCAGTAAACGATGAAGGAGTCGCCAGAAGGTGACTCGACCAGGTATTGAGTCTTGATAGTAGAGGCAAGCTGTTCTTGTCTACTCACGGGGATGTCAGAGTTAGGGAATCTCTGGTACAGAGTCACCTGAGGGAAGTCGTCGGAGCTAGTGTTGATGAGATCAATGGGACCCTCATACTCTTCCTTACTCTCCCTTGGGAGGAGATAGAACTTGCGGTCTCTCGCAGAATACATTATCACCTTGGAGGCAGGAAACGGGACCTTGATGCGTGTCCAAGCCGAGTCACCAGGCCGCCACAGGCTGAGGAATGGACTACTAGAGGACTTGGCTGCCAATATACAATCTTTCTGGTCTGGGGAGGCTGAGAGAGAGATACTGGAGATACGAGCTTTAGCATCATCCTCCAATGGAGGCAGAGTGATAACATTATGTGACGAAACAGAGGCACAAGGGTTGAACATATTAGTGAGATGCAATGTGGAGTCGAATATGTTTCTCGCAACAACCCATCCCCTCGAAGATCCCATCTTCATCGTACATTGGAGCTCCTTGGACAGATATTGGTCGGGGACTTTCACTGTTTCCTTCTTCCTCGGATCATACAGGTTAATGTCGACCACTGCTCCACCAAATGGTGTCCTCGCCATCCTGTAGTTGGTCTCACAGAAAAGCAGATACGGCGTCGCCGCCGTGGAGAAAGACCGCAATTCACTGAAACAGAGTCTCTGCTTCTTCACAAGTGAGGAGATCTTAGCGATTCGACCCAAAAGCTGAGACATTGTTAAAATTGAAAACCCTAGACGGCTAACCAAAACCCTAGAATCCAACCCTTGTTTGCTTCATATACTTCCTTACTTTCTCAAAACTTCCATTTTTTTCCTATTACCCTAAATTTCCATTTTTGCATTCTCGCTTTATTAATGGCACAAAACGGTTCCTCTGTTTCTTCAGTTAATTGCTAGTCAGACTTAGGGAGTTTGATTCGATTTCCGTTAAACGTAATCAATTAAAGAAATCATAACCAAATAAATCAAACCAAGACGAATTCGGTTTCCATTTCGGTTATATACCGGAACATCTCTTTCTACTGGCAAAGTCAAACCCTTAAAAGTCAAATCCAATGGGCCGAGGATTGCATCAGTCCCGGATAAAAAATAAAAAAAACCGAAGAACCGTCATTATTTGGCTGCAATAATAAATGAAAACGTCGTCGTTTATCCTCGTCGTTAATGGGCCCATTTAATGATGAGGGTCCAATTCGACGGCATAAATAAATTAACCCGCGTAGTAATGCTGACCCTCGTGGTTTACATATACATGTGATATATAACAAAGTTATATCATCACCATCAAACACATCATTAATCATACACACACAGGTCTATATATTCCTCATCTTCCCCTTTTTCCTTATTCTCCAAACCAGACCAAAAATATATATTCTCTCGGTTTTTTCCAGAGCGTATATTCAAATTCCTCCATATAAAGTATTAATCTGATTCTGTCTACTACTTCCATGGGTGAGGTTAGTTACTTCATCTTCTTCTTCTTCGATCTCTCTGTCCGATCTCTCTAACGAACGCGTGATTGAATTCAATTTCTCTTTACGATTTTGCAGAAAAAGGAAGAAACGGCGACGAAACCTCAAGGAGAGAAGAAACCTATCGATGGTGGTATCACCACCGTCGTTATGAAGCTTGAAATGCATTGTGAAGGCTGCGGCAAGAAAATCAAACGAATCTTCAAACATTTCAAAGGTATATAAATCAATTTGATTTCTCTCTGGATTTTGATTACTTTCGAATTTGAAACCCTAACCCGAATTTTATGATCTTTTAATTGTAATTTAGGTGTGGAAGATGTGAAGATTGATTACAAGAGTAACAAATTGACGGTGATCGGAAACGTAGATCCAGTGGAAGTTCGTGATAAAGTGGCCGAGAAAATTAAGAGACCAGTCGAACTCGTCTCTACAGTTGCGCCACCGAAGAAAGAGACACCTCCTTCAGGCGGTGAGAAGAAGCCTCCTGCGGCGGAGGAGAAACCTGCTGAGAAGAAACCAGCCGCCGATGAGAAATCCGGTGAGAAGAAAGAAGAGAAGAAGAGAGAGGAAGGAGAGAAGAAAGCTTCACCTCCACCACCACCTAAAGAGGTAATTAATTTATTAATTGTCTCTATCTGTTATTTATCTCTTCTAATTAAATATTTTATAAATAAAACTAGAAAAAATACAATTTTTAAATTCAGATAGCGAAACTATATAATAAAAATATATTTATGTTTGTGGTCTATAACGTGTGTGTGTCCACTTCGAAACTTTACGGTATTTACACTCGTTCAATTCCAAATATATTTGGAGGACTTTTTCTTTTTTCAAATAAAAATGATTCCACTAATTATAGTTAATATTTTAACTAAATTAATAGTCGTTGTTTCTAATGTAAATTTCTTTGATGTGATACAGAGTACTGTGGTTTTGAAGACGAAGTTACATTGTGAAGGTTGCGAACACAAAATCAAAAGAATAGTCAACAAAATTAAAGGTATGTTTATGATCATTAATCCTATTTGAAACGTTATATAGTACTTAAGTTTTAATAAACAAATTGATACGGTTGGTGATTGAGGAAGATAACGGAAGCAAAAGAAAATTTTATTATTCCTTAAATTAGGTTGGACTCAACTACCTATAGGTAGCTTATTTATTATTGTAGTACTAAAAAATCATATGTTTAGCTAAGAAGTGGTTAGCCTAATTTTTGAGCTTAATTATTCTATTAATTACATGTTAATTAATTAATTTATGAATTTTTATTTACAGGGGTTAATTCAGTTGCTATTGATAGTGCCAAGGATTTGGTTATAGTTAAGGGGATCATTGACGTGAAACAGCTCACTCCTTATCTCAATGAGAAGCTTAAACGCACGGTTGAAGTTGTTCCGGCTAAAAAAGACGACGGAGCACCCGCGGCAGCGGCTGCAGCTCCAGCTCCAGCTGGCGGTGAGAAGAAGGACAAAGGTGCTGGTGAAAAGAAAGAGAACAAAGATGTTGGAGAAAAGAAAGTCGACGGTGGTGGTGAGAAGAAGAAAGAAGTTGCCGTTGGCGGTGGAGGAGGAGACGGTGGTGCTATGGATGTGAAGAAATCGGAGTATAACGGTTACGGTTATCCTCCACAGCCGATGTATTACTACCCACAAGGACAAGTATACGGTCAACAACATTACATGATGCAAGGTCAATCATCTCAATCGTATGTACAAGAACCGTATACAAACCAAGGATACGTACAAGAATCGTATATGAACCAAGGTTACGGTCAAGGGTATGGACATGAAGCACCACCGCCACCATATATGAACCACCAAGGTTACGCAGATCCTTATGGTCACATGCGTGCGCCTGAGTTGTTTAGTGATGAGAATCCAAATGGGTGTTCTGTGATGTGAGTAAAACAAGTGGGGGAGAAAATGTAAATAACTAAAAATATAGGGTGAGAATGGTAGATATGACAAATTTTATACTACGAAAGCACGGAAACTTCCGAGTCCGGTAATCTAAACCGGCTGGATTGGCCGGTTAGAACCGGTTTTTGAGAGGCGTGGATTGGTTGGTTGGTTGGTATATTTCGATATAGGTATAATTTTGTATTGTAAACATCTTCTGTTTTATAACTTTTTGTGCTATGTAATTTCAGGTGATCATAATGAAAAAACATATTAGTTCTGATTAATTTATTTCTTGTTTCAAGAAAATCATCTTTGGTGTGTAATAAAAATGAACAGTCTAAAAAAAAAGAGAACAGTGGAAAAAAAAAGTTTCAAAAAATCATTATAATTAACTAGGAGCAACATTATTGGTAGGTTCTTAGTTTTGGCTCTTAGCATTAGTTTAGTATTCTCTCCGTTTTCGAATAGTTGTCGTTTTAACTATATGCACACAAATTAAGAAACTATTAATGTTGTTAGTTTTTCAATATAAAAATATCATTAATTATCTACCTAAACATAATTTAACCAATAGTAAATCAAGTTGCATAATAAAAATAAATATACAAAATTAAAAAGTAACAAATTTTGCATCTAAAACTGAAAACGACAACTAATTAAAAACAAAAAAATTTCTCTAAAACGACAACTATTCGAAAACGGAGGGAGTATTAAATTTGTAAATTTTTTTTTTCGCCACGTCAACGCCTCTTAACCCACCAAATGACTTTTAGCTAAGAGACATTTTTTAACAATCTTAAGATTTTTGCTTTATTTTTATTTGTTTTAATCTAAGATTTTTCTTAAGATCTTTTTAAAAGACTACCATTAATGATGGTCTACGGGATTATAAGTTTATAACTAATCCTACGCTTTAAAGACTCCTCGTAAAGCACTTTTAATATATGTGTATAAATAAATAACTTGAATCTTATCAACTCGTTTTTGGTTCTAAAATGTTAGATGTGTAAGGAATCATAAGGATGAAATTAATACATCCAATATCAGTACGTAACACAACCGACTAACATTATAACTCATATAGGACCGCAATAAAAATGAAACCCCACAACGGCAGAAGAATAATCCAATTCATACTGGTCATTGGTTCGAATTGGTGTAAGTTATGTTTATAACGCAACATTTAATATTTTGCATAAAATGACGTAACCATATATAGTATAATTTATTAATCAACCGACATTAGATCAAAAGTTAGGAAACAATTATTTATATACCCTCTCTGTTTTCAAGCCGTTGAAAATGTTCGGAAATGGAGTAATGTGAAAATGTATATGTTTCATTGTTGATCAAAAGTCTTAAGCAATTGAGCAAATGTTGTTTATTTATTTGGATTGTTTTTTTTTTTTGTGCTGCCTCTTTTATTTTAAACCGCTTGATTATGCCGTTAGTGTGCCTAGATATTTTTCCCAATATGAGTTTAACAAAAGTTAGAAACAAGTAAACAACGTCTTCTCGATCCATGCCAAAAGAAAATTTTATGACACAGCAATTGGTTTTTGTCATTCTTTAAAACGAATATATGGTTAGTCTTTCATATTTTAATAGCTATAAATAAGAAAAAGCCGAACATTTAGAATTTGTCTTTAGTTTATCTCTTGCATGTAAAATCATCTTTAAAAGTTTCCAAAAGTTTCTACTTCTGAGGGTCATAATAGCTTTTGGTTTTCCATAAAGGGTAACACTATAATGGTTAACACATCATAAAACACATACAACTTGCATAAAAAAGTTAATACTATAAGAAGACTAATGTGTGTATGTATATATGTGGGTTTGTATATGTATATGATTGTATTATTTGGAAACAATATTTGACTCATTGGTTTAATAAGGCCAAAAAGAAGAGTCGATGGAGACGTTATTTATGGATGTTAGGTATAAATGAAGTGATGTAGTTGAAATTTAATGATTTTTATTGATCAAATGGTTGGATGTATTAAGTTAGCTTTATTGTATCAGAACTAAAAAATTGTGCTAGAGTTAAAACTGTCTTCATCGGACATGATCATCAAAACTTGTGAGTGGTCAGAATTGCCAAGGGACAATTAACTATTAGCATTCTCCAATAGATACATGTACATATGGAGAGATCGATTTTAATAACTAATTCTTTCGATCATTCTCAATTGGTTTAACCAGTTGTGTATATTTTTACTGGAAAGCAAATCCATACGTGTTCCTAGGTAGGTGTAACTTATATATCTGGATTATGATAAATAACACATTAATTTCTTATGTTTATAATACACAATACTAGTGATAGAATCGCTAGTAACTGATAAAGAATTTTTTTTTTTTAACAAGTGAAATTAGTTTTTCCATATCAAAATTTATGATATTTGGGAAATATGAATTTACGGATCGTCAGTGCAAACATTTTCGTATGCATCAAATTGAATCGTCCATCGTAATTTTGTTGTATGTACTGCGGATAGATTAATATTTAGTAAATGATGATACAGTAACATAAAGAAAAGGGTAAAGAAAAGAAGAAGCTTTTGCTGCAATAGTTGAATACTTGAATGGTTAAAACAGACTTGCACCTATAATTTGCTAAACAATATCCTCCTGACTCCTTCGAGAGTAGTCTTGAATCTTCCAGCATTTGCATGGCCAGGAAACGATAATTATTTTTAATGATTATTAATGAACTACAAAACCAATGAAATGTTATTGTTTCCTACGTAGATAAAATTGTTGGTTCCTTTCACACTCATACAAAGTTAGTGGGGGCAGATTAAGCTAATCTTAACCCTTTCATCTACTGATTAATTCCTGAAATCTAATAATTATACGACTTACTTAAAGTTAGTCTGCTGAATCAAACACCAATTTTATTTTAAATATGAATTTTGCAACTGTCGTATGAAGTATACACTATTTAAATATGTAAATCGCATTAAATTAAAACTTAGAAGTCGATCTAGTTTCATTTTCTATCAACTAAAGATAAACAGTCACATACTTAATTTAAGACTTTAAGAGTGGGTAGTTATTTGGACGGACCGACGTATGATCACGTTTACGTGTGTGATTCTGATATATAATTTTGTTCTTATTATTTTTTTAAACGCAAATAATGATTTTAAGATAAGAAGGTTCATGCCGTTTCATACATCAGCAGACATTTTGTATTTTGTGCCTGCTTTATATCACTAAATTCTTAAAACTTGTTCGTGTAGCCAGTATACTCTTAATTTATTTTAAAATATTTATATTTTCCTACATCTTTAACAATAAACAAATGTTGTTCCTTTGTCGGTATATAGGAATTTTCCAACATTTAGTGTTTGATTTAATGAATAGAAAGGAAAAATGAAGTCATAAACATGTATACTCTTTTTTTTTTTGTACTTATAAACATGTATACTCAACTGCGTAATTTTTTATTTCTTTTATTTCTTTTCCATAACATATCCATTAAATAATAACGCATCAACGATATTAGCATAAATTAAAACCACGAACTACTACTATAATACATAAGATGCACCATATAATCCTCTATTATTTAATACATAATATCAAACGTACTAACACAATACATGATTTTATAATTTTATATAAATGAAAACTCGAATATTTCCATCCACAAGGTGTGTACAAGAATTCTATATGAACATAATTAAATTGTATATTTAAATTTCCTCCAAATCATTTGCTGATGCGAAAACCTAATCCAGCACTTATAAATGGATTATAAGACTATTATTGTAATATTAATAAAGAATATCCGTCAGCAACATTATAAAAATGTAGAATAAAGTTGCATCAGGATGACGAAGAGAGAAGTAAAGGTGAGACCATGAACTTTTTAACAATGCCCCGTGTTTCTGACTCAGCTTCGAATGTGACGTACACAATTACCGCTTTTTAGTTTTTACTTGCAATTACCACTAATTGTTTACTAATTTATGTTATAAACATATCCTAATTAGCCAAAAGAGGAGAGAAATCCTAATATCATTAATATGGCAAATTTTAGTAGATGTCGTTCGAAAACTTCTACACTGATAAGATACATGTGGTTATGAATCTTGACTTGTGAGATTTTTAGGATGATCATGAAATTGTATGTGCAATAACAAGCATGAATCATGATCATAAATGATGGGTGATGATGATGTATGATTAATGTGTAGGGTTATATGTTGACATGTTATAATTAGTAGGACCGGTCCACGTCAGGCCCACATGGCAATTTTTGTCCCGGTTTGGATTGCACGGCACGAGTCTCCCCCACAAGTACAGCTGGAATATAGAAAGGTCTTCTTCTTGTCTAGTTGAATTCCAAAATGAAAAATAAAAACTCGTAACATGTGAGACAAATATATATTCCTTTCCCATGTTTTCTCTGATTTGTTCTAAATGCTCTTTTATTTTTGGGGTTTTTAATATGAATTCAGATTATAAAAATCATATACGTTAAGTTTTTGTTTTTTTTTGTTATATTTGAATTATTTTTGATTATTTTCTATAAATTATTTGTGAAATTGAACTTCACAGCTTACCTACTATTTATTTTCTTTTAAAATTTGTTATATATTTTTTTATTTTCTTAATTTATAACATCAGTATATTTATTTGTTTGTAATTTTACTTTCCTAACTAGGTTGGATGAGCGTCTTCGTTGGAAAGCATGGATCCACCTAGGTTGTCCCGGAGCTGAGTAAGGCGTGAGTGTCGTCCATGGGCATCGATACCTTGCAGCTTTGAACGGAAATGGAGGTAAGCGCAAGATCATACTTTGTGCGGAAACAAAAAAATAACTTATACATTATTATTTTCAAAACTGGTTATTTTGACATGGTAATATCCTTTTCTTATAAAACTTGTATTCTATGAGTACATGGATTTCCTGCAGTTAAAAAAAAACTTTTCATAGATTAAAAAACCTTTTTCCAAACCCAATCTGATAATCTCGGATGTCAAATTCCTTAAAAGAAATAGGTAACAACTTGTAATTAAACAATGATAATATTATATGTAAATTCTGACTTGTCAAAATTGCTTAGTCGCGCAGCCACACGTGCAACCATGTTTCCACCTTGTTTCGTTTCGTTTTATACTTCTCAGAGTCGTTCCTCTTTTCTGGGGGAGGAGCTGAGAAGAGTCCTCTCTATGTACAAGGAAGCCACTAATTGTAGTCCAAGTCTCCATGAAACGTTTATTTGAATTTTGACTATTTCTCAAAATAAATTGGAAACTTATTTGACCTTTCTATTTGTTTTCAGTAAATTGTCAAACACTTTGAACTTGCACTTATTAAATGTTAGGTTTACTTGATTTTATATGACCAATAAGGCTGACTTGATTTTATATGATCAATAAAGGCTGACTTGATTTTATATGATCAATAAGATATTTCCATTTAAGCTTTTAGTTCCAATTTCTGTACATTACTTCTACTGTTTTACGTGTTGAAATTACATAAATTCCTTAAAAACTTTTATAAAAAAAAACGAGGATAAGCTAAAAAAAAAAGAAGAAGAAGAAAATGAGCTTATATAGGCCGCCATTCAAAATTGGTTTTTATTGGGCTTCATTGTGGGCCGAAAGAAGATTTGAGACAGTTTATTGAAATCTCCACAAAGTTGTACAAAGTTTGAAAATGGCCACCAAAGTTTAATATTGCCTTGAACAATCTTTACCAATAAAAAGTCTCTTTTGTTTTAGAACACAACTACAAAAACTATACCATGTTGATGATCTCAGATTCACCTTTACTATTTTTCTCTCATATATTGACTGTTGCCAACTAACTTTCTATTAGTTATTTTGTACAACAATCATTTTGAATAATGTATTTTTCTTGTTACCACTTTGTTCATATCTAGCAATCACACATCTATTTGATATTAATGCCAGTTGCAGTTCTAAAGAAGCAAAAACTGTATAAAACATGTTGGTTACTTGTTTTTCTTATTATTATCAATTGACGTTTTGTTGATCACTTTGGGGTGCCAAAGAAAAAGAAATGGATATTTGATAACATCTGGTGTACCATGTTTAAAATTTAAAATCTTGATCAGACCGAACCAGATGCAATCGAACCGGTTAGTTAAAGAAAACCGGAATCGTTAAGGAAATAACCCAAAGACTCTGTAACACGAGAACATTTACTTTTAACGGAGAATGGCCTGGATTGTCGGAATTCGAACAAGATTCCTGAGTTTCGGGAAGGTTCCACAAATCTCTTCTTCACTGTTGAGAATCTATTATCCTCGTAACCATCAGAATCCTTCTCTTCTTCCTCTTCCTTCGTTCTCTGCCGCTCATAGTCGTCGTCGCCCTCTGCTTTGGCTTCGCTCATCTCCGCCTGTGTCCTCCATGACCACTCAGGCTGAATCTGGGTCTTCCCAGCAATCCGATTCTTCCAAAACGGTATTTTCTGTTCGTTGAATTTGTAGCTAAAATTTAGAATTGTTTTCTGGTATTGAGAGTCAATTCTGTTCGAAATTAGGTTTTCATTGGTTTTATACTTAAAAGGGGTTTTTTTCATGTCAATGTCGAGTGATGATAGATTTGCTTTGTTTGAGTTCAGTGAACCTTATTCCATAGCCATAGATTTGCTTTTGTTTGATTATAGAATGGGTTGTTGTTTCTCATTGATTATGATCTAAAAACGTGTAACTGAGTCTTATACTATAAATGAAACTATGATGATGCTTGTTCAGATTCTAGACTCTTTTTGTATTTGGTTATGTATTGGCGATTTAAAGTTTCATAAGGTTGAGAGTTTGAGACCATCAAAAGGTTGAGTGAGATGCAAATTCTCTAACCGAAATCTATCTGCATTATTGTTTTGCATCTTATTATGCGTCATGGAACTTCTTCTGTTTTTGGTCTAGTTATCTTGATGCTGGTTCTATTCTTCTTTATCCCCATTTTTAACAACTCTTTGAGCGCAATGTTTCGCTGGATTATATCAGCCTTCTTGGTACCATAGTTGATAGTTGTCTGAGAATATGGACTGAAGATGTCCATGTTGGTGCAGGTGAGAGTGGTGATAAAGGGAAGAGTACAGGGAGTGTGCTACAGAAACTGGACTGTTGAGAACGCTGAGCAGCTTGGGGTTAAGGGATGGGTGAGGAACCGCAGGGACGGTTCAGTGGAAGCACTCTTTTCTGGACCACCTGAAGCTGTTGATGAGATGCATCAGAGGTGTCGCCGTGGTCCTCCTGCAGCCATGGTAACTGGCTTGGAGGCTTTCCCTTCCACTGAAGAACCTGGATCAAGTTTTGAATACAGATCAACCGTCTGACTGATTCTCTTTTAACGGAGGGACAGAGAGAGACAGATGGTTCTCTGAATGTTGCAATGATTATGGATGTCTGGACAAGTTGTAACAAGGCTTAGATTAAACACACATGCCATGTATATAATTATGTGTCTTTGATTCATTTTGGTCTACGTCGTTCTGCCAAATCTATTCAGTATTTATAACCACCGACACATTTTACACGTCCATACACTTCACTTTATCTCTGCGCAGTTATTTGGACCAACGGGGTTTCTACTTTCTCGTTAGCAACTTGATATTGCCATCACTGGAGCTTCAATGGATTCTTCTCCCAGGAAACAATATTGGGCATATCAGTGTTTGACAAATCAATAGAACAGAATACAAATTCGATAATATTTCTTACAGCAAGGGCAATGGCCATTAAGCTACTTGTTCACTCTTCTAGTATCTATATCCCCCCCCTACACTTTTGGGTACAAAATATTACTCCATCGTACTTGAAAACTATTTTGTGTGGACAACGCTTCTTACACATGAAGCAAAAAGGTCGAGACATATGATGATTGTTGGGTAGAGCAGACATCTTTTTATTGTTGAAGCTGATCCACGATGTACCAGGCTTGATGTATAAAGCCACCCCCAACATACATTCAATGAGTAGGGTGATACAGCAGTACTCATCACACTTATAAAATCGCTCCTTTGGATTTAAATTTCTCTCGCAAACTTCACACCAATATGTCATGGTACTTGTTTCTTCCCCATACGAAAGAGTGAGCATATGTTTGTCATGCTTATACCTCACCTTTTGAGGTAAAGTAGCACATCTAAAGCACAAAGCAAAATCACACTCTATGCAGTTGAATGTTTCACTTGTCACACTAAAATATGACTCTTTGCAAGCGGAACATTTTCTCCGCTCTCCTGGTTTGGACGTTAGGAATAAAGGATGCATATGACTTTCATGGACTAGTGGCTCAGACGTGTTTTAATGAACCTTCAACGTGTGACACGTAATTATCACTTGAATCCGATTCTGAATCCAAAACTGTAGACTTGACGTTAAAACCATACTGCGAAAACATTGATATGAGCTTCCTTAGCGGCCGCAGCTGAGAATCAAAATCCATAGAGTTGTAGACAGCAATGGTTTGAGTAATGAGTGACATTAGCTCCGACTTGTGCGAATCCAAATCCATTGAGCTGATCAGATCGATTATTCGAATAATGAGGGATATGATCTTGGAATCAATTCCTGAAGTAAAACTCCAAGAGTTGGTGTGAGACATTAGTTGAGTGATGCGTGATCTGATTAGAGGGATAAGTTGAGTAGCGTATGCTATGAAATCTGTTGCCACCTCTGGACACATATCCTCACCTCTTAATGTAGATATCATTTTAGAAATGATATATAAGATGAGCTCCGACTCCCAATCCATAGCATCTGTATAGCCGTAGATAACATCATCTTTCTCTTCTTCAGTGAGAGGCACTTGTTGGACCAGATGGCCTAACTGAGAAAGAAGTGATAAGAGCTCCGAATTCGGGTCCATTTCAAGGAGGATAGAGAATACTTGAGAAATGAGTGAGTTCAGCTCCGGCTCTGACTCCTTGGGATCAGAATCTATGGAGTTGATGATAGAGATCATTTTAGTCACCAGTGTTACCAACTGCGAATCTGGTCCTGATCCTGAAACAACAGAGTTGCCGACGGCGATTGTTTGCTTCATCAGTGATATGATCTTCGACTCCGGCTCCGGCTGCGAATCCAAATCCAGAGAGTTGACCAGAGAGATTTGTTGACAAGTAAGTGTTGTGAACTTGGACTGCAGCTCTGGTGTGTCATCCCCAGAGCATAAGATAGTTAACATTTGAGAGATAAGAGATATCATGAGCTCCGACTCCGAATCCATAGACCTGCCTGCTGAAATGGATTATTTGAATAGTGATGATGATTATTTTGAGTAATGAGTATAAGAAACTTAATGCTGCTCTCTCTCTCTGTATATATAGAACTCGTAGCTTGCGGCTCACGAGACAAAACCTCATACAGTCACTCTCGCGCCAGAAACTGTTAAGAAACCTAAGAAGCCTTTGATCGTTGCTCATTTAGATCTCTCTCTAAGGTTTTTCTTGAAAAAATGTACCCCGGTTTTTCCGGTGCCATGGGCCGTGGCGTTGAGCGTCACGACATTTGGAGCTGGACCTTCCAGAACAGTGCCAAAAGAACCTAAACCGGTTCTGTTGAGTATGCTTTTTCAATTGTATCAGAAAGTTGTAACCGGAATGAATAAAAAAAGCAAATTATGTTGTTTAAAGTGTTTGTATTTGACTATTTTCGTAGTAGCATATCCTGCGAGGACTTGTGTATTTGATGTTATGTTGATTTTCATTAATCTAAGATTCCAAGTAGAGACCCTGACACACAGAAACTTCTCAAGACTCGCTTCAAGAATCAAAAATTGATGCAAAGCAGAGTAGTTGCTCAAGAGTAGAAGATCAATGGAAACATCTCATAACATTAGATAGATCAATGTTTGACTAAGCAGTGTGATAAAAATCAAAACTTCATCTCAATCTCCGGTGGGAACAGTCTGCCACGGTGATTGAATATCATGAAATCTGAGTTATCTGGTAAAGACACAGCCCTGAAAAAGTTTTGAAAGAGACCAGTTAACAGAAGACCAACCCAAAACCAATTCAAGAACTATACTGCATAAGAAGCTATGTGAGAGGCTGTGAGCTGTGACATAGATGAAACAATCCTGTTTCACAAAAGGGTGTCTAAAAAGCCAATGAAACAAATCTAAACTGATTGAAAGAGTTAGGGGCAGTTCTTGTAACCCATAGCCGTAATTGGACCAAATCCAAACTAAAAATTTTCTCCATAACCACCAACCTTTGAATGTCCTGCATTTTAGACAACCTTAGCTACACATAGTACTATTAAAGAAACATCAATGTTGGAACCCAGACCATCTCTAGACGACAGTTTCTTGTCCATGAACATTAGTCTTTGGACATTCTCAATCAATGGGAAAAATAAAAACTATCAAATTTCCATGTTTCAGATTGATAAACACTGATGCACAACAGAGAGTTAAAGAGACATCAAAACTAGACCTCGAAACATCTCAAGAACACAAGCTCTTTAAAATGAATTCATGAACAAACACATCCGTAAACCTTCTCACTCAAAAGCAAACATATTCACGAGAAACGCCCATGATTAAACTGAATAATTGAACCAAATCTAGCCAGAGGAAGTCTCTATAAGACCCGTAACTCTATTCCAAGCTAAACATACGAACAGAGAGAAAAATTCATCCTTTAACTGAGGCATCAATGTTGGACTCTTTAACGAATCCATGACCACAAATCTATGAACACCCTAAGTCAATAGCAAAAACACTCACTAGATAACATGGTTTAAGATTGATTAACACTGACACACAACAGAGAGTTCAAGAGAAAGATGATCACAGACCTGTTTTCATCAGAATCCGGATGGATCGAGAGAAATTTCCCAGGGAAAGTCAAAGCAGCCCACATACACAGAGCTAGCCCGATGATCAACTCCAGAATAACCTTAAGAAATCCAATCATGAGACATGTCAAATCATAATCACTGCTGATAAAATTCCAAGAAAATTGGGGAAAAAGAGAAACCTTTATCATATACTCACATTAATCGGTGGTCGAGAGAACTCTTCCTCCATGATCTTCAACAATCCTCTATCTGATACAAAGAAGAGAAACCCACATGAAGATCCTATCTCAAAATTAAAGTAGATCTGACTCAATTGGAACTGAAATTGGATTGGGAAGAGTTGACATACATTGGATTGTTGAATAAGCGGCATGGGAGAGAATCAGAACGCCGAAAACTCCAACTACGAACCCTAAATTCATCTTTAGAAGTTCTCCTTTTTTTTTCTTCTCCAAGTTGATTCCCGATCTGGATTTTCTCGTCCAGTACTCTCCGCCGAGAATCGAACTAGAATAGAAGACGATCAGTGGAATTTAAAAACGGCAGGTAGTTATAATATCGTAAATCTCAAAGTAAAAACGGCGCAACGTCTAAATAGAAACGAAGAGACTAACAAACGGCGCGTAGTTCTAGATTGAGGATATCCTATAGATAGTGATAACAAAAGATTTATCTTTGCCCCAAAAAAAAAAAAAACTAGATGAAAATTTAATTAATTTGATAACTTTTCTAACAACAAAAAGGGTTTATCTTTTTGGAAATTAAATATTTTTCTCTAAGAAAGTTCAATTCAAATGAGGTTTTAAATATGAAAATTTATTTAGAATTTCATATTGATTAAAATTTATTTAGAATTTCATATTGAATTAAGATGCAAACAATAATTTCTGCACCTAACTTAATATTGGTATAAAAAATGGCATTCTATTATAGACCAAAGAAATGAAATTGTAAGATATAAAAATTTCTATTTAGAAAAAAGTAAAAAAAAAAAAAAAATGTAGCTTGCTTGATACCGCTAACTAATAAGAAATTTCTATTCCTTTCTTGTGTTTATCACCTAGAACCAAAAAGGAAAACTGTTATCCTCACCTCTCATGTTACTTTTATTTCCAAATTTCCCCCATAACTTTTTAATCTACATTTAGGTACTCTCACCACACTATAAAATTAAGTTAAAAATTAGTCAAAGTGAGATCGATTTTTTTTTTTCCTTCTAAATATACTTATTATTTTTTGTTTTAATGCTTGATAAATCATAATAATATATATTAATTGATATGATTTAAAGGGAACATGGGGTATATATTACAATACAAAAGTTTGGGAAGGTTTTGAGATAAATTTAAAAGGTTAGGGGTCGTATAGCGATAAGTAAAAGAAAAAGAAAAGGAAATTAAATTCCGCTTCTTTTTCCAACAAGAAGGAAATCAAAGAGCTATAAATCCCGAAACCAGCTCTCTTGAGATCCCATTATCATCATCATCATCATCATCATCATCATCATCATCAAATCGATCTCTCTAGAAACAAAATTCGCAACTTTCTTAAGAAAACTCTCTTTGTTCAATCTCAGCTATCACTATGTCAAACCAACCTGAATCTTCCGACTCGTAAGTACACCCAGATCTTCGATTTTCGTTTTCCGATCATAAAGTTTCGATTTT